CATTGGTGGATACAGGCTCTACTGTAACGGTCTTGAGACCAGATTTGGTACCAACCAATGCCAGACTGGATCCCACCACTGTTCTGTTACGCACAGTGACAGGGGAACTTGCACCAATGAAGGGTAAAGGGGAGGTGGAGCTCACTGTCGGAGGGAAGACATTACAACATTCAGTGTGGGTGGCTACTGTCCAGGACCCCTGTATTCTCGGTCTAGACTTCCTAAGAAGTGCAGGCTGTAAGTTAGACTTGAAAAATGGTATGCTTTGTTTCGAAGGGGGTCCTGAGGTTGTCATGTCCACTGGAAATGACAGGGATATGTCTTTTACAGGCCTTCTAGAGGCAAAATCTTCTCATGGGAAGCCTAATGGGGGGGAACATATACCACACTTGCAAAACCACAACAAAGCTGACAACAGTCCTCAAGGGGTAAAGAACTCTCCTACTTCCTTAGCCCTTGCTCCGCCTGTGGTCTATCCCAGGGTGGCCCCACAATTCCATGACATGCAAGGGCAGGGAACCAGCACTCTGATTTCCCCTCTTGGGGAGGAGACAGGGTTGGGGGATTTGAGGGAGTTATGGTGTAAGAATTGTGAGGGCTTGGATGAGTGTCAGCAGAAGCAGTTTTGGGATTTGCTGTTTAAATTCAAACACTGTTTTGCATTTAGGGAGGGAGATGTGGGGCAAACACACCTAGTACAACATGAAATAGAGACTGGAGATGCCACACCTGTTAGGCTGCGGCCACGGAGGCTCCCCTTTGCACGACAGGATGCTGCTGATAAGGCCTTGACAGAAATGGCACAAGCAGGGATAATTGAGCCCTCCGAGAGTGCATGGGCTGCACCGGTAGTCTTAGTGCCTAAGAAGGGGGGCCAGTGGAGATTTTGTGTTGACTACAGACGCCTTAATGAAGTGACCAGAAAGGACTCCTACCCCATTCCCCGTGTCGACGAATCACTGGACCTGGTGGTGGGGTCCTCATGGTTCACTTCCTTGGACCTTCGTTCTGGCTATTGGCAGGTACCGCTTGCGCCTGATGCAAGGCCTAAAACAGCATTTTGCACCAGTCGAGGGCTGTGGCAGTTCCGGGTGCTCTGTTTCGGTCTCTGCAATGCACCTGCCACGTTTGCAAGGTTAATGGACAAGGTGTTGTCGGGTATTCCAAGGTCTGAGTGTCTGGTGTACCTAGATGACATACTGGTTCATGGTAGCTCTTTTCAAACCTCACTGGAATCCCTCAGTCATGTGCTGGTTCGTGTGAGTGAGTCTGGCTTGAAGCTGCACCCAGAAAAATGTAAATTCTTTAGGAAGGAGGTGACATTTCTAGGGCACAAATTGGGAGGACAGGGAATTGGCACAGTGGAAGAGAAGGTGCAGGCTGTGAGCAACTGGCCTGCTCCCACAACAGCACAGCAGCTTAAAAGTTTTCTTGGCTTAGCGTCATATTACAGGAGGTTTGTGGAGGGTTTTGCCAGCATTGCAGACCCACTTTTCCGTCTGCTGAAGAAGGATAAATCCTTTAGGTGGACGGAGGAGTGTCAGGATTCTTTTGCTGCCCTGAAACTGTCTCTGGTTACAGCCCCAATCTTGGCCCCCCCTGATCCGGCACTTCCTTTCATTTTAGACACAGATGCCAGCAATGTGGGTATGGGGGCAGTTCTCTCTCAGGTGGGGGCTAGTGGGGAGAGAGTCATTGCCTACTATAGCAAAGCATTCAGTAAGGCTGAACGCAGGTACTGCGTTACCAGGCGGGAACTCGTTGCAATGCTTTTTGCTGTGCGACATTTTAAGTATTACCTGTGTGGGTTACATTTCACAGTACGCACTGACCATTCTGCTCTCCAGTGGCTTATGTCATTTAAAGAGCCAGAAGGCCAACTGGCACGCTGGATTGAAGAACTTCAGGCGTACAACATGAAGGTAGTTCACCGTACAGGGTTGAGCCATGCAAACGCAGATGCTCTGTCTCGCCGGCCGTGTGCGATAGCTGGGTGTCGCTACTGCGACAAGAAGGAAGCCAGGGACCGAGAGCTGGGGAATGTTGATGCAGGGGAGAATTCTGCTGATTGTAAGTGTGGGGATACACTGGTGTGTGCAGCAATGGAGGTTGTGGGCATAGAGGACTGGAAGCGGCTGCAAGAGCAAGATGTAGACCTGCAGCCAGTAATTCAGTGGGTTCAAGCCCAACAACGACCTCCGTGGGAGGAAGTGGCTATTATGTCACTGTCAACAAAAACTTTATGGGCCAAATTTAAGGGCTTGCGTCTGCGGGATGGTGTGTTGGAGAGAGGGTGGAAAGACCCCACCACTGGAGAGGAAAGGTGGCAGGTGGTGGTACCAAAAGTGTTGCGTGAGGGGGTTATTGGGGCTTCTCATGGTACAGTGGGGTCTGGACACTTTGGTGTTTCAAAAACACTTAATCGAGTGAGGCAATGTTTTTACTGGGGGCGGGTAAGGAGAGATGTAGAGGATTTTTGTCGGCGTTGTGATGCTTGCACTGCCCGTAAGGGTCCCCCTGGTCGGTCCATTGCTCCTCTTCAGCAGTTCCCTGTAGGAGGGCCAATGGAGAGGGTGGGGGTAGATGTAATGGGCCCATTCCCACGCTCAGAGAGGGGTAACAGGTTTGTGTTGACGTCTATGGATTATTTTACAAAATGGCCAGAGGCGTACGCACTGCCTGACCAAGAAGCTGAGACAGTGGTAGATGCATTAGTGGATGGGATGTTTAGCCGTTTTGGGGTCCCTGAGTCCATCCACAGTGATCAGGGCCGGAACTTTGAGTCACGTGTATTTGCAGTTATGTGTGAAAAACTGGGGATCCACAAGACAAGGACTACCCCTTTACACCCACAAAGTGACGGTCTTGTCGAGAGATTTAATAGGACTCTGGCAGAACAATTAGCCATTGTAACTGAAACCAATCAGCAAGATTGGGACAGGCACTTGCCTTTTATTTTAATGGCATACCGATCAGCTGTGCAAGACTCAACTTTATGCACTCCCGCCCTTTTAATGTTGGGCAGAGAAATCAGAACGCCCGGGGAAATGGCTTATGGAAGGCCTCCTGATGCACCTGCTGTGCCACCGGGCCCTGAGTATGCAAGTAGGCTTCAGGCCTCTTTGGAAACCGCTCATAGTTTTGCAAGGCAACACTTGCTGAAAGCGGGGATCCGACAGAAGCGGAATTATGACTTGAAAACGAAAGGGCGACACTTCACAGCGGGAGAGAGGGTGTGGGTGTACAGCCCACAGAGGAAGAAGGGCAGGTGCCCTAAACTTGATGCACAGTGGGTGGGGCCTTGCATTGTACTGGAGAGAATTGGGGAAGTTGTTTACCGTGTTCAGATGCCACCAAGAGGCAGGAAAGTAGCGGTGCACAGGGATAGACTGGCTCCGTACAGAGGGTGTGCTTCAGCAGATACAGTGCTGGCCTCTCCTACAGCTATGCCTGTTCTGGAGAATGAGGCGGGACACGGGTTGGGTAGTTCTAATACTATAGATGTCCTCCGTGAAACTACACCAGTTCCTGAGCTACAAAGTTCACATTCTGGTGGCCCTGTTGCAGATAGGGGCTCACCTCGGTCTCAGAGAGTCAAGAGGCCACCAAGACGTCTCCAGGACTATGTTTGTTCCCTCGAGGTCGAGGAACTTTGTGAGGAGGGGGCAGTGTAGCATGCTAGAAAAGGTTTGAATACAATTCCTGGTTGTTGTAGTTTGGCGTGTATTTATGTTGGGTAATGTAGGGCTTTAAGGGGCTGGATTACGGGAAAAAGGAGTCTGCGCACTTGAGAGGGAGGGGGCGGGTTTTCGAGAGATTGACAGGTATCTGGGGTTTTTCTTTGGTACACAAGAGAGAGAGTTGTGTTATGTGAAGAGCTAAAAGGATTACTCTGTCTGCAACGTGCAAAAGTTCAATAAAAGACAAGTTTTGACTGCTAAACGCTTCCTGACCTTCTTCAGTCTGCTACAGTATTATAACCATTCAAGGTGAACATTCAATGAACTGATGCAAGCATCTTTTGGTTAGCTTGGTTATAATTGTTCTAAAAATAGTTTAATACCTTCAGTTTTGAGAAACCGAGTGTCAGTAACTAGTTTTGCATTGAGTTGTTTTGTTTTTTATATATACACATTTTAATATGAAAAAAGTAAAAAAAAATAGTTCTATAACATGAGAGACAACCATAAAATAGTAGTAAATGTTTTAGTTATACTGATATATACAACTCACAGTTAAATTCATTATTTTTAAAGAACAGCAAGAGCACAAAAAAGGCCTGTTTTTGTTGTTTTTCTCGGTTTGTGCCTCTGCATTATATAACTTATTAGAATGTGTTTTATGTTTTGACTAAACATTTAAACTACCTTTAATATTTGGACCAAAAAAACAACACAAATACAGCTTAGTGTTTACTGGACTGGCTTGTTGACACATCAAATGAACCTGAGAAAATATCTACTTTCATCCCTACAGCTTTTCTGTCTAAGACACATCAGACAGAAAGAAAGACTCAAAATCAGCCATCCTCCTGTCTCTTTTGTATATACGTGACATAAACCGTACAAATCACCACATAATTAGGGCTCTAACCAAACAAGCATGAAACTTTGTAGCAACAAGTTTCTACTTCCAGAGCACACAGGCAAGTCTAATCACACAAACTAATTCAAATCGAGTATTCTGTAAATTTCTATGCATATATTGTCATAAGCTTACTCTATTTAGAGGATACGCAGACGCTGCAAATTGTTTGGCCTGTTAAAGCTAACATATGGAGAGCTAACAAACTACAACAAAGTTTTAGCAGTTTGTGGCAACACTGTAAACAACTAATGTGTACTTTTCGGCACTAAACTAAGACCTGAGCTGGTGTATAAAGTAGTTATAGGCAATTATGTTTGTTTGACAGGACGACAAAAAAAGTTTTTCTTCAAAGAACAACGCTCTTTGGAAAGCACAGGAATAAAGTGGAGCGAAAAGGAAAAATGTTTACACACCTAGGAGTTTCTTGACCTCTTCCTCGCTCATGAAGATGTTCACATTCGGCCTGTTGTTATTGTTTATGCCTGGTGAATTACTAGGGTTGGCGAGGCATCGGGCCCCTTCGAGCAGCAGGAGGAGAAAGAAACCCACTAGTCTCCACTGTACCGTATGCGGCCAACCCCGGGACACCGCCGACGCCGCGCCTCCAACGGAGCCCCGCGCTGGCAGAAACATCACAGCCCACCGTCGCTTTAAAAAGTCTCTGCGATCGACCAGCGCCACGGAACCTCATCCAAAACTTGAGTTACTTCTTCCCGAGGGCGACATGCTACTGGGTTTTGACGACGGCGCTCTCTGTCGACCCTTCTTCTGCTGTATTGTCCCCTCACCCGCTGCTGATAGCCGTCCAGCTAACTTCTGTTAGCTCGCGCTCAATCTCAGTGAAGGGAGCGCACGGGCGCGAGCGGGACCAGTTGGACGCTGTTAGTAAAAGCGTTGTCTTTTTCCTGAGATAACGTCCCAAGTCTTTATTTACTGAAATTAAAAAAAGTCGGAAGACAAGCCACAAATACTATCCCAAACAAACAGTCCTGAAAAGTGTCCTCCAGCTCTGTCCTTTCATGGTCTTTTTCCACCCCCCCTCCGCAATCTCAGTTTTCATTGAAGAAAAGGGGGCGGTTGGGAGGGGGTCATTTAAAAGTAGCGCGCGCACGCACAGACGTTACGGGCGCGCTCCTGGGGTGGTGGTGTGTGTTTAATGCAATGATACAGATGGGTGACAGGATTCCTGAATGGCCTACGTAATTATAGGTCTCTTCCTAACCCTTTAAATCTGTTTGAGCAAAAATATTATGTCTAAATTAATAAACTAAAGTTAATCTAAAGGTTTAATTGCTCCCTCCCACTTATGTATTATGCTAAAATCTACAAATGTATGACTGTGCATCAATAAATAGTTTTAAATAGAATCAAAAGGAACTGTAAAAATAAAAAGGTTGACCAGATTAAAAAATACATTATGTCTATTTATTGTAATATTAAATTAGGTCATTTTCAACAGACAATTGGTGAAATTATTAAATCTGTTTGTCTATTTTATTACTTATTTATTGGGGTTTGAATTTGTTGTGGCCATCATGATGGCACAGTGTGTGGCATGATCCCCTCACAGCAAGAAGATGCTTGTTCAAGCCCCGGCTTTGTCAGTTGGCATTTCTGGATGAAGTTTGCATGTTCTACGTATGCATGGATTTTCACCGGGTGCTCTTGATTCCCCTACAGTCCAAAGACATGCGGTATAGGTAAACTAAATAAGCTACAGTAAACGTTGTTTCTGTGTATAGTAGAGTTTGCATGTTCTCCCCGCTTTCATGTGGGTTTCCTCCCATCATGTCCAAAGACATGTGATAAAGCTAAATTGTCTGTAGTATATGTGTGTGAATGAGAGTGAATGGATGTTTCCCAGTGGTGGGTTGCGGCTGGAAGGACATCCACTGCGTAAAAACGTACTGGATAAATAGGCGGTTCATTCCGTTGTGGCTACACTAGGTTAATAAAGAGACTAAGCTAAAAAGAAAATAAATGAATGAATGAAGCACACCAGTTAATTGGTGGAGAGGAGCTAATTATGATAATGGGGATGGTCTAAAAATTTGGCCAAGATGCCAGGGTTAAACCCCTACTCTTTTTCAAAAGACATTCATTTTAATGACCACAGACAGTCAAGACTTCAGTCTAACATCTCATCACTGAGCAGTATAGAGTCCCCATCAATATACTTGGGTATTAGGACCCACACAGACTGCAGATTGAGCTAATTAGGGATTGCAACATCCCTAATTAGCACAATATATATATTTTAAATATCACAAGTTCACAACATATGTCAACATTTATCATCAGCTATAACTATAACATTTCTAATATTTATTGGTGTATATATATATATATATATATATATATATATATAAATTGCACTTCTGTTGTCAAAGTTAATGACACTTTTGTGTTCCTATAATCTTCATGGTATTTTAAAATGCATACAAAACTGAAAAACTCTGATCTCTTCAGGTCTGGAAGTCTGTTTTGAGAGATCTGAAGTTGGAATATGTTCCTCATCCTAACCACTCTTTAATGAGGATTCTGTGATACATTGAGACTGAGACGGATGTGGTTTGGACGTTGATAGGAACATGGTGGCCTGGCTCTATTCCTAAAATGGTCCACCTCCTATCGGCAAAACACTGATACAAGTGAAGACATAGTGAGATATAAAAATAAGCGAAAGAATCTGAAGTACCAAATTTTCTATCATCACAACATTTTAGTCATATTCATGCACCTCTCTAGTGTATGAATTTTGAATTTATTGTATGGGAAAACCCCTTGAGATGAACCATCTCATTTTTGAGAGGGTTCCTAAATGAAAGTCCCAGAGCTTATTTTTATGTTAATGAGACGCAAAACCTTGGTCCTGTGAATTCATTGGTGACATTTAAACTCTGACCAAACAAGCAGAGTAATGGGGGAAAGAGCTCAAGTTCAACAGCTTTAAAAGCCCATTTTCCCCATTGGTTGATCAGTTTTTATTGTGGTGTCATTGGGATCCCACAGTGGAAACAGATGTAGTTTGATGGAAGCAGTCCAAACAGCTTAATAGCATCACTGAACATTTAACCGCTCTAGTAATAAACTGAACTGGTACATCACCTTATTTATTTTGTCCTTTGGCTCAGGTAGATTTTCAGTGTGTTGTGACATTCTGTAATAGAAAGTTCATTATCCAATCACTTTAAAGAAGTTTGATACAGTGCAACATACTGCATTTCTGTTTTATTTCAATGCCTTCGAAAAAAAGTGTGAATCTCCCTCCTGCTGCTGAAGTATCAGCTCGAGTTTACCTATACACAAAGCTTTATTTCGTACAGAGGTCAACCAGTATTTGAATTTGAGACTGAAAACAATGAGACAGGCAGAGATACTCATCTATACAAAATAAACATGCAGGGCCTTCAATGTGATGATAAATAATATTTTCTTTCTATAATGTTGCAGTAATTTTATGGCAAAAAAGGTTCAAACAGAAAACATAATTAAAATAGTACAAACTGCATGTGTATATAGTCAAAGAGTATAGTACAAATGTATCATGTAAAACAGCTCATTAGAATTGGGCTTCCCTTCATCTTCCAACAGCTTTGAGCAACAGTTAAAAGTGACTGATGTTTCAAATGTTAAATTTAAGTTAATATTATTGGAGGATTTAACACTAATGACTGTGATTCTCCATATTAGCCTACATCTTAATTATGAAAGTTGTGATCTTGCCACAAAACTAGAGACTTGAAAAACTTGACAGCAGGGATTCATCTGTTGTTGGATAGTCTCATGATCACTGTATTTCTCACTCACACAACCATATTATAGACCGTGATATGTTCTGATTCTGAATTCAGTTAAATATATAAAAATGCTAAATATGTTCTATTTTGTACAGGTAATTATTACTACCTGACACCATCAGTCTCATGACAACATCACAGTACTATACTGCTGTCAAAAAAAAAGGTAGCCCATAATGTACAATTTACTCACTATTTACATTTCATATGATTTGATAAACACAAAAGAAGATATTTTGAAGAATGCTGTAACCATCAACTTCCAAAGTAGGAAAAACAAATATTAGAAAAGTTGTTTTGTGTTCATCAGAAGAAACTCATAAAGATTTGGAATCATTAGAGAAAGAGTAAATAATGAGTAAATTTTAAATTTTGTGTGAACAAACAGGTTTGGATCAATGAGTAGATGATGACAGAATGTTCAGTTTTCGGTGAACTATTACTTTAGCAATTTAATATGAAAACATATAAATGAATACTGATTCACATTAATCAAGTTGTTTTTTACAGGGGTTTTGTTGGCACACACAAGTAAACACTTCGAGCTTCATTCGATTACAGTCAAACCACAAGTCACGTGGACCATTTTGACAATGTTTTCATTTTTATTTTCTTCTGGTCTGTAAATCCAGTCACTGAAGATTAGTACAGTGCAGAAAGCTGCATTTCTCATTTCAGTGGCTTTATTACACTGTAAAACCCAAGAGTCAACTTCAACAATCAAATGAAATGAGTGTTGTTAACTCATAATTTACTGAAAGTTAATTCTACTCTTTTAAAAAGAGTTTTGAACTCAGTTGAAGGTGATGAGTTAATTAAATACCTCATTACTTCAACTTAAATGGAGTAAGTTCACAATATAAATAGTAGTTTTTTTTAACTCAAATGGTTTGTAGCGATCAAATTCCTCAAACGGTTTGAGTTGCCTTAACTTATAGGGTTTTACAGTATTCAGTTGGTTTGAGTTCTCTTTATTTATTGGGTTTTACTGTGCTCAAATTGCTTTATTTACAAAAATGGATTAGGTTTACAATACTCAATAGGATTAGTTTTTTTTAACTTAAATGGTTTGTTGCAATCAGTTTCCTCAAATAGTTTTAGAGCTACCTTAACTTTTTGGGTTTTACAGTGCACAATATTTTCGGAATATCCAAATTCACTATACATGCTCTCTGTATATTGTTTATAGCTTATTTTCATAGATAAGGAAGAAGTCTCATGTTCCATAAAGCCAGACCATCAGCGTCATAAAACGTTGCCTGATAAAAGAACAGTTCTTAAAGGAATAGTTCACCCAAAAGTTGAGAGTTGAAGCTACAATCTCAAAAGATATTGTAGAAATCAAATTTACTAAATATGTCAGTGGATACTGGCTATCAACTGACTATTTTGTGTTCAAAAATAGAGTGTGGTACTTCTCATTTTTGGTTGAACTCTTACTTCAACCTTTATTTCCTTTTTACAATATAGCGACATCTTGTGGTGATTCAATAAGGTGTATCGGTGAAATCCTCTCCCCTGTATACAAGCCTTTCCCATTAAAAACAGAAGGTCTCCTGACGTTTTAACAATTTTATTATTAAAATATTCAACTACAAAAACACAGACTATAAACACTATTTACACGGTAGCTAGCAAAGAGTTTTGCTTTACACAAACAGAAACAACGGTGCGACTTTTTTTTTTCCTCATTATTTTTGTGCAATCTTTCTGTTGAAGAGATCCAGGCTTTAAAGAACTGTTGAATGGAAATGCTTTTATGTTTTAAAAACTGAACAGGCAATAATTACAAAAAAAAAAAAAAAATTCCCTGAGGGATTTGACGGCCACTACATTTCAGTATCTCATAATATTTACATTTGAGGTATGCTAACTGATGCAGGTATCTCCTAAATCATATGGTTGAAGGTCATTTACAGATCTGAAGTTGTATTTGACCAAAATGGTCCATAGAACAATACAGACAATGAAAGGTGACCAGTGATGCAAAAATGGACCAACGATGATGGTAATGCATCCTCATTTTAATCGAGAGAAGTAATTACTCCCCAAAGTTTATTCAGCCTCCTAAAACAGAAAAAGAAAACAACATTCAATATGTGACAGCAATATTATGTCCATTGTTTATCCACAGAAATGATTCCTACCTATATTATTGATGTTTTTGAGTTCTTCTGTCTGATGAGAGAATGGAAAAAGAAATTATTTATATGCACAGAACTAATCATCATAATCCAAGAGTCATTTCCTTGACATTTTCATTGGCAGTTAAAAACAGAGAGGACGATTTACAAGGTTGTGAACATATTGTACATACGTGGAGTTTTCTTAGGCAGCAAAGGCTCACAGATCTCTCTAAAACAAACATCCTGCTGAACTTTATATGTCCTTTTGTACCTAAGGGTGAGATCATGTACTCAGCAAAAAAATAGATACAACAGCTATTGAATTAGACTGGACCAAAACAGGACAACAGACACGTCCAGGCAGGAGACACTCACAAATAATGGCAGACACCATCCTCCCACACAGGCACACTCTTTGTTTCGGAGTAAAGGCGAGTGCATGGGTGAGACACTCGCTGGCAATCTATGACCAGAAAAGAGAAAGGAAATACAGAAAAGGTGGAGTCGTTTGAATATCTTGTTTCAGGCAATATTATTTTTTACTTGGCAGGATAATAATAATAATGATAATAATAATGATAATAATAATAATAATAACAAACAAATATGCTAAAAATAATTAAATGATCATCTTTATTTTCCTGTTAGAAATTGGATGAAGCATAAAATATTTATTATTCAAATAATATTCAACTAAAAAACAAGAGATTGTAAACGTGATTTACTTGGAAGCAACAGGATTTCTTTAAAGAGAAACAATTTGATTTTATTCAGTTATTACTATTATTAATATTTTTAAATAGTATTGCTGTTGGAAAAATATTTTGAAGATTAAACAGTCAATAGTTCATAGTTTTCAGTCCCATCCACAAACTTACTCTACAAACCTGTTAAGGTGCCATTTGTTTTAAATGTGGCTACATTGTCTTAATGCATTAGGTTATATTAAAGGGATAGCTCAACCAAAATACAAAGTTACTCATCCTCAAGTGGTTCTAAACCATTGTACGTTTCTTTTTTCTGTTGAACACAAAAGGAGAATGTTTCTGAAGAATGCTGGAATCTGGCAACCACTGACATTCATATCAGAAAAAAATAAATTCCATGGAAGTCAATGGTTACGAGTTTCCAACATTTTCTAAAAATATTCTTTTGATTTCAACAGAAATAAACTCAAACAGGTTTGGAACAAGTGAAGGGTGAGTAAATGATGACAGAAAAGTTATTTTTGTGTGAATTAGCCTAGCAGTTTTGTTTCTAATAAGCAATTTTGCAAGTTCCACTATTCAGGAAAATCCTGATCACCTTTATATAGTTTGCATCAACAATGAAGTGTTCACTTATTTTAGCCATTTAATCTCACTGTTTTATTACTTAGTGAGGCCAGCAGGGGGCGCTCAACCTGCGGTCTGTGTGAGTCATAATGCCCCTGTTAAAGTGAAGGGGACACTATAGTGTCAGTGGGTGGCATCTTTCGGATGAGTTGTTAAACCGAGGTCCTGACTCTCTGTGGTCATAAAAAATCCCATGGCAATTCTCGTTAAGAGTAGAGGTGTAAGCCCGGTGCCCTGGCCAAATTCCCTCTCAGCCCTTAACCATCATGGCTTCTCAATCATCCCCATCCACCAAATTGGCTGTATCACTAGCTATGTTTCCATTCACCTATTTTTATGCGCATTTTGCATATGGGCATAAAAAAACGGTTGATGGAAACGTCACGATGCGCATAAATTTTGAAAATGGGCATAAAAAGTTATGCGCATAACTGAGTAGGATAAACCTTTTATTCGATAAGAAAAGATGTGCATAAACTAAGATGGAAACACTTTTACCGCACAAACTCCAGCATGCGCATTAAAGAAGGTCATGTGATTTTGTTAAAAGAGATCATTTGATGACAAAAATGTGTTTGAATGGACAAACCATCAGGCTGAGCACATTGTAAACCATCTGAAATGTTGTTTTGCTCATTATAACACACCTTACCGTTTCAGTATTAGTGTTATTATATTATAAATGACCTCCAGAATCAAGAGCGTCTGTGCACCGCGTCTGACACCTTCACCGCACATTCACTGCATGTCAGGATTGCTTTCTGAGGTGCAAGTCATTTATTAGATGATGATCAGATTGACGCAGCTTCTCCTATCGTGGCAAATTCCGTTTTTACGGAGAGATCAGGGCGAGGGTGCCAGATGGTGCCTTGTCCCTGAGAAAGTAGGTTCTCTCTCAAAGGGATCTGCCAGGGGAGGGCCGTCGCGAGAAGGGAGAGCTCTGATATCCAGGTCTGGTTGGGCCAGAGGGGCGCAACTAACAGAACCTGCTCCTCGTCCTCCCTGACCTTGCACAGTAACTGCGTGATCAGGCTCACTGGGGGAAACGCATACTTGCGTATGCCCTGAGGCCAGCTGTGGGCCAGTACATCCGTGCCGAGAGTGCCCTCGGTCAGGGAATAAAACAACTGGCAATGAGCGTTCTAGGGGGAAGCAACAGATCGATCTGGGCCTCCCCAAATCGCGCCCATATCAGCTGAACAGACTCGGGGTGGAGTCTACATTCTCCAGAGTGAATCTGCTGCCGTGAGAGCACATCGGCTGCACGGTTGAGCATACCTGGGATGTGAATGGCGCGCAGCGACTTCAGCCGCGGGTGACTCCAGAGGAGCAGACGGCGGGCGAGCTGAGACATGCGGCGAGAGCGCATACCCCCCATGTGGTTGATATACGCTGTCGCCGCCGTACTGTCCGTCCTGACCAGCACGTGTTGCTGCTCCAGCACCGGAGAAAAACGGCGGAGAGCAAGGAACACTGCCAACAGCTATAGGCGATTGATATGCCAATGCAACTGGGCACCTTCCCACAGGCCCGCAGCTGCAAGCCCGCGACACACGGCTCCCCAGCCTGTACTGGAAGCATCTGTTGAGGCAACAACATGACTGGACGCCTGTCCCAGAGGCACACCGGCCTGCAGGAACGAGGGGTCATTCCAGGGGCTGAGGGTGCGGCGACACAGCGCAGTAACAGAGACTCGGTGTGCGCCCGCATACCATGCGCGTCTTGGAACTCGATCTTGAAGCCAGTGCTGAAGTGGTCTTATATGGAGCAGTCCGAGCGGCGTGACAGCCGCAGCGGAAGCCATATGCCCCAGGAGCCTCTGAAAATATTTCAGTGGGACCAATACTTTGCTGTCGAGCTCCAGAGAGGCGCGCTACCATGGTGACCGAGTCCAGCTCCATCCCGAGAAAAGAGATCCTCTGCACCGGGGCGAGTTTGCTCTTTTCCCAGTTGACCTGCAACCCCAAAAGGCGAAGCTGCCGGAGCACCTCGTCTCTGTGCGCAGTCAATTGCTCCCGAGAGTGGGCTAAAATCAGCCAATCGTCGAGATAATTGAGTACGCGGATGCCCGCGAGCCGAAGGGGCGCTAGGGCACCCTCCGCGAGTTTGGTGAAGACCCGCGGAGACAGAGAGAGCTCGAAGGGGAGGACCTTGTACTGCCATGCTCGACCTTTGAACGCAAACCGCAGAAACTGGCGGTGGCGTGGAAGAATGGAGACATGAAAATACGCGTCCTTCAGGTCTATGGCTGCAAACCAATCCTGAGGGCGGACGCATCGGAGGATGCGCTTTTGCGTAAGCATTCTGAACGACAGCTTGTGAAGGCAGCGGTTCAAAACGCGCAAATCTAGGATTGGCCGTGACCCACCGCTCTTTTTGGGTACGATGAAGTACGGGTTGCAAAACCCGCTCTCCCCCTTGGCTGGAGGTACTGGCTCGATTGCACCCTTCGCCAGGAGGGATTAGCAATCTCCTCTCGCAAGACAGGGGCGGACAGGGGATTAACCCTGGTGAAATACACGCCCGTGAACTTGGGAGGCCGTTTCGAGAACTGTCTGATTGTGCGTATGAGCCACCGCGAGGGGCTGGCCCGCGCTAACCAGGCAGGCAGAGCCCTTGCTAATGACGTCATCGCAGCAAACGTTGACGTACCCACGGAGGGGCAGCGCGGAGCGGGTGTGCTGATCCGGGGAGCGCGAGGGTCCCACAGAAGAGCTGGAGGAGAGCAATTCGCTCTGGTTCCGCACCCTGACTCCGGAGGGGGGGCTTGGGGGCTGGGAGAAGGGAGACCGTCCCCCCAGCGCCCATGAGCCGCTGGCGGAGTATGCAGACCCTGCGAGCTGAGAGGCAGCGCGTCCCAGACTGGCAGGGCTTGAGCTGTGACATCCGGGGAAGGGGAAAAATGCTCTTTGTTCATAACTGGTGGCACAGAAAAGTACTGTTGGAATATGGGCCCCGCCCTCCAGCGGGGAAAGAGCAAGTTTCCTCCTCTCCAGATGGCCTGTCTCAGGGACGCTTCGCGGTCCGTTTACCAGACTTAGCGGCGCCCTGGGCAGGAGGGGCTGCCGGGGGCGGGGCGGGGCAGAGGAGGTGGATGGCTCGGCGGGGGACGGAGCGGGCTTACGGTCCCGCCGATAGATGACATTGCCCATCGCATCTGACTGCTCCTTCACCGCCTTGAACTCCTGGGTGAATTCACCGACGGTGTCGCCAAACAGGCTAGCCTGGGATATGGGCGAGTCAAGAAAGCAAACTTTGTCAACATCACGCATATCTGCCAGGTTTAGCCAGAGGTGGCGTTCCTGGACCACAAGTGTGAACATCGTCTTCCCCAGTGCGCACGCGGCGGACTTAGTAGTCCGGAGAGCATAGTCGGTCGCGGTGCGCAGCTCGTGTAACAAGCCTGGGTTAGACCCACCCTCGTGCAGCTCGGCCAGCGCCTGCGCTTGGTAGCGCTGGTAAGTGGCCATCGCGTGCAAGGCGGAAGCTGCCAGGCCCGCAGCCTTGTAAGCTCTAGCTCTGAGGGAGGCAGATAACCTACAGGCTTTGGACTGGAGACGGGGCGGACCGTGCAAAGTAGGGGCGCCACGCGGACAAAGATTGACCGCAATGGCGCTCTCCACCTGCGGGATCGCCTCATACCCCCTGGCAGCTCCACCATCCAGGGTGGTGAGGGCGGAGGCGGACGCAGTGCAGGCAGAGAAAGGTGCCCTCCAGGACTGCGTGAGCCTACTGTGCACTTCCGGGAAGAAGGGGACGAGAGGCTTCAAAGGCTTCGCCTTTTGGTCCTCTACGTAACACCCATCTAGTCAGTCTGGCCGCAAGGCTGGGGGATGAACCATCTCCAACCCGACGGCCAAAGTAACCCGAGAAAGCACAGCCAACATGTCCGCTTCAGGATCCGTTTTGACGGCGCTCGCTTGCCCAGAGGGGGCGAGCGGGTCCGGATCATCGTCGGACAATGAAAGCCCACCCTCCGATGCCGCGGAGGACATCTGATCCCGGGGTCAGCGAGCGTGAGAGCTACCATCTGATTAGACGGATCACTCCCAGCACCCGAAGCTTGGATGGAGCATTTGGAGGAGCGAGGTCCGCGAGCCCTTAGGTGGCGGATTATCTTTCGCTGGAACCCTCAGATCTGTCCGAGCGCCCGCTGCAGAGCAGGAGGCGACTGGGGTGGCTCGCTCTCTTACGAAAGTTAGCCGCGATCTTAACTGCGCGACGGTCATGGCATCGCAGTGACGACATGAACCGCCCCCGAGCACCACATTAACATGCTGGACCCCCAAACATGTAATGCAGTGATCGTGCCCATCATCCGGAGCCAGGAAACCCCCGCAACCAGAAACCCACAGTCGGAGCGCCATCCTGAAAAGGACGTGCTGCACGACTGTGTTGCTCTTTTAGGAAACTGCAACAATATGCACCGCTCTGGAGGACCGGACCCAAAGGGACGCCAGGCAAGGGAGAAAACCCAGCTCGACCATCTGCTGCTGCGTGGACTCGCTCTGGACCGGGAGACACTCGTTCGCTCGATGTGGCTGTAGACAGCAAGAGGAACCCTCATGAAGCTCGATCAGAAAAGTCTCTGAAGCGAAAAGGATAGCGTTTGCTGGCGCCAGGTGTGCTTATATGCTCAGTTAATTGGCGATGCAGCACACCTGCGCAAGCTTACGCTGCCAATTCATTGCTTTCATTGGCCCGTTCAATACTCTTTCAGACAAGTAGCTTCTGAACCGAATCTCCCATACGTGGATTTAGAACATCAAATCCACTTATAGTACTGGAGTTCCCCAGCCGAAGGGGAACATATGTTAACACATACCATTTGCTATATGGAATGCAAAAACTTTGAAGCTCAATATCACTAAATCTTTTAGAATGCAGATAGAACCTTGTAATTTTAAGGTGATGATATGCTGGATTAAGATGGCAGTTCATTCCGCTGTGGCGACCCCTGATGAATTTCAATTTCATTATTTTTATAGCGCTTTTTAAAATGTAGATAGTGTCAAAGCAGCTTTACATAGTTCTAGTGAATAAAGGCACTTAGCCAAAGGAAAATCAATGAATGAATAATTAATTAATAGCTAAATTATGTTTTTAGGTTAAACAAGCTGTTTTAAAGTAGTTTAATTTAAGTTAAGGTAAATTTGATTCAAACAAATACATAAGTCAACCATGTATTTTGTTTATTTGAATCAAATTAACATAATTTTACTTTATTTATGAGTGTGTCTATGTGTGTGTGTTTGGATGCTTGTGAAAGTGTAGACATTGTAATACTAACATAGCTCACACCGTCTGCCCTTGAAACCGCTTGGACAGTTGCAGCTGAAGGACTCGTTGATCTGTGCACACGTTCCACCATTCTGACAGGGCTGAGTTCTGCAGTCTTGAGATGACTCTGAAATTACAAACACGAATACACAATGCTTTGCTACAGGAAACTTTAAACATGGGCACGTTTCCAGTTTTTTCATGTTTGAGTTTATTTACATAATCGCATGCACATAAATGTGCACTTTTAAACAGATATGAGTCATTTTGGAGGGAGCTGAAACTAAAACAGATTGCTGATAGATGTGGTTGTTTATGGTGACTTCAATGCTGCAGATTATTCAGACTACACGCAGTGGTGTTTTGTCACAGTCTCGCTCTCAGCTGGGACTAATTAGAATGATTGAATACCACCAACTGTTAAAACACTCTTGCGTTTTAACCAAGAACTCCATGCCTAATGCAAATCAACAAATATCCCTTGTCTGATAACAGTCTTTATTAGGTTTTATTGAAAGATCACTTACCAGATTTACTCTTTGACGCTTCTTCAGGAATTTCCAGAGCTAGACTAATCTTATTTGTGGTTTCTTCCATCCTTTCTAATTTGATTGGAGGATCAGGCTCTGCTTAAAAGATAACATGACATTTGTTAAAAAAGTTGAATAAGTAAAATCAAGATAACAAGTTCTAAAATATAATGATATATATTTCCGGAATAAAAACCTCTATTTTTTTTTTATTAAATTATGTGTTTTTATACTGCAGTATATTTTACTATATTATACTATACTATACTATACTATACTATACTATACTATACTATACTATACTATATAGCCCAAAGTCCAAACTGATTCATACCCCTGTCAAATTCTGATTCAAAGTTACTTTCATTCAAGCAGACAGTTTTTTTATTATTATTTTCCCTTTTTATTTATTAAAATATATAAAAAACATACATTCACTAATCAACATAACTAACAACACAACATACATATAAACATAGTGCTTTAACATTGTGTACATATAAACAAAGACAACATCACTACAGTACAAGCATCAGCATCATTATGCCCACTACAATTACGTTAGAGGCGTCACGGTGGCGCATTGAGTAACACGATCGCCTCACAGCAAAAAGAATGTTGGTTCAAGTCTTGACTGGGTCAGTTGGCATTTCTGTGTGGAGTTTGCATGTTTCCCCCCATGTTTGCATGGGTTTTCTCTGGGTGCTCAGGTTTCCCCCACAGTCCAAAGACATATGGTACAGGTGAATTGGGTAAGCTAAATTGCCCGTAGTGTATGTGGGTAAATTAGTGTTTATGGATGTTTTCCAGTGATGGGTTGCAGCTGGAAGGGCATTCGCTACATAAACCATATGCTGGATAAATTGGTGGTTCATTCTGCTGTGGCGACCCCAGATTAATAAAGGAACTAAGCCAAAAAAAGGACTGAATGCATTATATTTGGTATTTGAAGTAATTTATAAAAGGACTCCACATGGCAGTGAACTTGGATCCAGAACCATTTAAATTAAGTCTTATTCTTTTTACAAACTAAGGAAATGCAACACATCATTGGCCCATAGTTTAAAAGAAGGGGGAAATGATTGTTTCCAATTTATTAAAATCAAGCGTCTTGCCAAAAGAGAAGAAAAGGTAATGCAGTCCAGATAATGTTTTGATAAAAATAGTTATTTCTATATGCATTTTTCCCAGATGGGGGCATATAATCTGAGAGAAGAACAAAATTTTAGGAGGTTGTGTATGTCTGTATGTGGTGTGAAATTATGGAACAGTCTAGAACTGATTCTCAAACAATGCCAGGATATTAATCAATTAAAAAACTTGTATAAGTATATATTATTAAAGCAATATAATGTTGAATAAAGGTGATAGAATAAAATAAGAAAAGTATGATGAAATTTCAATTAATGGCTGTTTGCAATACTATGTATTTTTGGGTCTTTGTTATAAAATGTAAATGTACAAATGGAATCAAACATATAATATGTCAAATATGCCAAAAGGGTAAAATATGTCTCATGTAAAGCTCATATGTCTCATGTAAAAAGAAGAGACAAGTAAAATAAGACATAAGTTAAAGTAATAGACAAATGATATGTGTGGTAATGGGGTGGGAAAATAATAAGGTTGTGCTTCATCCCTTTTCATTCCTTTTTAAACATGTTGAAATGCATTTTTTATTAAAGAAAAATTTTTTGGTTCTAAATAAATGAATCAAATCATATCATAAACATAACCAAAGACAGCAGTAAATGAATTTAAACAAACATCTTTACAAAATATTCTGAAGTAAGATAAACATTTTTTTTTGACTAAAATACAGATAATAGCAAGTTTTTTTTTTTTTTTGTTTTTTTTTTAACCAGAAAGGACACAGGCTTCTCCCCCAAAAAAAAAATATTATGACGATGTACAAGAGGCATTATTGTGGGAAAAAAAATATTTTCTCAGCTTTTATTTACATCTAAACAAAAACTTTACGTATGAATTTGCCAGTGGTATGAATCATTTTGGGCTTGACTACATACGTATACACTATATTACCAGATTATCTGTAAATGTGGTACAGAATGATTCAATTCATCCTCAAATAAACTGATAACTTTGTTAACTCCAAGCAAAAATGAGTAAAATCCTTTTCAAGCCTCGAAAAGTTAATCTGAAATGATGCAGCATAAAATTAGACTCAAAACAAGGTAAACAGTTGTGTATGAAATAACAACTCACTAATGCGGTGTCTGATGGTTTTATGTGGAAGTTTGGTAAATTTAGCTGTAATTCTCCCCCTTCCGTCGATAAGCTCTGTATATCTGAAAAAGAAAAGCAACAGAATTGAACACTGATCAAATGATTTCCTAAAGACAAGTAAATATAAACCACTATAAGTTTCTGACAGTTTGATAAAATTGATATAAAATATCATGGATTCACGATATCACAGTGTTGTGTTAACCGCTCTAAAATAAGTTCTTTTTAAGCCTTTCAGGCTCAAATTAAATCTTAGAAACAGGCAAAATCTATGCTTTTAACTGTTGCAAATCAGCAATGCCTGCCTTAAGAGGGTTCTTTTTACATTTCTAAAAAACAACCACTTTTTTGCCCCATTAAACACAATATATTTCATTTTATTAAAGATTTATAATACCAGTAAACATGTCAGGCTAAATAATTAATAATTTAATCATTGACTTCTGCTGTCTTTATAAGTTTCAAATTTTTTTGGTGGTTTTAATACCTTGACTTTTCCAAACCGCGGTAGACCTTGAAACCGGTTATCGTCCCATGTCTGAAGACAAGTTTACAACACAACTTTGGCTAAACTTCCAAAAATTGGGTCAAAATACATAGACTTTGGCCAAACTGATGCTTATTTTTGTTGTTACATATGCTCATTAAATTTAATATCTATTTGTTCTTCTCTACTCAGAATCGTGTGTGTCTGTTTCATTTGCCAATCACAGTGCATAGGGTATAAGTAGGAAAACCTGATGCATTAATTTCTCAGATAAATTAGTGGGAGAAAACACTTATTTGCTGTTTTCAGGAGGATTGCCTACTGTCGTTGTAGTATGTAGTGTTGTAATTTGTTCACATTGTGTTGTGAACATGCAGCTATATATATGACCATAAGAAATGATAACAGATGACAAAAAGTGGCTGGGTGTTGCTGTAGCCTAATGGTTAGAGAGTTGGATTCAAAGATGGTAGGTTTGAGCCTTATCACCAGCAGGGAGAGAGAAGAAGATATACTGAAGAATGTTGGAATTGAGGATCTATGTGCAATTTATTGAATAAAAGGATGATCAAACAGGCAGTGTCCAAACAGGGGCAAACAACAGTATCAGTGGTAATCCATAAGGATTATCCAAAATAAAGACAATGGTCAGGTCAGGCAGCAAAAGATCATAAAGATCTTAATAATCCACAAACAGAGATGTTAAGGAACAGCCAGGGAAATAGTGATAAGTGCAAAGAGTAATGCCTCATTCACACTAGCATCAACTTTGTAGCTGTCTGTCGCTCTGGGTGGTGACCAGTTGCAAACACAAGGGTATATAGGTTTACCGCATGAAGAATACAACTGGCAGTTGTGCGACCTGAGAGAAGATCACGTGAGCTCTACTGGTGCTCCAATTGGCTGTCTCTCAAGAAAGTCGCTCTTCATTTGCATAAATTTGAAGGATTCTCAACTTTGTCATGTCCCTAGACAAGCCCACCCGGTCGCTGTCTGTGAGGCTTAATGGGAATTAGAATCAGGTGGGGTGAGGTAATGCATGAAGTCCCCTATAAAGAGGCTCCTGGGCACACCATTTGGTGGGTCTGGCAGAAGCATTTTTAGCTTAGCTTAGCTTAGCTTAGCATAGATTAACTATTTTAAACTATATTCTGATATGGCTCGCAAACAAAAGGGAAGAGGGTTAGTTGGGGAGTCACGGATAAAAGTGAATAGGAAAGGGATCAGTAAAATGAGGTTCTGGCAAAAATTAAGCCCTAGGCTAGGAATTATACTCTTAATATACCGCCATTTTGTCTCTAGCATAATAATCAAGTAATTTTGGTGCTGTATCATAGTGGTGCAATGATTTGCCTGAAAATGGTCCCCAGCTACATAACTAGGTACAGTTAGAATATCATGCTAGAATTAGACAAAATGACACACTATTGTCTATTTAAAAAGAGAGAGGCTACTGTGTCCCGCCCTGTCTTCGTGTTTCGGTTGAAATTATGTCAAATCAAGCAAAGCTATACTTCTTCCAAGGCACCTCAATGGAAATTTTTTAAGTGTGTTGATAATTATGTTGTCACATCTGTAAAGAACTCTACCTTAGTGGCTCTTCAAGGAGTTCTGTGTTCTCATCTGTGCCTCCATCTTGAACTTGTGTCAAAGTCTGCCCCATCTGGTAGTCCTGTCCACCCTGAGGTCTGTCACCTCTGCTAGTGCTCTTTACTGGTACTGTACAATACAGGATACACAAAAGGGGTCACAATGATGACAACATCTTGACAATTTGCAGACAGGCAGAGATCATACATACTGGAAACTCACGTGTAGCAAAGGCTAGGTGTTGAGGGACGCTGTGAATGCTGTCCTGGCCTGTTTTGCGTACAGCAGTGAGGGTAAGTCGGTAGTGTTGTCCCGGAATGAGATCTCGTAGGGTGTATGTGCCTAAACTTCCTCCAGGTAGGTATCGGCTGCGGGTGTTCAGACCTCGAGTAATATTGACCACAAAACCATCTGGAAGACTCTGAGGATGATGGTCCCATGTGACCAGAGCAGAGGTGGTGGTGATATGGGAGATTGAAAGATTTTGAGGTGGAAGCGGTCCTGATAGTGAGCAGAATATATTATGTGCTATTATAACAGTGGTGCATGAGTTCATAACACAAACCTAGAAAGATACTCACTGGTCCAGAAGTGTAGGGGCCCGGCAGATTTGCTGGTTGATGGCAGGTCTTCAGGGCGCAAACCACTCTGAGTGACTACGTCTACTGTGTACATCTGACCTGGGAGTAATGTGCTGTGGGTTACACACAACTAATCAGTAAAATATGTGTTTTTCAAAGTCATATTTTAAACCTTTTTGATCTTAGAATGTTGTAGCAAATTTAGTGATGTACTGAAATTGCTTTTCATCTTGACTAAAACACAGCTCATGCCAGCATTGTGAACCTCACGCATTCTAAAAAGTGAAGCCAAAATATTTGGATTGCACTCTGGTGGTTGGAATCAGTATAGATTGAAAACTGTACTTTCTCTGTGTAAATGAACATGAACCTTAAAATTACACTTCAAAAATTATATTTTTTTACACCTTATTTTTGTTTCTCTTTTTTAAGGAAGAAAAGGGATAGAAAAAAATACAAATAATACATAATAAATAAAATAAAAAATGCAACAACACATCGGAACAGTTGATTGGTCACATATTGCAGGTATTTGTCCATTTTTTGTTTTTAAAAAAGTCATCCTCTCCATATTTTGAACGTTAGATATGAATCGTTAGATAAACCCATTCAGATTTTATAGGGGACTTCAAAAGATTCTTGAAGATAGTCTCAATCAGGGGCATTGCTAGACCCCACTTACTGGGGCATAATCGAGAGTGGTCATCTCAGAATAAAGAGGTTATTCTCTGGGCAGGAACAGATTGTGCTATGGACTTAGTTTACAAAGAAATGTATTGAGATTATTTAAAGACTTGATATCTTATCTTTGGGAAATTGGCACGGAGCATATGCACATTGTAATAAATGGCTAGTCTTGTGTCAGCAAACAATTAATAATCCATTCAAATACATCTTTTTTTTCAGGAGGGAAGTAACTGTGTTTGCTTTATTCCTACTGTTTTGAGTGAGGATCAGCATTGTTTATTAAGTAAGGAATTGTTTATGCATTGTAAATTCCTTATAAATGACACTTAAAGGCTGTTATTTTTAACAGAATAAAGGAAATAACAAATGAACAAAAGTGATTCAGCACAAATATTATATAAATTTTTAGATACAAAAATGAAACCAAACGACTGCATGAAATAAAAAATCTTTTCAAATAATTATACGAACGTGCAGTTTACACATTGCTGAATACTAAGTGTCAAAATACATGTTTACTACATACAACAAATTTGAAAACAACAACAACAACAGCAATAGCCTATATTTAAAAATATAACAATATAATAAAACCTTCCAGTGTTATTTAGCAGTTTAAAACTGAACTAGATTTTTTTTTTTTTTTTAGAGATAATTTTACTAATTTACCATCAGCCTAAAAAATAAGAGACATTCTACCAGACATATACATTTTCACTTATAAAAATGTGACAGGGCCTGAACTAAGTTTGTCATTTAAATAAAAAATAAAAAAATCATACAAAAACAAGCATATAATCATATACAGTTCAATGAGAGAACACATCCTTGATCACTTCAAAGACTTATGTATTTGTGATATTTAAAAAATAATTATTTTAATAATCCAAGAATTTATCACTTTTTTTTGATGTTAACCATTCTAAGAGATTTAATAAAAACATCAATTTCAATTTAAAAATGTGGAAAAAAAAGGCTGCGAATTCGAGAATTTTTGCATGTGAATAAAATATTTTCCATACAAAACAAAAAAGGTAATAATGTATTTCTCTGGCATATCGGTTTTACTTTTATTGTAATAAATAATATCTTGTAGCTGAAAGGGGCTGGAAAAAGGAATGTAATTACCTATGTGAAGATATAAGCTATTCCAAAAGCTTTTTTGTGTTTTCACACTGAAAAAAATTAGCGAATCAGGGTTTCGTCTTCAGTTTATCATATTTATAACTATCAGAATATACTTTGCCAAAGCACTATTCACTGGATATATTTTATGAAGAACTTTAAAATTAACCTCTCTCGGGAATGCAGTATTTATGAGGTAATAGCCAGGCATGTTTCCAATCGATTAGATCAATGAAGGATGATCAGTTAATTTGCCTTTAGGAACATTATACTTTTTATTTAGAAAAATTTGTAGAATATTATTAAATTTTTTATCAAATACACTAATTCCATTTAAGTTCAGCTCTAGTTCTTAATTCATTCATTTTCTATTCAAATTAGTCTCTTTATTTATCTGGGGTCGCCACAGCGTAATGAACCGCCAACCATCACTGGGAAACATGCATACATACTCATTCACACACATACACTACGGCTAATTTAGTTTACCCAATTCACCTGTACCGCATGTCTTTGGACAGGGGGGGAAACCGGAGCACCCGGAGGAAACCCATGTAAACGCAGGGAAAACATGCAGACTTCATAGAGAAATGCCAACTGACCCAGTCAAGGCTTGAACCAACAACCTTCTTGCTGTGAGGCGGCAGCACTACCTACTGTGCCACCGCGTCACCCAACTCCAGTTTTTTTAATAACATTTTCATTAAAAACTAAATGAGATTTTATAAGTTGAATTAGGCCTAAAGGAATTGCTATGCATCCTTTATCACTGTCAGCTTCTCTTCTTTCTGATGATGTAACTTCCGAGTAGTTGTGTTGCACGCATTTAATGTTAAACTCAGTGCAAATGTGACAGGACTGACAGAAACATGGGGACAATTGTAAATGTATGTGTATTATATATTTGTAGTACTTTTTTGCAGAATTGATTGATAATTTTATGTTTAATCAATTGATGTGAATGAAAACAATTTAAACTTGCTATTTCTGAAGTATTTTTTTCTTCTAAATAACAGTTTTTAGCCTAACAAAACTATTAAAGCAGTTGGTTCAACTGGGCTAAAGACAGAGGAGGACAACGTTTCTACAGTGTAAAGTGTTTTTAATAAAGAACAAAATTCTGAGAAGCAAATTAATGACATAACTTCATGTAACATGGAATATAAGCATGCAAAAGTTAGTCAAATAAAGATTCAAACCCAAATCAATTACAGAATTATTACTGTTGTTAGACAGTGCTTGACGGAAATTGCGCACTGGACCTTTAAGATGATCTAATATGGCGGCGGCACAGTGGTGTTGCTGTGGTTACCAGAGTCTGTGTCATTCTAGTAAATGCTAGAGGTAGCGTTTTCTGGATCACTAGTGTGGCCATCGTCATCCCAAGGGCACAAGCTGCCAACTTGGTGGTCATGAAAGCATAGTGGGTTGCTGTGCAAAGCTCATGCAATAATTCTGGAGAGGAACCGACCTCATGCAACTCTTGGCATGCAAGGTGGAGGTCACCTGGCCCACAGCAGTGTAGTCTTTGGCCGTGAGAGACTCAGATAATCTAAGTGCTTTGGACAGGAATCTAGGCTGACCTTTCCAGGCGGTGGTGCCTTGCGGGCAAAGATTGACCAAACTAGCATACTTCACCTGGGGAATCGCATTGTAACCCCTGGTAGCTCTGCCATTAAGGGTGGTGAGGGCAGGAGTGCATGAGGACTGAGCAGAAAAAGGTGCCCTTCGTGACTGCGATAGCTCACTGTGTAAGAACATCTCTAGTAAGAAGGGTGTGGGGGTCTTGGAGGGTTTGACTCTCTTCTTGGCCCTTATGTAACACTTGCCTAGTCTGTCCAGCGGTGGAACTGGAGGACCAGCCATGTTCGGTCCAACCAGCAAAGCAGCTGTGATAGCACAGCCAACATATCCGATTCCAGGTCCGAGACCTCACAACCACCGGAGGGGGGGACCGGGTTCGGACTTTCATCAGGATATGTAAGCCCACCCTTTGAAGCTGCGTAGGACACATCTGGTCCGCTGTGTCATCAAGTGAGACTGCGGCCATCTCTGGGGATGCACCGCCACACTCACTTGAAGCTTGGATGGAGCACACTATGGAGGATGGAGCACACTATGGAGGAATGAGGGGTCTGCCGGCCCGAAGGTGACAGATGAGTCCCCACTGTGACCCTCAGGTCTGCCCGAGTGCTAACCGACTTAGCACTTGAGGTGGCACAGCCTAATACTAGAGCATGCTGCGACCTCATTTGCACAACAGTCATGCCCTTGCTGTGATGGCATGAAATGTCTGAAAGCACCGCCTCAACATGCTGAACCCCAGAGATGTGACACAATGCTCATGCACGTCATCTGGGGAGAGGAAATCACTGCACCCAGAAACGCACAGTCAGAATGAAATCTTTAAAAAGATGCATTGCTCGACCCTGTCTTAAGGGAATCTGTTCTTTTATTTGAGACTGCTCTTTTAGCCACCAGTGAAATGCCCTGGAAATAGACCCAGTTTAGCCACCGCTTTATGCGTTGTCATATGGTCTGGATTAAGTACTGCTTTCTTTATGGAAGACAGCTTAGTGTATGGTTCTCTTCAGTCTTTCATGAGGCTCTAAAGCAAAAAGTCTAACAGCTTGCTCCACATGTGCTGGTTATATACTCTACTAATTATTTATCACCAGCACCTGTGGGAAAGGCATTCATTGGCCCGTTTTCTTACTCTTCAGAGTAATTGGTCATCTAGCGAGCTCCCAAAGTGTCAGTACATGCGATAGTTCCTACTGAAGGGGAACAGCTTGTGCTGTTGCTGGAGCTCAGCAAGCATGTAGAGCTTTGTTAGTCCTGTCTTTGTCTTTTACAGACAGGAGTGCAGCATGTGAAGAAAAATAGGAATCACACACTTCAGCAACTACTGGAAACTGAGGATCAGGAATATATCCTTCAAAGGCAGATGGATGGGTGCATGGACGGATGTCCTTACCAGGGGCATCACTAGACTGCATTTACAGGCGCACATGCTCTTGTCTAGTAAAAATGACCCGTGCTCCAGTTAATGTGTTTAGTTAAAGTTTACTTTATATATAAGTATATCAATTAAGAGTGGTAATCCCAGAATAAAGATGTTATTCTCTATGTACAACCGAATCAATGCTTGCGAAAGCAACATAGTTTAACTGAAAACAAACTGACACATACACACAGAAAACCATTCCCGCGTGCCTCACCCATTGCTTCTGCTCCCGGTGTGAATCCTAGTTGTTTAACACGCATGGTGAAAAAAATTATACACCGCTCATATGTTGTGAAACGGGCACAACAGCCTTTGATTCAGAGGTGTCGGCACTCAGTAAGTTTTGGAAGTTGGTAAAGCTAATGTTTAAGTAATATGATGATGATCATATTTTGACTAAACATTACTCCTGTAAGATGATTTTTTTTATGAAGCACAAAGGACAGATGATCAGTCAGAGAAAATTAGACTTAATAACATTAATTCTTTTCCATCAGAGTCAGGTCTTAGACAAAAGATAATTCTACACATTTTTGTGTTCTCTAGAATTGTAATATGAAATTGAATTTCATGCATACAATTTCTTAGAAGATCTTCACTCCAGTTGTGTCTTAACATTGGATTGATTTCTGGTATTTATTTAAAATAATAATTGTATAATAGTACTTTAATAATAATAAAAATAATAATAATAATAATAATAAAACTTTTATAATAATTACAATACTTTCATTCATTTATTCATTCATTCGTTCATTTTCCTCCAGCTTAGTCCCTTTTTTATCAGGGGTCGCCACAGCGGAATGAACCACCAACTTATCCAGCAGATTTTTATGCAGCAGATGCTCTTCCAACTGCAACCCAGCACTAGGTAACACCCATTCACACTCACATTCACACAAACACACTATGATCAATTTAGTTTTTTTTCTAGTTCACCTACAGCGCATGTCTTTGGACTGTGGGGAAAACCGGAGCACCGAAAGGAAATCCAGATGAACATGAGGAAAACATGCAAACATCACACAGAAACATCAACTGATCCAGCCGCGACTCGAGCCAGCAACCTTCTTGCTGTGAGGTGACACTAAGCCACAGTGCTGCTTACTTTTATGTATTTATAATAGTAAGCTTAAAACAATGGACCTTAACAAAAAAATATAGATGAAAAGAGAAAACACTCTTGCAGTTTAATTCAAGAGGCTGTAAGTGAAATACAGGGGATATATTTCCAGTTCAAAGGTAAGAAATTAGCAAGCTTATTTACTTTTTTCTAGATAAGTTCAAAAGTGTGTCATATATAGGCTATTTACATTCATGTGGTACACACAAGCCAGCATGACTCTTTTGAAGGGTTTTAAAAGAATAAACAGAAAGCCAATTAAATGTAACCAATGTTTATTATTGAACTAACCATTTCAGTTAACATAACCTATATTACGTTTGCTTGGAAAGTGAAAAGCAGTCAAGTACTGCATGAGCTAGCGCCATCTAGTGGTTGATATTGTGTGGAACTACTATTTCTTGTTTCATGGTGTGCTCGTGAACACATTCTGCTCTGGTCATACTCACACAGCTATATTTTTTAGGCCAGAGATAAATTATTATATTGCGTTATATGCATGTTCTCATCAGCAACATATCCAGCAGTACCTGAAAGCTTCAACATACTAAAAAGGCCAATAAATGAATACTAAGATAATTTACATACTTGAAGGCAAAGTTCACCCATAAATTAAAAATCTGTTCTCAGATTAGGATGAACTATCCTTTGAAATAATGTCAAGCTTTAGTCTTGACTCTGCATTGCGTTTGCATTTTGCTCATTCTTTAAATTGCAGCTTTGTTTCATCTATTTGTGTTTTGTGCTGCTGACCTGAAGGTGTAATCTGTGACGCTGCTGTTGAGAACGGCCGTGCGAGATCCACTACCATCAGCTGGCACCAGAGACACTCGAACCTGACTGATCGCAGCATGACGTCCAACATGCACCAACCACCGCAGCCAAACCTGAGAGGACGACACGTTCACTACCTCCAGCTGATCCACCTGACGAGGCCCTGAGGAGGTAGGAGAACAGGAGAGGAACAGCCTGTGAACCAATTCTCAACATAAAAATAATAACACAATTTAAAACATCAATTTAAAATTAAAAAAGAAATAGGGAAAAAGAAAAAAAGAAATAGGGCCGCACATTTGATAGAAATAAATTCGATGTTGCACTGTAATGTATGAATGCACGTTTAAGGGGGCTTTCACACTATTCAGCCATCAGCATGTAAAAACATTGAGATATTGTTTTTCTTTACTATATATTGCGATATGAATACAACTTTAGCAAATAATATGAATAGCTTTATTAGGAAATCATTCACTGTAATGATTTGGGTGATTTTGTATGGGGGTACATCCAAAAATATAATAAACTAATTACAAGCATAAATGGAATAAAGCAAATGGAAAAAAACGTGTTTTGGGTACACAATACTGAACAGTATTCAGGTACAGAAATGACATTATAAAATGTAAAATAACACTGCAAAGTCTTCACTGAATAATTAAGATAAATACAGTTTATCCTCATGAAAGCTTCAAGTTAGGGTTGCGCAGATCTGATAACATGATCAAAAATCGGGCCCGATCACGCCGTTTCAGACTCAATCGGAATCGAATGTTACCTCATGATCAAGACTTGAATATATATTTATACTTTTTAAGCACATCTATGAGCACAGGGTTAGACCTCTTTCTTTATTTCACACAGAAACAGCAACGCGTGCAGCATGACATCACTTTGTTGCAGAGAAGCTATTGGTTAAATGCTGACAAAGTAGAACACGGGAGCAGCTTGAAGCGGAAAGCCTGAGATGTCTACGGTCTAGAAGTATTGAAAAGTTAACGCAAGCTGTGAGATATTTACATTTGGGATTGCCTGCCGGGTATTTTAAGTTGAGGTGCTGTTTGTTTTTATATTAGATTTTTTATATTTACTACTAAAGTCCCAAAGTGAAGAATTGATGTTATTTATTAGTTGATTGTTCAAGCGACCTCACAGAAGTGCTCTGTTTGTTAACAGAGTTGTTAAATGTTAAAATAAGGTGAATTAAAAAATAAGAAACATCCTGGATGTTTCTTCGCTCTTTTTACTCTTTTTTTATGTGTTACATATAAAAACCGCATATACTCAATATATATCCCCAGATACACAAAATCAAATGACTCAGAATCTGACCTGATTGGGACATTTCTACTACAAATGTTATAATTTCTTGTGCCTGAATGCTTTAAACTTGCTTGAATTACTAGTCACATGCCTCAAAAACACATACAAATTATAAACTCACTCTATTATGGTTAAACTCTAGTGTCTCCACAGATGTTTTAAACTGTTGTGCCTGTACAACTTAATCCGGACTCGACATTGCACATACAGAAATGTGAATATTGTAGATTTACACATTGCAGTGGTAATGCTGAAAATATATTGTGCACACTAGTACTGGAAAATTAAACCTGAGACCACCTTGAGGAGGTGGTGTGAGTTTGTTTGCGAAAGGAACTGTGGGACTATTGTAAATGTGAAATAACCTTGAACTCCACACTTGTGCGCACTTGTTCAGGAAGCACCATGTGCATGCATTTTATACTGCATTCCAGACCACTTAGAATTTTCCCTGCATGTCCTGCTTTGGATTTGAGTAAGAGAGATTGTACAATACACAAGTATAGTGAGTCCATCTGAGCAACTTAATAGTAGCATAAAGCAGCTTTAATGCAACACAAATACAGTGTGCAGATGCAAGTTTCATACAGTGTGCTGCGCATAATTTCACAAAATAAAAAACAAAAGTCAACAATATATATTGACATGTGCTCAGCTGTTTTCTTTTATTATCTAGTACCTGTAGATCTCATTTCTAGTACATGATTGTGATGATGCAACAAATTGTAACAAAAAAAGTCTGACACCAGACCAACAATAGGTTGTTTGGAACCACGTGGCTCTGGTGACGCATGAAATTCAGATGGAGAGCATGAAGTAAAAAACTGAATGAAAGTCCACAGAGGAAAGTCCATATTTTTGCGATTTATACCATATTTCAAAGAAGATATAAATAGAAAATAACCCCATATGTTGGGCATGATCCTTATATTCTTGTATCACGAAGTGGGCCGAGTTAACTAAAATATATTTGCCTGTCATCGAGACGGTAGACAGTGTATAATCTATTACCTATACATGAAAAAATACAAATGTTATGGTAAATACTATAGTGCTTGGAAGCATACTATAGATAAATACTTGAATTAAACTGTCGTATTAATTATATTGTGGCTGTGGTACAACACAATTGTAATAAACAAATTCAATTGGTCTCAGTTTTCTATGCTATAATTATACATCATCACAATGCACCACAGCTTTATTACAGTTTACTATGCTACAGTATTCTGTGGCATTCATTAACAAAGAGTTATACACATTATACACTTTGTTATGTGGTTTAAAAACATGTTTATTTTAAATTACTATAGTTTTTCCCCATGCGGATATCTTACATCATGAAATAACAGATGAAAGCATACAAAAGCGTGGACGCATAGTCTACATTATTATTTACTTTTTTTGTAAGGGGGAAAGTGCTCTACAATAATAACAGTTTTGTTACAAGTGTTGTTTACTCGGCTAAAACACCAGTAAAGACTTGGATTATTGCAAAACAAGCCAGAGATTTCATTGCAGCAATTACAAGGCAGGGTACGTTATTTATATTCTCCTGGATTTCGTATAAGTGTGGTGGTTTTCTTATATATTAACATTTATACACATAGCTAGGCCTGTATATAAGCTTTATTGGTGCTGTCAAACGAACTATCGCGTTCAAAAAAAAGTTTGTACACGTATGTATAAAAAGCTGTTCATTGTTTCTTAATTTGGCTGATTTAAACAATTATAAACAACATAAACAGGAACATTTTGATGTTCTGATAACGATTCCTATGTAGAAGAATCACTTCCTGCCCTCCATCTGAATTTTAAGCATCATCAATGACGTCATGTGAAAACATCTTATGTAGAGTGCTAGAAAATGTATCTGAAAATCCCCTAGATATGTAGTTTTGATATTAGATGAAATGTTACATCACAGTTCAGACCACAGTCATTACTGTAGCAATGTAAAAAAATTGCAGAATATGACACCACGTGGTTGAACTAGGTATTGCACTCCCAGTTCAAAACACTTTTTTCACTCAGCCCCTCCTCTGATGACTCTATATGCAAGTGCAGACTGATGACGCCAACAGTAGCATGCCTGACTAAATAAAGCCAAAATCGTGTCCTAGCTAAAAGCAGCAACATGCGATAGAAGGAATAGTTTCCATGTTAAAAGGAGTTTTTGTCCTAATAAACACCTGAAATTTCTATTTTAGAGACGGCTTCTATTTCTCGCAGCTGAACAACAGGATAAACTGTGACAATGATCCCCTCAGGTACACCTCCACAGTCCTGTAACTTGCGGAACTGTGAAACAGAACTGTGATTATTATTATTATTATTATTATTATTATTATTATTACTATTATTATTATTATTATTATTATTATTATTATTATTATTATTATTATTAAATTAATCTACATTTTCAAATATTTTATATTTTATTATCTGTGTACAATTGAAAGAAAAAATTTAGGCTACATTTGTGTTAGTTCACTATTAGAAGTATAAATAAACATTAAACGAAAATCAAATATTAAAACAGGACGACACACACACAATTTGCAGAAGAAAAATTGATAGCTCTTACTAGTCCGGATAAGAGCGAAAGCTGGCTGGCTTTTGTCAATGCTGTTGACGGAGTAGGTCGAGATGTTGTAAAGCTGTCCGGGGTTCAGACCCTGCAACACATAGGTGGAATGCTTTTTCTCCAGGAAGTCTGTCTTTCTTGGTACACGGCCAACAGGAGCAAAGGCCACAGCAAAGCCACTGATCAAATTCTGAGTGACATCTGACTGATCCCAGCGTAGCTCCACTTCATTTTCTTCTACCCGCAACACATTTAGGCCAGATGGAGGCAACAGATCTGAGAACAGTTAAAGTATTTCAAATGATGGATGCCATCTAAACTGCTGCATCTCAAAACAGTACTCTTATACTGCACTTTTGATATTTTGTCCCTCACTGGACAAACTCAATTCAAATCTTGCAGTTTCTGCTAATGAATCAGATGTGTTGAATGAGGATGACATCCAAAATATGCAGTGATTGGGGCCTACAGAACAGGTTAAAAAAATTACTTATTAAAGATACAGTTGAAGTCAGAATTATTATCCGCTCTTTTATTTTCTTTTTTATTTTCTTTTTTAAATATTTTCCAAATGATGTTTAACAGAGCAAGGAAATTTTCACAGTATGTCTGATAATAGTTTATCTTTTAGTGAAAGTCTTATTTGTTTTTATTTCAGCTAGAATAAAAGCAGTTTTATTTTATTTTTTTACTATTTTAAGATCAAAATTATTAGCCCCTTTAAGCTATTTTTTTTCGATAGTCTACAGAACAAACTATCATTATACAATAACCTGCCTAATTTCTCTAACCTGCCTAGTTAACCTAATTAATCTAATTAAGTGTTCAAATGTCACTTTAAGCTGTATAGAAGTGTCTTGAAAAATATTTAGTAAAATATTATTTACTGTCATCATGGCAAAGATAAACTAAATTAGTTTTTAGAAATGAGTTATTTAAACTATTAAGTTAAGAAATGTGTTGTAAAAAATCTCTCCATTAAACAGAAATTGGGGGGAAAATTAAACAGGGTGGCTAATAATTTTGACTTCAACTATTATTAATGATTGCATAATGATTACAATAAGCTATAGCAGCTAAAATTATTAATTGTGAGCCTTAGACAAGATTTACACAACAGTTTTTTTTATGAAAAATCTTTTATGCATTTTGGCAGTTCATATATAAAAATACAAACCTTTCAAAACATTTGGTTTTAGAGTACATGTTTGTTTTCTTATGAAAATGGTATATAACTTCATATAAACTATAAAATGTGATTTTTTTTGTGGATTACATGTTTAGTGTTAGTATGTGCAAGTTCTTGACAGATGATTTGTGTTGCTTTAAAAAGTGACATTGACTACATTTACATTGACATCAGCAATCAAATTATTTGGCTTAATCTGAACAATACAATAATCTTATGAAGGTGTTTACATGAGTCACTTTTTGAATGTTCCTTTCATGATCCTGTTTTACATGTTATAGCACATAGATCGATTGACGTCATTACGTCACCACACTGTCCACATTTCATCTGGAGTTTCATGTTACTTCGGCTGTTTCAGTTTTAATTTGTCAACTTTAACTGCAGCTTTGCATTTTTACTTTTATTCAGGAACATTTTATGCATGCCCCCTGTGACAAATGAGATATTGGATGTGAGTATGAACTGCTGGAAGAGTTTAATGAGAATTTAATGGAGATTTTAAGAATTTAATTAAGAATTAATTAAGAATTTAATTAAGAATTTAATGAAATTTGATACCACACACCGTATGGAAAAAAAACCCTCTGCATTTCGCGATGCAGGTGTCTGTGGTCCTTCACTGATGCAGAGGATAGTGTCAAACTGCTGTGTGTGTATGGAATATCTTGTCCCCAAATGCGGCGAAAATCCTACACAATGGTAGTTTAATGTGTGTATATCTCTGTACTGCACTTTAATAATGCAAACTAAAATCGGCCTACTCCACATGTCTTAATCTGATTTCTGTTTAGTTTAATTACACAACCTTAATCAGATTAAATTAATCAAAAATCTCTGTTTACATGGTAGACTCTTAATCAGAGTATTGTCTTAATTGTATTAAAATCGGATTATTGGTGTCCATGTAAACATACTCATTGTCAAGTGACTGGGCTGACATGCATAAAACTTGCATCTCTTGTTATTCTGAAACTTATTTCAGGGTTCATTAATATTTTGCTGATTCATTTGATATTATGGACTCTCAGTTTCTGTAAGTTATTATTATGATTTTTTAAACCATTAAAGCAGAAGACCTACTGCCTACATGGGTTCATTCAGTACAGTAGAATTTTAGACAGAGGGGAGCCTGTGAATAAAAAAATAGTTGACAACTTTTGCTCTTTACTATGATAAGAAATTCGCATACCAAAGAAAAGTATGCATTTTAAGCGAAGTAATTCCCATATTTCTACTTAATTAATTACTTTCCTGGAAGCAATTTACCAAATCACATTGCCAATACAAACATACAAACTCTGTTCTATCTTAATATCTGGTTTCTTTCTAAATAGCCTCCACTTAAATTAAATGAATGAATATGGGTTGATTTTGAATAATGAAAGATCAGGAGCTGACCTCTCTCACAGTCTCTCCCTGTGTGGCCCACCCTGCAGGCACAGCTGTAGTTCCCCCTCCTATCACTCCGACAGACACCTCGGTTCCCACATGGCTGCAGTACACAGGGGTTCTCCACTAGACGGCAACAGAGGACCAACCGAGACCTTATATTAAAGCACAATGTCTGACAAATGTGCAGAACTAAGTGAATTACTTTTGGACTTAGTCAGCTTTTACCAATTTATTGAGAAAAGTAATCTTTCAAGCTTTAGGAATACAAAACAACCCTGCCAATATATATATATATATATATATATATATATATATATATATATATATATATATATATATATATATATATATATATATATATGTATATATATAAATTACATTAACCATTACATTAAATATTGTGTAGCATTTATGTATTCATTATTAACTATATTTTAACCAAAATCTTAATTATATCCTTATATGAAGTCTAAATATGCATTTTCAAACTTGTAATTTATTGTTTTCAGGAAGAAAATATTATAGTTAACATACATGTCTGGCAGCGGTCTCCAATGTAACCCTCTTTACACACACACAGGTGGTTCCTCCTGTAGCCTCGACATATACCTCCATTTAAGCAGGGATTTGGCTCACATCCATCCTGTTCTAAAAAAAATAAAAGAAAACATCTGTATAATAAGACCCTCTGCATTTCGCGATGCAGGTGTCTGTGGTCCTTCACTGATGCAGAGGATAGTGAAAAATAAGGAAATTTTTAGGAAATCCTTCAATCGAATAGTGTAAATGGTGAAAAATAAGATCAGAATTGAGTCAGAATCAATCGAAAAGCAAATCTGATTCAAAGTCAGATCTGACAGTGAAAGTCAAAGTGATCTGAGTCAAAATGCCAATGCAAATGTTAGTAAAAGCTAGAAATGGAATAATAAATCAACAAAACAGATTTGCTTATGATATCTTTTTTAGGGTACACATGTGACCTAAAGCACAATCTTGTGTTTTCCCCTTAAAAGCCCATAGTACTCTTTAGCTTTTAAACACTCACTAGAGTATGTGCATGTGAAACATTTAGAAGAGTCATCGCAACTAAACATATGCCGTGGGCCCTATCATACATCTGGCTCAATAAGGTGCTAGACGTGTTTGGCGTGATTTGTTGCTTTTTTAAGACCAGCGCAACCCTAATTTTCATATTTTGCGTCACATTGTTTAAATAGCAAATTAATTTGCGCCACTTTGTGGACTCATGGGTGTGCCGGTCTAAAAAGGAGATGTCTTAAGGTGCATTGTCCTTGCGTTGCTATTTGAGGAATTGAAATAGAATGCGCCATTGACCAAGTTAAACCTGGTCCAAAGTCCAGTGCAGAGCACTTTAGTTATGTGCCTATGCAGGTTAAAACACTTAATACACACAGGATGTACATCAATACACAAATATCTCTACAAATGAAATTAAATAAAGGAATAAAATGTAAAAAAAAATAATTATTTACTACATAGATATAAAAAACACAACTGTCATGCCTTCTCCATGTCGGGGGACTTTTTTCAATTTATTCATGACAATTTGCATTTTTATCATATTGTTATTATTATTAGCAGTGTTATTTAATATATGCATCTTTATATTTCTTTTAATAAAAACAAGTTTAGATTTGTCCACTATTGGGGTTTCAGGCCAACTGAGAAAAAAGCAAACTCGCCAACGTGCAGAGGATCTCTTTTCTCGGGTTGGAGCTGGACTTGGTCACCATGACTGCGGCCATCTTTGGAGAGCACGCTCAGCTAATGCTGAACTGTCTGAGACAGTTCGATAGGAAAAAAGTGGTCCCCTGAAATCTTTTCAAAGGTTCCTGGGGCATTTGCCATCCACAGCCGCTGTAACGCTGCTTGGATTACTCCATATGAGACCACTTCAGCACTGGTTTCACGATCGAGTCCCCAGACGCGCATGGCATGCGGGCACACACCGGGTGACTCTCACTGTGCTGTGACCCCTTAGCCCTTGGAATGACCCCTTATTCTTACAGGCCGGAGTGCCTCTAGGACAGGCATCCAGACATATTGTCGTTTTGACAGATGTTTCCAGCGCAGGGGTCCTGTGTTGTGGGCATGCAGCTGCGGGCCTTTAGAAAGGAACCCAGTTGCATTGGCAAATCAATCGCCGAGAGCTGTTGGCAGTGTTTCTCGCTTTCCGCCGTTTTTCACTGGTGCTGGAGTGACAGCAAGTGCTGGTCAGGACAGACAGCATGACGGCGGTGGCATATATCAACCTTTGGGAGGTATCCGCTCTCGCCGCATGTCTCAGCTTGCCCGTTGTCTGCTCCTCTGGAGTCATATGCGGCTGAAATAGTTGCGCACCATTCATATTCCGGGCGAGCTCAACCGTGTGGCCGATGCGCTCTAACAGCAGCCTTTATTTCCAGGAGAGTGGAGACTCTACCCTGAGTCTGTCCAGTTGATATGGGCGCGATTCGGAGAAGCCCAAATTGATCTGTTTTCTTCCCCATTGACAATGGTTTTTCCCTGACCGAGGGCTCCCTCGGCATGGATGCACTGGCCCACAGCTGGCCTCGAGCCATGTGCAAATATGCGTTTTCTCCAGTGTGCCTGCTCTCGCAGTTACTGTGCAAGGTCAGGGAGGATGAGGAGCAGGTCTTGCTAGTTGTGCCTCTCTGGCCCAACCAGACCTGGATTTCAGAACTCTCCCTCCTCGCAACACCCCCTCCCCCTGGCAGATGCCTTTGAGAGAGGACCTTCTCTCTCAGGGACAGGGCAATAAGTCGAGGAGCAGATCCTGTCTCAAAGGGATCTGCTCTCTCAGGGACAGGGCATCACCTGGCACCCTCGTCCAGATCTTTGAAACCTCCAAGTGTGGTCCTTAGATGCGAGGAATACTTAAGTAACCTACCGATGGCGGTGGCTAATACCATCACTCAGGCTAGTGCCCCCTCTACAAGGCGCGCCTACACCCTGAAGTGGAGTCTATTCACTGAGTGGTGCGCTTCTCGCAGAGAAGACCCCAGAACTTGCCAGATAAGTGTTGTGCTTTCTTTCAGTCAGGATAAGCTGGAGAGCAAGCTGTTGCCCTCCACACTGAAAGTTTACGTGGCGGCCATCTCCGCTCACCATGATGCGGTGGCTGGCAGCACTGTGGGAAGGCATTACCTCATCATCCGGTTCCTCAGAGATGCTAGGCGATTATTTCTCAGCGGAGAAGTCAGGCGCTGGCACATTATGTTGTTATTATGCCCGCTGGTCAGCCCAAGTGTTGGGTATAGGTGCCCGCTATGTGCAAACCCTGCTGGCGATCCCATATGTTTATTCTGCCACGATGCAGTCACCCTTCTCAGGCGGACCCGTGTCTTCCCTCACCACTAACCATCTTATTCTCATATATGTACTCCCCCTTTTCAGGACTAGGTATGTGCCTTTTGCCACTAGGTCTCTTCACTTGGGCAGCAGGTGGCTTTTGCAGCGTCCTCTCTATTGGTACTGCACACTTTTCCAATGTACTGTCACATTTAATTCCTAAAAATTACCTAGATGCATTGCGACTCGCAAAAAACTATCTAAATCCGTAAAGCTTCTGTTGAAGTGGGATAAGTAAGGGCCAGGGAACACGATGGAAGGCTGCGCCTCTGGTGATGTAGGTCTGGTGATCTGCTTGCCATAACCTCTCATTAGCCCCTTTCACACAGTGATACCGGAAAATATCCGGAAAATTTACGGAACGACTTTACCGGTATGTTCAAAAAAGCGCTGTTCACACAGGCGAGGACGTTACGGAAATTTTCCGGAAAAGAGCATTCACACATCAATTCCAAAATACCGTCATTCACACATACGTCATACATCATTCACCACAAATGAGCTTTAAACGGCTGCGCTTGTATTTGTAAACATTTGACTAAATTACAAACTCTTTTGATGATCAATATTGTAAACAACTTTCACAGGATCATATTCGCATGTCGAGATGTTCATAATATGTGCGTGTGCTGCCGCTCACAGGCTGTTTCATGGGCACACGCAAAGCTTGAAGGTAAACAAACAACGGCTTATCATAAGCATCTTATCGATGATTATTTGCACAGTTGGCATTAAGGAGAACATATAAACGTTATCTGACTAACTTCTAGCAGCTAAATGCGTCTGGAAAAATATTCAAAGGCTTTTATTCTCACAAACCGCGCGGACGTAAATGCGTCTGACTGTTGTGATTGGCTAAAGCAGAAGTCTTACGTCAGCACGTTCTAGACGTGCACGCGCTTATTCCGGAAATATTCCTTCTGCGTTCACACAGCGCAGCATTCCGGCAAATTGCCGGTAATGTTACAACTTCTCTTTCCGGAAAATAGCCAGAACGAATTTACCGGTATTTTCAAAAAGGACCTGTTCACACATACAACCTTTCCGGAAAATTGCCGGTAATTTTCCGGAAAGGTCTGTATGTGTGAAAGGGGCTATTGGTGGCAAGGTAAGGTTCAATCATTGTGGCGTTTTCCATACATTTCCCCACAAATGATATGCCACACATTTTGAATCATCCAACAAACATCCAACAGCTCAGAAATCTTTTACAACTCACATGGAGCTCGTTGGAATGTTTTTTTTTTCTTTTTTTGAGAATGTAAGTTTTACCACAACATTGACTCAGCAGAAATGGTACATTGCAAATGGATGTGTATTTACATTACAATCAGTTGAAACCCAAGAGCTACACTGAACAGCATTTAGTCATTTAAGTGACTTTTAAACTGGCTACTCCAGTGATTTAGTTCAATTTAAAAGGTTGTCCAATATATGATAACAACTCTATTAGGGTTTTTTTTAAACTTGTATTTATTTAAAATCACGTTATGCATAGATCTGTTTTAATTTTGACACATATTACTCCATGTAAATCAGTGACAGAAAAGGCAAATTAAGCCCCCAAGTTAAAGACATAATTCCAAAACAATTAAGGCATTTCGTATTTTACCCATCTCACAGTCTTGTCCAGCATAGCCCTCTTGGCAGTGGCAAAAGTAAGAGCCAGGCTGATCCTCACATGTACTTCCATGTTTACATGGCTCAGAAAGGCACTCATCCATATCTGTGAAAACATAGATACAGTATATAAACTCAAGCCAGTTTTGTAAACCAAAATCTATAGTATCTAATTGTCAGTATAACAAAAGATAATGAGGTTGGTAACCTATAGCACATGTAGGAATAATCAAGTGTCCTGTATGTATTTCATGTAAACAAAGGTCACACACCCTGTTAGGATCTATAAGTACAATTAAAGTATGAATGTTGACCTGTGCTAGGCAACACATACCTACATTAAAATATTTGTGTGACCACTGTGGATATGAGACTGACAGCTTGATCAGTGCAGAATGTGCTTTCAAATAAGTCAGTTATATGCTGTTGGCACTTATTATCAAAAGATTGCTGAATTAATAAGTATGTGCAAGTACCTGTCTGACAGCGCTGACCGGTGAAACCCTCTTCACATTCACAAAGGTAAGAGGCCACACGATCACGACAAGTTCCTCCATTCATGCATGGCTGAGACAAACACTCGTTGATCTCTGATGAAAAAGAGATGATGCGAGTCATTAACATACAAATCACATCTTTGAAGAGATCAATAATGGTAAATTTGTAGTTTTGTTGCTTTTTGGCCCAATTGGTAAAGCCCAATAGAGACTAAGATAAAATCCCATTCAGATTTGTTTTCCACTTTCCAATGCTTTCAATGATCTCATTATAAAAACAAATGAATAATTACATACTGTATATAAATTAATTGAATAGTATTTTTAAAAAATAGTTTTTCTTTTTAAATAGTGTTTGTTTCTTTTCCATGTATACTCACAGAAATACAGGAACAAAAAGCTCTCATGGGGTAATACCCTGTCAAAATTTTACCTAAAATGATGATACTGCATAAATATCAGCCACGTATGATTATTCCTGGAAATGTAAAGAAAATTGCAAAGCAGGTAATGGTTATGATTATAAGATTAATGGTTAGATACAGATAAGAGGTTTGCACTGACTAGGCTATATGTTGCGTGTTGTTTTTGAACCCAAATAAGGACTAAATGTATGCTGTGTGTAGTTTGTCTGTAATTGGTAACATCAGAGACTGTAAGGGTCTGTATGTGTTTATATATGTTGCATTTATTTATTTATTTTATATAGTTGCAGTAGGCTATTTCGCATCATTGATCTGTAGTTATAATCAAATCATGTTCATAGAAAGGTTAGTAATGAACCTTTATACACAAGTATTTATGTGAATTAAGCATCTGTTTTGTGAGAAGTGCTTCTCATACGATATGTGAACAACCCCTACAACTTTGACATTTCCTAGAGCGAGAATGACGTTGACTGAAACTTTCTGTTGTTCCATTGGTACCCTTTTGTCAGTGGAAACTTAAGCCTGATAAAGGTTTTAAAGGAAATTTAAACCCTATAAACTTCCATTCATTTGCAAGAAAATGCCGCAGACCGGAAATGACAAGTTTGCGACAAGAATATGCATTCGCTGTGTTCGAAAGTTCAAACTTGTTAAACTTTGACCTGCGAAACCACATTACGTGATTGCGTGAGACCTACAGAGGCTCAAAACTGGACCCCTCTATACAGAAATTTAAAATATGGAGCAATCGCTTGCTTTTATCAAGTCTAATCATTTTGTTTTATCCCACCCCCTTTTTGGAGAGGGTGCTCGCTGCAGAGCCAATTGAGCAGAGCTGAGCTCCAGCGAGGGGGAGCATGAGCTCTCGCTCTGCCTCCTGTAAACTGTTTTAATGCGTACACTAACCCCACCCCTAACCCTACCCCCAGTGACATCACTCATAGAAGAAGTTCAAAAAAGGTGGAGCTCAAGCTCAAGCTCCCCCTTGCTGGAGCTCAGCTCGCCCAAATGGCTCTGCAGCGAGCACCACTTGGCTTTTTTGCTGTGCCAAATTCTACAGTGAACTCTAGCCAAACACAAACTCTAGTGACCGCAACTTTCCATAGATAATCTGGTCCCACTTTATATTAAGTGGCCTTAACTAATATGCACTTACATAGGATTTAATAGTTTGTTACAATGTACTTATTGTGTAAATACATGTATTGACTGTATACTTATGCTTGATTAAATACATGTATGTAATTACATCTGTAATTAACTTTTGTAATTACATTTGTATATACACTGTTGACCACCCCTTACACCTTAACCCACCCTTAAACCTACCCACACCACCAAACCTGTCCATAACCCAACCTCTATCCCAACTCAAAAGCACCACGTGTTCTCAAATACATTATAAACACAGTAAGTACATTGTATTGATTTTTTTGATGTAAGTACAAAGTAGTTAAGGACACTTAATATAAAGTGGGACCGATAATCTTAATGCAATGATTATGATGGGATTTTGGCGATATTGTGATCAAAATTTTCCTTATGTAAATGTGTTAATCATTCAATCGAAATAATGTGATTAAGCTCATAATGGCAGTAAGCATGATTGTATTAACATTTACTACACATTAACATTTATTGCACTTTAGACCAAAGTGTGCATGTGCGTGTTATGGTGAAAATACCGTGTGCAGCTTGTGAAATGCTTCCTTAATGCAAGGAATACAATCATACAAAACTGTTTTACATTAGATGTAAATTAATAAAAAATGTGGGGTAACACTTTAAAAATAAGGTTCATTAGTTAATGCATTTACTAACATGAACTAATCATGAACAACACATGTACAGCATTTATTAATCATAATTGAACATTTACTAATGCATTATTAACATCCAAGTCCATGCTTGTTAACATTAGTTAATGCACCATGAGTTAACATGAACTAACAATGAACTACTGTATTTTCATTAACTAACGTTAACTAATATGAACAAATACAGTAGTAAATGTATTGTTCATTGTTTGTTCATGTTAGTAAATGCATTAATTATTAACATTAACTAATAAACCTTATTGTAAAGTGTGACCAAATGGGGTCAGTAAGACAATGACTCTTTGTAAATCTATCATTTGTGTTGTAAAGTGAGGTATTTGAATAATGGGTGTAAGACACATAATGACCAAAATTTTTAGGGATTAATATTAATAATAGAAATTGCATGTAAACAAGATTAAATACTTCAATAAAATTAAACATATCGTGATTAAGCCTGATTTTTGGAAATAACTGCATTATTTGTGCCCATGTAAACATCGTCAATTATCGTCATACCTAAAGGATTCATATCGGTACCTTAAAAGTAAATTTTTATTACCTGAAGGGTACTGGCCCAGTGACAGCGTTTCTATCTTTATTTCTAAAAGTTCTCATGATGAAATGAAATAGCCATTTAAAACATTCTTTCTGAAAATACAAGAATAAAACAAAAGGGGATAACAAACTCTTCACCATCCTCACTGCAGCAAGAAAGCTGACCAAGGCATTTGGATCTCTCCTTGTCTTACTGTGTACATGGCCTGTTTATTTGATGCAATACAGATGATGTAGTACCTCACGTTGCCAGAGCAGCATCATGCTTTATGTCCCAAGAAGAAACCGCAGAATTTTGTGTTTAAGAGCTCTGTACTGTGTACTAAGGCCTGACTACTTTATGTTAGCACCCTGACACACTACACAAACTTTATGTTGGTTTCAAACTACAATTTGTTTTAGAGTGTTTTTACTCGTTTGACATTTAGTAAGCTCATCAGCTCTTCTTCCCAGCATTCCAAACCAGCCAACCATTTTGGAATGTTGGTTTCAGGGTGGAAAGGTCTTAGGCAAACTTTGAACAACAAGGGTTTTGAATATACAGTAAGTCTACACTAACCTTCACAGACTGGAGGCTGGCTCCAGGACCCCTGGCTGCTGCAGATGATCTGGGTGGCCCTAGTGAGGGGAGTGTAGCCTGGGTGGCATAAATACAGAGCCATGGAGCCTGGAGTAGTGGAGGAATACTGTACCTCTGCATGCTTAGCTTTCACAGGGGGGCCACAGTCTAGACCTGCACCATACAAAGAGGACAAAAATGATGTACATGAACAAGATTTGAAAAATTTCTTAAACCTTAACTATATAATAATACTAGCAATGCTAAATACATGCAAATACAGCTTTTGAAGTGAATCAGGGTTAAGCAAGTCTACTATTTATGAAAGAAAACAATAAAGATGACAAATAATAATATTTATTATAATTTTTATAAAGATTAAATTAGTATTAGATTGATTCAAATAAATACTAGATTGTTTAAACTATTTACCATTTAAAAATAGATTAGAACTTAGCCAATCTCTGAGAAAAAAAATGTACTTAAGATAAAAATTGAATGGCCTGTTTTCATTAAGTGGTAGAGTACGGTTTGATTTGGTATGCTTTTATGGCCGTTTCCACTGTCAGTTTCCACTGTCAGGTATGCCGCAGACTAAAGGTAAATCGTACCATACCATTTTTTGGGTACCCTTTGCAAAGGTTACCCTGCACGCCAAAAGGGTACCAAAATGCAGAGCTAGATGCACAACTGGACACTATTGGTTTACAGAGATACGTCACTTGGTCCTGCAACAAGCCAGAATGAAAATAAACCGCCATTTTTAAAAACACACTCGAGACATTATACCGTTTTAATATATACATATAATAACAAGCCATGGTCAACCCGACCTCAAACAAGCCTTGTCGTCATCTTGATGAGCAGCCACAAAGCCAAGAAGAACAAAATCTGCCTTGTCCTGTTGTTGTTTTATGAGCCCATATAAAAGCGCGAGTGGTTTCACTGTCTCCAGAAAGCTCTCTGTGCATCTATATTTGAAATAATGAACTTCTTGAGCTGATAATAATAACGTGCGTGTGATTATTGAAGTGCTTCTGACATCCGATCCTTTCAGAAACTGACAAACGCGAAAGTAAAACAGAGGAGAAGCCGGAAAACAAAGGAGCAAATGATTCTGTCAGCAACCCAAAACATGAACAAACTGCCATGTTTAACTATTATCATCACCTATGGGACTATTATGAACTCAGAATTACGGAATTACTTTCTAACAAGAAGTTACATGTGCTGGTTAAGATTAAAGATACAGATGAAAAGTTTGCACTGACTGGGCTATATTTCGTGTTGTATTTGTACCTAAATAAGAATTTAAGATCAGATTAAATTCAACTTTATTATCATTACACATGTAGAAGTACAAGGCAAGGAAATGCAGTTGTAAATGTATGCTGTGTGTAGTTTTTATGTAATAGGTAACATTTCGGAGGCTGTAAGGGTCTGAATGTGTTCATATATGTTGTATTTATTTTATATAATCGCATATGTTATTTCTAGGCTATTTTCATCATTGATCTGCAGTTATAATCCAATGAAGTTCATAGAAAGGTTAGTAATTAACGTTTGTACACAAGTATTTATGTGTATAAAGCATTCGTTTTGTGAGAAGTGCTTCTCATACGATATGTGAACAACCCATACAGCTTTACTTTGACATTTCCCCGACCGAGAATGACGTCGACTGAAACTTTCTGTCGTACACTATGCCTACTGTTTGTACCCTTTTGGCAGTGGAAACGCAAGCCTGATAAAAGGGACCCATTCCGTTCTGTGCCACTCAGTGGAAATGGGCCATTATATAAACTAAATATGTTAATATAACTTATACAGCTAATGCAGTGAGTTCTAAGCTGAGATGGATTGGAAACATTATAACAGAATACACTGTGAGCAGAGGCAGCAACAGATATTTGTTGCTTTCTAAAGTTATTGCTTTTCCCGAAAGCATAAAGAACCAACCTGTCTCACTTTACCTAATACACATGGCAACATTTACAGCCACGAGCAGATCCATAAATAGAGAGAAGCTGTAAAAACATCCTTTTTGTGAAATGTTTTAGGAGACAAGGGGATGGTATTTCATCCTATCACGGAACAGCGGGACACAAATTTAACCGCACTTTGTGGAAAACCTTGTAGAATCAACAGTAACACGGAGGCCTGTACAGCAGAGTTATAACCCAGGTTCAAACAGAGTATCAGATGCACTGAGGGCTTAATCCAGCTCCATCTCTGGGGAGGTGACACACAACCCAGCTTTACTGCAGGAACTGGCACCTGCTGCTTCGTTCTGGCATCATCTGAATGAAGATTCTCCTCCTAACACGCATATCGGTTACACCTAAATGAATGAAAAGTAACTACCACAAAGAGCTGTGTGAGCTCCTGATTCCTGATTTCTTGGCAGACAGCTCAGTGTACTTCTGAAGTAAAAACAGAGTTTGATTACCCTCCAAAGCTGGATTAGAGCCTCTGTTGATCTCGCAGTGTCTTCCCATGAAGGACGGGGAGCACTCGCATTTGTATTTACCGATGTAGTGGAAACATGTTCCCCCATTTCGACAGGGACTGGAAGCACATGGATCTGGCTTTCCTAAACATAAAGCATCAGATGGTTGAGGAAATTTGCAATGAATTATGCTTACAGTAGTTATGCATACAGTAAATGTGCATTTTCAAATGTATTTGTGAAGCATGCATGGCCATGTGTGCATCTAAATGAGGTCAACATGTGTGAGAAATCATCGATCATTACAGTAGCACTGAGAAAGAGAAACAGCTTTTCATGCATGTGCCAGGGCAAGTTGTTTTTCCTACATTCAAGGAATCCAAGTGTTGAACAAACTCCAGCAAATTGGATCATTACACAAGGCCAAACAGTTGCACAACTCTAATGTGGGACAAAGTTGGGATAATGAAAATCCGGAGATGAAAAGCATCTTGGCTTTGAAGATCTTTTTTTTTGTGCAGTTTTACAGCACTCTGTGTGTGCGGAAATGCCATTTTCCAAACATGAAGAAAAGCAGATTACACACTTATTCCATTTGACCAGAAAAGAGGAAAGAAAGGGTGAATGAGAATAGAAACCACCCATGGGTTCTAACTGCGTGCCTGAATTTTGCGTACTCGCACACACTTAAGTCCCTTTCGTGGCAAACCTTTCAAACAAAAGGCTGATGGAAACACAATGTCATGATCTCAACAGTAGAGGGTGCATTTTCAGGCTGGTCAAATAATAGGTAAAAAATTTCGGTGGAGGAATTATTCATTCATTCATTTTCTTGTCGGCTTAGTCCCTTTATTAATCTGGGGTCACCACAGAGGAATGCACCGCCAACTTATCCAGCAAGTTTTAACGCAGCGGATGCCCTTCCAGCCGCAACCCATCTCTGGGAAACATCCACACACACATTCACACTCATACACTATGGACAATTTAGCCTGCCCAATTCACCTGTACCGCATGTCTTTGGAATGTGGGGGAAACCGGAGCACCCGGAGGAAACCCACGCGAAGGCAGGGAGAACATGCAAACTCCACACAGAAACGCCAACTGAGCCGAGGTTCGAACCAGCGACCCAGCGACCTTCTTGCTGTGAGGCGACAGCACTACCTACTGCGCCACTGCCTCGCCGGTGGAGGAATTAAATGCTATTAATTGCTTATGTAGTGGTGCTGGACACTTGATCCAAAGCAATCTCTGAGATCTAGAATTTGAACATTTTTATAAACGGACAAAGAGAAACACTGAAATAAAAAAATGCTTTGTCAACAAGCTTCCGCTTTAAATTTTAGATATACAGTGGAGAAAATAAGTATTGAACTCATCACCCATTGTCTCAGAAAATGTTTCTAGAGGTGCTGATGACTTGACATTTTCACTAAAAAAATCCATATATGCAATTGAAAACAAAACTAATTTACAAATGAAGGTAATAATATGAACTGACACAGAGAAAAGGTAATGAACACATGAAGAAAGGGAGGCGTAGAAAGGCAGCGAAAGCCCAAAAAGCAGCTGAAATATCTCAGTAGTTTTTCAGCAACCCTCTGTTCTTCGTCATTGAAAATTAATATTCAGTGCTTTCTCCTTGTGTCATTCTATTGTTATTGCAGATAACTGATTTTTCAGATTTTTTTGTTTTATTTGCATGTTTGTATTGTTCGGGTTTTTGCCAAAATCTGGTTCAATTCCATGTCAAGAGCTCCTTTAGAGATATAATTTGCAGGAAAAAAACATGATATGTTTAACACTCATTTCCCCTACTGTATTACCCAATGAGCCATTGAATAATGACAACCTTCTTAAAAACCTGTAGAACATGTTTTTGCCCATAAAACATCTGCCATGTAGTGAGGCTTTGATTCGCCGAAGTAACGATAGGTCTGCATATAATGTCAGCATCAGGTTCTCCAGTTCCTGTGTATTGCAGGGTAGTAGTGGTGATGTGGCATGAACCTGCTTTAGTAAGTCTAACCACAAATGGTTGATTGGGTTTGTGGGGAGTAAATTCGAAAGTCGAGACTTTAGTACAAATTTAACAGCCACCCACAAACAATGCCTGCAGTCTCTTATTGGACATTATCCTGTTGTTGATGGCCATCGCTGACCATGTACAAATGTAACCCCACCGGTCCCACACCACCCAACCCGCTCTGAGTTGAGCGGGTTGATCGAACCTGTGACTTTCTGCAGGGAAGTCGGTTGATCAACCATGGAGGCTACAGACGGTCTCTAGTGTCTGTCGCTAGAGCAACTTTAGAGGTCAGAGGAGTGAGGTTTACATGCTCATCACTTCACTAGCTAGCCTCTTCTACACTTACCCCCCTAAACCTCACTCCAATCCGGGTCACGGCACCAATGCAACCCCACCGGTCTGGAATCGAACCGATGACCTAGTGCATGGAAGTCGGCTGCTATAACAAGGAGGCTAAAGAGCATGACCCTAGTGTTTGTCGAGCACCTTTAGAGGTCAGCGGAGTGAGGGTTACTTGCTCAGTAATTCACTAGCTGGCCTCTGCTGCTCAGTTGCCGTGAATAAGTACACTTGGTCCCAGATCTCAAGGACTGTGCTATTAGAATCCAGTATATCAAGAGAAACTGCTGTGACAGAGCATTTATGCTTATACACTTTAAACAACTTAATCATATTTTTGTCCCTGTTTAAATCACAACAGAAAACCAATTATTACAGCAAAGATATCTTGACGTTAAACACTTACCCACTTCACAGTGTTTCCCTGTGAAACGGTAGGGGCAGACACAATGGTAGCTGTCAGCTTCTTCTTTACAAGAACCTCCATTACGACAGGGACTAGAAGCACAGATACTTAATCTGACTGAGGAAAAAAAAAGGAATTAAATTAAATATTGCATGTTTAAGACTTCTGCAAAACTAATATGTGGTGCATCACGCAATATAAAGCACAGTGGTGGAATTGCTGAACATGTGACTAACTTAATGTGTAAGCATGCAAAGACAAAATGTTAACAAGAATGGCAAACACAGCATACCTCTTTCGCAATGCTTGCCTCTGTAGCCGTGTTTGCACTCGCAGATGTAGTCTCCATCTCTTTCATAGCAATACCCTCCATTCTGACACGGAGAGGAGTCGCAGGCTGATTGGGGCTGTACTGAAAAACACACGCACCAGCTTCACCACGTTCCCTCACAGCGGGTGATCATTTTTACCACTCACTTGTAACTTTTATTTGCATGTGTTGGAATGATTTCATTTAAATGCACAGCACGGCTTAGATCCTCTGTGTATTTTAGTAGCCAACTTGAAACCTTAGCTTAACATTATGTCAACACACAAATAAATCTTTCTTTTCTCATTTGCTCATAACATAACGCCTTTATTGCTTTGGGGACATTTGCCATCCCGGTGACCTGGCACAGAGTTAGTTCATTTGTCATGGAGCCCATTCTCAGCACATGGCTTCAATGCTCTCCAAGGGTCTTACCATAGGGGTAGAAATCCTTGTGATCAAATTCGGCACCAGTTTGGCAGGTGCAAAGGTATGTGCCACCATATTCCAAGCAGGGACCTCCATCTGGACATGGCCTGTTGTTACTGCAGGGTGTTTGTGTTACTTCTAAGGAGTGAAATAATAATTCACAGCAATTAGTTGTTTTACAAATATTTAGAAGTACTTTTGACATAACTTATTTTTATGATGACATGTTGCCCACCCTTTTGATTATTTAAATCTTTCAGATTTTTCATCATCAGGCCAAACAATTAATTTACAATGTGGAGAATTTCCAGAAATACATTATTTAGTGTGATTTAATAATCACAGACCATTCAACAGTTGGCTAATAGCAATCTGTGCTTAAAAAATAAGATCCGTACAAGAGCAACTACTGTCAATCATCACGTGTTCAGCTTGAATCTGCAGTGCCATACTTACTATATATTGCTATACTAATTTCTACCAATTCAAGAGGGTGTGAAACTCCATTTTTTGTGTTTAAATAGACTTTCCCCTATGCCTGCATGCAATTTTCAGTTAAGACAGCACCATTGACCAACTAAAAGCTGGTCTAAAGTCCAGCGCAGAATGAGTTAATTATGCGGCTATGCGGGTATGTTTACTCATTGCATAATACACACAGGATACACAGCAATACACAAATAACTTTACATATAAAAACATATTATAAAAACCTCCATGCCCTCTTCACATCGGCGGGCTTCTTTCAGTTTATTCATGGCAATTTGTATTTGTATAATGTTATTATTATTATGAGTATTATTTATTATATGCACATTTATAATTATTTTATTAAAAACAAGTTTAGATTTGTTCATCTGTCGGGTTTTGGAGACGTTTGCATCACCATATGGGGCATAAGAATAGGGAATGTGTTTGAACATAACTCAGTTTTTTGACCACACTTCATTATTATTGTTCATTTATTCATTTGCTGGAAATTAAAACTGAATTTAGAAATAGTTTTGAAACAACTCTTTGTGCATAACAAACAAAATTAAATATGTAGCTTATCTATGTCTTGAGCGGAGTGCGTACAACACTGTTTCCTTATCCACGAAAGTAAAGGAGCAAAGAGAAAAAGTAAAGAGAAAGTAAACAGGCCGAATGGAGGAGGCTCGTTCTTTATCCTCATACTGCAGATGGTCTGTTTAACTGTTTTCTCGCTAGTGAAGTTTTTCCATAGCAAATGCACCATGGCGTGATGCAACTGACTCTTAAAGGGAATGGGAGATGAAACTCCAATTGATTTAATGCACGTTATGCTCAAAACACACCTATAACTTGAATAAGAGAATAAGCACAAGCCTGTAAGACCATGCGATAGGGAGCAAAGCGTACTTTTCCATCCTTAAAATAGCAAAAGTAAATGCGAACATGCCCTGCTTTAGACTTTGCACCTAGATTGATTAAATAGAGCCCAAAGTTCAGTTAAAGGTGGGATTTATTTTTATTCATAGTCAGACTACTTAAAATCCATTGTGGATTAGAATAATTTTTAAAAAGACACAAAATCTTGGCTGATATATTAATTAAATGTTTATAATTATGTACGACTTGTAGTTTTTGTTTATGGTAATTTATAAAAGCCCTTCTACTGTGGTGAATTAGCTTTGGCTAAAACCATTATGGTACATGCATGGTATGGCTTTTATTTCAGTTTAATACATGTTTTTATTTTTATTTTTTTTGTATCTGTTTCTAATAACATTTTTAATTAATAAGGTAGACCTGTAATTAGAATTATCATCCATTAATCTGCAACCTTTAAAATAATATCTCATTCTCTCTGCCTTGATTTTAAAATCTTGACAATTGGGTAAATGCTTAAAAAAAACTTTTCTGTGTTTTTATGGAGTTAATACATACCAAACTGACAGTAGAGTCCAGTGAAGCCTGTAGGACAGTCACAAGTGCCATTCACATCAACACAAATACCTCCATTCTGACAGGGGCACTCCTCTGTAAGGGATTTAAAAGCAAAGAGAAGGAGACAGATGAAGAGAAGCCTTTGGCAGGAGATCAGCATAGTTTTAAATTTTCTGAATAAGTAAACACCAACCAATCTAAAATATGTGGCTCTTTCTTCACATCATTCAAATTGGCACAAAGTGTAAATTCATGTGTGGGAAAATTGTGGGTTTCTTTAGTTTAGCCTAGTGTGCTGTGGTGGTGTTCATTGTACTGTTGTCCATTATAAACCTATTTCTTGGGTCAGTCTTTCCCACAACATTTCCCACACAGTTCATGGTGTGCCGAATGACTCTTAAGTCAGTATTCAGCTTTTCTGTACCAAAACACTTTTATTTTCCTCTTCCTGTAATAATTGTGGGTCAAACAAGTTACTATATCTCTTTTAAAAGAATACTTCCTTTTAGTCCAGGGTCATGAGGGTGTTATTTATCTGTTAACATTTTTAAATTCAAACTGTATGACCTTAGGGGAAATTAATAGGTTTTTAATTTGCTGAATTTCAGGGGATTTCAGGTTTTGCTGTGATTTCAGGTCGGTGTCTTTGATCTCTGTGCCCTATTAGACACTCCTGGGTTCTGCCTGTGAGCTTCTACCTTCTCTTTTTGAAAGGACTGCATTACTTTTTCCGCTGCACATTCCAAGTGAGCCAGGCAGGAAGGTATTTTGGAGATTTAAGAGAGTCTATATAAGCGTCGATTGTTATTTCAGCTCCAGGGGGAATAGTAGGATGGATTTGCTGTAGCTCAAAATGTATAGTTAAATATATGGATATTTATGCCAAATTCACACTACACTGTTTTAAGTATCGGCAGGGTTGGTTGTGTTCATTCTTAAATGACAGTGGTGACTCCAGGATTATTTGTTGTTGGGATGCTAATGTGGGGCTTAACACTAGACGGGGTGCTAAAAATCTAAATTACACAGATTTTTTATAATTGAAATGCTTAAAGTGGGAATATTTTACTTTTTTCTAGGTGTATCAAATCTCTTATGTGTCACTGTTTGTAATAAAATGTCTAATGCCAACAACCAAAAAAGACATTTACAAATAACTTTTAATTAATTGTCTTTTTTATTTTATTCTGTTAAATGTATATATATATATATATATATATATATATATATATATATATATATTTTTTTTTTTTTTTTTTTTTTTTTTTTTTTTGGTAACACAACTAGTCTATATTTACTCATTTCTTTTATTTACAGTACATAAAATCTTGACAATTCATAATACAAATACAAATAATACTCATACAAATTCGTACAAATTAGCCACTAAACTGAGGGGGAAAAAAAGTAAAATAGTTATGTTTTCTCATGAGATCAGGCTGGCAAAACCATATTATGTCTACATTTGCGGCAATTCATCTATTGTTATTGAATAGCGGCAGTTAAGATTCAAATGAGTTCAAAAGTATTTATCAGCAAACATTATTTTTTCATAAGAAAAAGTGACTGCCGTTGTTTGTTAACCCCTCGGCTTCGACACCCAGCAGCCCCCTGGAAATTCTAGCACAATGAGAAGTCAACAAGCCAGTCTCCATTTAACAGTCGTGCTAGTAACAGGTGACCGTTGCTACTGTGTGATGCAGTTATCTCCAATCTGAAGTTCGGATAGAGATTGCCATGTTATTACTGAGCTTCTCTGCAGAGTGAAAAATTTAGGGTATTTTATTTGTTGTTAATAGCACTCCATGATAGCTATTGATAACTAATGCTAGTTGTTTATTATGCACTTTGGTTAGGTTGTTAATGTTTATTTTTCAATAAAGTAAAGTGGGAAAATTTAGAAAATTTTCAATAAAACAAATCATTAGGAAATCCTTACAGGATGAGTCTCAACCCTAGCACTGCCACTGCATGTAAATGATCCACAACAGGGGTCACACTAGATGATCTCTCATTGTTCTGAAAACCTAAAGTAAAACATGTTTGGGCTCATGTTCACAGTCAGGTTCATAAATATTGGAACATTGACCCATTGCTAACATTTTTGGCTCTATACACAACAAAACAAACAAGATGTGCTTAAACTGCAAGCTGTCAGCTTTAATTTGAGACTGTTTACATATAAATCAGGTGAACGGTGTAGGCATTACATATGTGCCTCCCACTTGTGAAGGGACCAAAATAATGGGACAGAATAAAAATCATAAATGAAACTTTCACTTTTTAATACTTGGTTGCAAATCCTTTGCAGTCAATTACAGCGTGAAGTCTGGAACACATAGACACCATCAGCTGCTGGGTTTAATTTCTGGTGGTGCTTTGCCAGGCCCCAACAGCAACTGTCTTCAGTTCCTGCTTGTTATTGGGTCATTTTCCCTTCAGTTTTGTCTTCAGTAGCTGAAATATATGCTCAATCAAATTCAGGTCAGGGGATTGACCATTGCATAAGGTTCCAGTTCTTTCGCTTCAAAAACTCCTTGGTTGCTTTTGCAGTATGCTTTTGGTCACTGTCCATCTGCTCTGTGAAGTGCCATCCAATGAGTTCTGAAGCATTTGGCTGAATATGAGCAGATAATATTGCCCGAAACACTTTAGAATGCATCCTACTGCAAACACATCAATAAATACAAGAAATCCAGTTCCAATGGTAGCCATGCATGCCTACGCCATGACACTACCACCACCATGCTTCACTGCTTAGGATCATAAGCGGTTCTTTTCCTTCTCCATACTCTTCTCTTCCCATCACTCTGGAAAAAAGTTGACCTTGGTCATATTTGTTCATAGAATGTTGTTCCAGAACTGCAAAGGCTTTTTTAGAACTTTAATCTGGCCTTACTGTTTTGAGGCTCACCAATGGTTTACATCTTGTGGTGAACCCTCTGTATTCACTCTGGTGAACACACATACAGTACACCTACCTCCTGGAGAGAGTTCTTGATCTGGCCAACTCCTTTGAAGGTTTTTTTTCACTAGGAAATAATTATTCAGTTTTCCACCACAGAAACTTCCGGGTCTTTTAGTGTTGCTGAGCTCTTAGCTTTTAGCTGTTTTGGCCAAGCCTAATGTTTTTGATATTTCTGATGGGTTTGTTTTGTTTTTTCAACCTAATGATGGCTTGCTTGACTGATAGTGACAGCTCTTTGGATCTCATCTCGAGAGTTGTCAGCAACAGATTCCAAATTCAAATAGCACACTTGAATCGAACTCTGGACCTTTTATCTGCTCACTGTAATTGGGATAACGAAGGAATAACACACATCTGGCCATGGAACAGCTGAGAAGCCAGTTGTCCAATTACTTTTAGTCCCTTAACATAAAGAGGCAATTCTTACACCGCTCACCTGATTTGTATGTAAATACTGTCAAATTAAAGCTGACAGCCTGCAGTTAAAGCACATCTTGTTTGTTTTATTTCAAATCCATTGTGTTGGTGTATAGAGCCAAAACTGTCAGAATTGTGTCAATGTCCAAATATTTATGGACCTGACTGTATAGTGTTTAATAAATTTATTTATTTATTTATTTTTAAACGGTGTTAGCTTATGATAGACACATTTTTTGATATTCCACTTTACAGCTTTTGACAGTAAATGTTCATGGCGGAACTATGAGAAAGAGCAACTGGCTTCTAAATAATGACCTACATTACAGACACGCTCTGCAATAGTTGGTTATAGCTCTGAATGCGTACACTGCAGTGCATGTGTCTATCAGTTGATCTATCTGCAGATCACTCATATATCTGGCTTTCAAACACTCCAGTGTACATGTAAGTGCTCTGTGGAGAACATGAATCAATCATCATGGGTTGACTTGCTGTCCCACTGGCTGTAGCTCATCACTACAACTGATATCAAGTGATGTTTAGGCCAACCAGTCCAGATATATGGCATGCTAGATATTTGCGAGGTGTCAGTGATGTGTCAGCGAACCTCTCTGATGTGTCGTTAAGTATTTTACACAAAGATTGCAAAGCGCCAATCACCTGCTGATTATCCTTAAATCATATCCTGATCTGTCAGCGAACTTCTTAATTTGCAAATTGGGCTCAAATCAGACTCAAACCAGGAGATAAAGCAGGAAATGAGGATGTTGCATCTCATATCATCTTCATAACCCAAAACTTTTGAGATTTGTAGTTGAATGTCAGAGCATTCAAACAGGTTTCATTGGCTGTGTTGCAGGGAAGTGAATTCCAAGCATTAGCACTGTCTCATAAAACAGAGGCCCTTTAAAGTCTAGACAAGAGTCCTTCCTCTTGTTGGTAAAGTAGTAAAAAGTGCCATAAAGCAATTATTTACAACATCAAGCGACTTGCTGCAAGGGCTGAGCAGTAAACCTGGTGAGGTTTTGTAGGTTTGGATAATTATGCTCATCCATCACAGCTACATAGTCTTCCTCAGGCAGTGCTTCAAATTCCTGTGGGATTGTGATGTCTGTCTTGTTCTTTTCCGTGCCATGCTCCTGCCCAGTTACTTGAGGAAAGCAACTACTGTGCAATAAAACTTGAGACTGCTTACCTTCACAGTTGTCACCGTAGTATCCGGGCATGCAGGTGCAGCTGTAATTTCCAGAGTTAGTGTACTCGCAGATTTGATGTTTATTACAAATCTCTCCAACACAGGATTCTGTTAATGAAGTAAAACATAAGTGTGGTATTTTATAAGTTAAGTGATTCAGCTTAGTGGGAACTTGAAAAACATTTACCACTTACCTGTCTGATTTGCAGCATCAGCAACAACCAACTCTGTTTTATGGGGAAAATACTTAATTAGTATGTTGTGGAGGTATTACTAGAGTAACACAATCAAACCATTTACTGATGTTTAATTAAGTGATATGTGTAAAATAAAGGTAAATCCATAAATAACTAAACCAAATCGAAACCCCATTTAAATTTTAAGCCACTTTGTTGACCTAAAGGGCCAAAATGAAACTGATAACTTGATGTTATTAACAAAGGATTTAGTTGAAGTACTCAGACACGTGGTCAAAAGCCATAGTTATCCTATAGTGTTTCACTCTCCTTATCCATTTCACTTTTTCAGCTTCTTGGAAAATGTTACAGCAAGCCAAATGTAAAGGGGAAAGTAGGTGGCTGGCTGTGTAAACACATTCTATCATTAAACATTTTTCGCCTCACAAATGGAAACAAAAACAAAGACCGGATAATGTGTTGCGCCTGGCATTTATAAAGTAAGATGATTGGCTGAACTCAAGAGTAAGAGCACACCTGTCTCACATGCGCTTCCAGTGAAGTTTGCTGTACAGGTGCAGGTGTAGTTATTTACCAGGTCTTCACACACACCTCCATTCAAACATGGCACTGACATGCATTCGTTGATGTCTGTATTCAAAAACACAAGATTCATTGGTTAGAGTACAGACTTAGAAAAAGTCAGACCTTGGAAAAGCTTGGTTTTGACTGTATTGATATTTTAGGATTTGTGCAGGTGTATTGTTTCATTAATCAGGTGTCTAGTATGAACATCAATCTGGTCTCGTGTAGAAACAAGGGTTCAAGGTAAACAAAGCCAAGCAGATTCATTTTCAAAGAACTTCACAACTGGGTTTGTATTTCATTAATAAAATCCATTGTGGGAAGCCCAATTTGTCAACCAGGGGAATCATGTCAGTGCTTTTTCCTAAAAAAATCATATCAAGGTCTGCTCAGAGCGCTTTCAATATTCGGAACATAAAACCTGACCCAAAATGAAAACAGCAAAAGAAATCAAAGTACCTGATAAAATAATTCCATTTACTAGCTGCCTTTTAAAAGTATTGTGCTATTGCAGTCTTCAGTCTAGATAACACCATCTGTCAAATGAATAAGTGCAAGCCTAATGTGGAAAAAAATAAAATGTTCCCTGGGGAAAGCCATGGCCTTTCCGTGACACTCCCAAGATCTGTACTCACCTGACTCGCATAGGAACCCAGTGTAACCTGCTTGGCATTTACAGGTGAAGTTGCCGACACCCTGTATGCACTGTGCTCCATTGAGACATGGGGTCTCCTGGCACTCGTCTATGTCTGCAGGCGATAAACACAGAGACGCACACATACACATAGACACACACTGGATATTTATTCAGCTGATTAATATATCCTCCACACCGTTCCCCTCACTCTAAAACTATGCACTTCTGGCTGTGAAAGGTATTAGAGGTTTGATACATCTCTGCAGGCTGGACTGTGGGAACGAGAAAGAGGCTGAAGCCAGCAGAGTGCTAAGGGAGGAGGGGAGGATAAAGTCAGTGAGGAAAGAGTCCACAGCATAAAATGAAGAGCTTACTGAGTTTCACATCATTTTCAGTAGCTATTTTACACCTCGTTGGACGAGTTTTTGAAAAGAACATTTAGTTTCTGTTACCTCAGCATGCAATATGCAAAAAGTCAGATAAATGAAGATTCTAGAATTTACCTGTCTCACATGTTGCCCCTATGAATCCCACTGGGCACAGGCAGATGAAGTGGTTGATCTTGTCCACACATGTGCCTCCGTTTTGACAGGGGTATGAGGAGCACTCATCAACTTCTATCAAAACACAAAATAACAACAAATATGACGTGACTTATTAGACTTGCGCACAGGAATGAAAACAAGAGGGAATCCTAAAGTGCATAGGGGTGGAGGAAAAGGTAATGATTTGACCACTGCAAAACATCGGACAGACTCAACTGTATGCGTATTGCATACAGATGTGACCAGGGGAAATTCTCTCCCTTGGGTTGTCCCACTGGCTTACAGGGTGGAATTCTGCTTTTACAAGCTGACTTTCTCTTTCCTGGCAAGGAAGAACACAAAGGATGATACAGGTCATGGGGGATGGAAGGATTTCATCATTGGTTTACCTATCTGGCATCTGCGTCCAGTAAATCCAGCCAAACACGAACAAGTGAAAGAGGGATTTCCAGTGATGCAGTCATCAATGCAACGTCCACCATTTCGACAGGGCCTTAAATTGGCACAGACTGAAGCTGAAGAGGACAATAGAAATGTATGTATTCTCCATAATGTTTTCTAATTTGTTGGCTTGACTGGCTTTTTTTTTCCTCTGGCGACATACCTGAGTCGTTGCAGCCACCCACTTGAACATGAGAATCATCAATACGAAAGACCCAACGACCAGGATATCCCACATTCGTAGTGGTTTCAATTTCAACAATATCATCTGTTCGGGAGCCTGGAATGTTGAAATAGCGCTTCCCATCACCAGCATTAAAACCTGCCTAGGAAGAGAGTGGAAGTGGAGGACAGTTCTCTCAGAGTAGTTTCTTTCACATTGCATTTTGTTCATTTAAGGCAAGACTTGAATCCAAAGTGCCAAAGTTGAAAAGTAATGGCAAAGACCTTACCTGCGCAGCTATGCCCCCTAAGCCAGCGAGATCTCCACCACTGGTAGCATGCATTCCTGTTGTCCAGGTAATATTGTGGTACTGGAAGATGGTGAAGGAGAGTTCACCATCTGTGATGAGAACTACTTGAAATGTATTGACCTTTAGAACAGAACACAAAGCAGGTCATTTGCCACAACTAGCCTGGAGATTTATTATTGGAATTATTATTTTACTAGTTAGATTAGTTTTTTTCACTCATGCTCTCAAGATCCACGATAATGAATTATTAAGTTTTGATCAAGATTGGTTTTAAACTCCTGAACAGTGAACCTTGAGGCTTAGAGTAGAGAAACTGTGTGTTATATTACAGAATTACAAAAATACAGGCCTAGTAGAGAAAACATAAACATAGTAAAGCAACACAGCATATGTATTAAGTGTCAATGACTTTGTACCGGAGTTATTGAGCTGCCACCAAAAAATGTGACTTGATGCCAGGTAGCAATTAGCACCCATGTGGTCACAAATGTTGGGAACTCCGGAAAGTAACGATTAGTATCTGCAGTAGCTCTTCTCAGGATAGCAGGATCTTTGCTCTCACGATAGAAGACTTTCCCTGCTCGTCGGTTGTCTACATCAGCCCAGAATGGAGCCACCACTCTTCGGTCACCAGCAATAGGGAATGCCACAGGGGTGAACTGGGACACCTCCCTCAAGAAAGACACCAGGCCATTGTTGTTGACCTAAATGTCAAAGAACAGAAGAGCAAGTACGTGCTCAGGGTTAGCAGAGTCTGCACACACTTGCAGCTTACCTTCCTGGCACTCCTTCCTGGATTCCATTGCTTAAGCTTCACCACACCATGATCTACATGTTTGGACATTCATTTTCTGAGTTGCATAAATAGCATATTTCATCTCCATTAAAGTCTTTCTGTACCATATTATACCTGACAACAGAGGCTGGGTTGGTTCCATTAGTATTACATAGTAAGACAAGAAAGAACAGACCAACAGAACTCTAAAGATTTTAATGACATTTCAGGTAGGACTTAACCCATCAACAATTCAGTTTCTTATAGTGATATTTAGAAGATATATTGCAAAAGGGCCTGGAACAGCAATCAGATGGCTATGATGTATGAATCATGCTGACTGGGGATAAGCAGAGATGAGGTGTCCAGTAGTGTGTTGACACTCGAGAGTGAGCAGTAGCATTGCAGGATGAAAGAGTAAGGTCAGGCCCTGTGGCAGATGTATCCTTTCCCCATAAGGAAACAGACAGCTGCCTTGTTCTGCCAGACATCTACGTCTTGCAGCTGAGAAAACCGGATCACTGTTCAGACACACACATACGCACTTTGACACACCTGCCCTGGCTCCTGTCCACTAGAAGTGGTTTTAGAGGGTGAGGCCTTTATAACTGCGTCTAAAGTAACCACAGAGCCCAACACTTGCTTTGCTGACCACTGGCTTTACTCTGTTGACTGAGTCTATTTCTGTTTGAATATTTAGCCAGGCTGACACTAAAGAAAACTTAAAGCATTTGGAGATTCACCGTGTTGCTAAATTGATGCGAATATGCATGCGAACTCATTAAAAAGATAGGTTGGTGTTTTTATGAAACTATGCCAGTAAAGAAGCGAAGGAGCCACAAAACTCCCCTCAGTAATTATCTAATGATTTGAAATCCTTACTGAACAGTAGCTATGTTTCCATCCAAAGATGTGAATTAGATTGATGCTCAAAACTGGAATACTGGATAAAACATTTGTGAATAAAGCACCATTTCCACCCAATGAGGCAAAGTCATCACTTCCTGATATACTGGCACCTAATATCAAAACGAAAATGTAATTTGCTACTGTGGGCCTTTTTTATTAAATAATAAATGATTTGTGTTTCACAAGACAAAATGCAATGAATGTGAGGTGGCTTTTGAAGGCACTAGACCAATCTTTAGGAGTGCAGCCTCTCAAGACAATAATACCAAACCCCTTTGATAATGGACTTTGTCTAAGGGATTTTAGAATGACCAAAACAACATTTAAGATGTTTTACAATGTGGTTGGTTTGCTGGTTTGTCTATTACTGCTATCCAATCATGGCTATATTTGTTATACATGATCTGTTAAAACAAAATCACATTGCTATTTTGATTTGCATACTGGAATAAATGCATTTGCATTATACACTCATCGGCCACTTTATTAGGTACACCTTACTAGTACCAGGTTGGACCCCCTCTTTGCTTTCAGAACTGCTTTAAAACTTTGTGACATAGATTACACAATGTACTGGAAATATTCCTCATAGATTTTGGTCTATATTGACATGATAGCATCACACAGTTGCGGCAGATTTGTCAGTTGCACAACCATGATGTGAATCTCCCATTCCACCACATACCAAAGGTGCTCTATCGGATTGAGATCTGGTGACTGTGAAGGCCATTTGAGTGCAGTCATTGTCATGTTCCAGAAACCAGTCTGAGATGATTCGCACTTTATGACTTGGCACAATATCCCGCTGAAAGTAGCTATCAGACGATGGGTACACTTTGGGCATAAAGGGATGGACACCAACACCAGCACAACCCTGAACCATTGAGAAGGCAGGATGGATCCATGCTTTCATGTTATTGACGTCAAATTCTCACCCTATCACTCAAATATCGCAGCATTAATCGAGACTCATCAGACCAGGCTACATTTTTCCAATCTTTTATTGTCCAATTTTGGTGAGCCTGTGCCAATTGTAGCCTCAGTTTCCTGTTCTTAGCTGACATGAGTGGCACCCAGTATGGTCTTTTATGGATGTGTTGTGCGTTCAGAGACGCTCTTCTACATACCTCGGTTGCAACGAGTGGTTGTTTGAGTTGCTGTTGTCTTTCTAACAGCTCGAACCAGTCTGGCCATTCTCCTCTAACCTCTGGCATCAACAAAGCATTTGCACCCACAGAACTAATGCTTACTAGATATATTCTCTTTTTCCATAAAGATGGTTGTGCGTGAAAGTCCCAGTAGATCAGCAGTTTCTGAAATACTCAGACCAGCTCCGCCTGGCACCAACAACCATACCATGTTCAGAGTCACTTAAATCACCTTTCTTTCCCATTCTGAATGTCGGTTTGAACTGCAGCAGATCATCTTGACTATGTCTACATGCCTAAATGCATTGAGCTGCTGATATGTGATTGTCTGATTAGAAATTTGTGTTAATGAGCAGCTGGACAGGTGTACTGTACCTAAAAAAGTGGCCAGTGAGTGTGGTTTATAAGCATGTTATCTTATCAGATGAAATGTTAATTTCACTCAGTTGTGTGCATACAGTTTGTCTACTCATTTTCAAAATGCAAATAAAAATAGGCGGATAAAAACAACTTGTGAATCATCTACACCGTTCTCTAATATTTACTTTAGAAATGCCATCAATCATCTCTTTTTGCCATATCTGATTATTACAGAAATGCAATAAGAAAGTGTGCCTAAATTACGCTGGTCAGTTTGCATCTCCAGCAATCACTCGATTCATTCCAAATGTTTGGTCCCAAATGGCAGCTGTCCTGTCCCTTCCTTTCATTCATCTCTACCCAGTTCTGGAAGCTGCAACAGCAACAAAAGCGATGTCAGACACACGACCTTTCTTCTCCCCTCCCCATGCGTATGGAAACCATAATTCGGAGGCCTTTGCTGTAAAAACAGTAGAGGAAGTTTTGTTTGGCCTGACTCGGGTGCTTGGTTAATTGGCCGACCGCAGTCTTCCCCTTTCTGCATCAACGTGCTGTGGCAAGAGTGTGGTTAACATGGAGAAACAGAGTGAAGCCTGCAGGGCCACAACTCTGGGGTCATTGAGAGGAGCCCTGCAACAGCAAGAGAATAAAAAAAGACAAAGTGAGAGAGGCAGGAGGGATGGAAAAGATTGAGGGATGGAAAGTGCAGGCACAGTTCACTAACAGATACAAACACTTGACAGGAACCAAAATGTGATTTAGAGCAAATGTTTCACAGATGACCAAAACACTTGCAGTACTAAACTATTGTATGCTAATGATATATCCAGCAAACTGGGAATAGAGAGTTTTATAGTCATTTAGGAAGGCAGCATCTTGACCAGTACAACCACTGGAAAAGTAGTAGCAACAGAGTGTAGACATAGAAAATTGAAGTAGCTTATCTTGCTCTTAAATTAGTAGTAGGAAAACTCACAAAGCAATAGATCAGGTGTTATTCTATGGTGTTACATTACGTTCTAGCATTTGGTCTGATCTTTTTTAGCATCTGGAAGAGGTTTAGAAATTTAGTTTTTCATCCATTTTCATAAAATAAGATAGAGTAATTTAATCTATCCACAGATTCAATGTGATCTAAAGCATAACTTAAGTTCAAATAGGTAAGCTCTGTGGTGTAATATGTATATATAACTTAAATTGGAAATCAAACACTTATAATAAAACAATCACATGTCAAAAATCATTTAATTATTTAAGATTAATTACTGTTTTTATTGGGTCTACATGGTGCCACTCTTGCAGCCACATCCATTTCTATTATTATTCTTCACCAGATATTTCACAAGTTTTCATAGAGTGCTTTTTTGGAGCTAAGTCAATTTAGTACTAAAACAAATGTTCACCTTGGAAAACTTATGGGAAAACAAATTCCTCCATTAAAAGGTACCTAAAGAGCAGCTTGGCAAAACATCGGGTCCTGACCCAGGAACATTTACTTGCTCTTCTTGGTAATTTGAGGAAAAGGCTGCAGAGGAAGTGTCTGTAAGACTAACCTTGACTCCTCTTGCTCCATGCCCTTGTGTGGCTATGATGTGTTTCTTTATGGTGACTGGCATTCCAAGGAATGCCAAACCTTGACCTTTTGTATGGCATTGCAGCCATTCATATCTTATAATAATATACAAAAGATTCAGAGCATTCTCAGAAAAATAACTTCATCTGTTTAGAAAAATTAATTTCACTGGCTGCCCCTATTGAATTGAATCAAAATATTAGCTCTGAGCTTGTCATAACATATGACTTATCTTGACAAAGCATTACACATCAATCTAACCTGATTCTAAAAATATATGTATATCACATATATGTACTCACACACTTTGCTAATATTTTTTATCCAACTTAAGTGAAGAGGAGGAGGAGGAGGAGGGGAGGAGCAAAAAGTTATAGAGAGACAAAGATAAAGAGAAAAATCCCTCAAGGTTGAAGATTCCCTCTCTATAGTTGCGCAAACATGAAGTGTTGAAGTGCTGAAGATGAGCTTTAGCAGATGTGCTCCTAGTGTGCCGTGAAACCTCAAATCTTTCAGTTACAACCATTTTGTCTTGACTCAACACTTAGATGAACAATTTTACATCTAAAGAAAGTTAATATTATGTATATATATAAAAAACTGCTGATTATTCAGATCTCCTACTTGTTGTACTTGTTGGGAGGTGTTCGTTTCTTAAATTATGGTCCCTGAAAATCAGTCATGGTTTTCTGCTCCATATCAAAACTTCCATCATTTAAATATGATATAATATCAAGCTTTCCATGTTCTTCATTTGCTGTGAAAGTATATGTTGTCTAGCTTTAGATCTCATCCATTCTGCTCTTTATCCCAGCCATTCATGAGGTTTGTTAATTGAGGGCCTGTGTTGCTTGGCATCTCTGAAATACTTTACAGATGCATCTGGGTTCTGTTAAAAGGATCTCTCCTGTCTTCGATAGAGCAGCTGGACAAGTCCAGCAGGAAGACCCCTGAACTTTTTATCTGAGGCTGAAGAAGAAGAAGGGGTGAGGACAAATAAGGCGAAAGGAGAGGTGGCAGATACATGTGAAAAGGCGAATTGTGCAACGAGAAAAAATAAAATTTTGGAGACTTCTGGGTTGATAAAGGGGTCACTAATCTTTCAGGTTCTAGATAGCGAACAACATGCTTTTGTAATTCCTGAAAATTACGCTCTAAATGTAGATAATCGAGCATATTTAATAGAGAGCAAGTATATTTATTAATGTAATACATAGAGCAATGTACTGTAGTGTACAGTGTTACTTCGGTTGTTTCTTCAGGTATTTTGAATTTTGTACATTTACTTATTCTTAACTCAGCAGCCTCAAAATGCATTAAAAACTTTTATGAAATATGAAAGTATCGCAAGAAAGAGGCAAATCCTTGATATTGTTGTACAAAAGAATATTGTGCTTGAAAATCCTACTAGAGATCAGCGTATGTATTTTTGAGTCATTCAATTATGAGCAGTGTTATTACCTTATGTTTATGCAAATTCTTGTGAAAATGGAGTGAATGAATAAGATTAGGAAGATGACTGGGGTGGACAGAGAAAGTCAGAAGGTGAAACATGCAATAGCAGGCAGTACTGATCCCTCTTTTTGCTTTAGGGAAGTTCTTACGGTAATACACTGAGACAACTCTCAAGAACCACCTCAAATTGTTTGGTTCAAGAGCTTTTCTGTTTTTGCAAGGCCCAAAGGCTTGGAATGCCCTCCCGGAAGAAATTATCCATGAGGATCTGCCCTTGTGTACTCTCTGAAATCTCACCTGTTCAAAAGCTGCTCTCTTGTGGATGAGATCAACATGTGGCTTTAGCATGCAATAAAGCTGATGTGTAATTGATTCTATTCAAGCAGCTCTGGTGCACTTCAGAAATCATGACCGCAATTTTAATGCTGTCGCATGCCTCAACGCACCAGTGACTTGCTAATCATATTCTGATTGACCTGCAGTTACCTCCCAGTTTGTACTCAGTGCACCCTTTCTGCAGTTACCACCCATTACTGTACCTTCCGTCCTGTTCTGCTCTACCACATCGAGCTAATCTTATTTTAAATCTTCCCTGCTATCTGCAGCAGGTCTTATCTTGTCTCCAATTCACATTAATATTTACATTGCACTCTGAGATATGAGATACCACTCAGGGTGATACGCAGATGCATCACAAGTTAAACTAAGTTCTGTAGACATCCTTTCACTATTTCAGCAAGTTGCATTGCCTGTGCATAAATCTATGTGACTTCATGACTTTAAAATAGGAAATACAATATTACCCCTCAAAGATGTAAGAGCACAGTTGTTTGATTGACATGTAGTGGCTGGGAGGGTGGGAGAATAATTGTTTGGCATGTCTGCTCTGTCACTCGTCCGCTGCATTGGGCATGTGATCTCATTCATCAGTCCGCTTGTAGCCAGTCCACTTGTGGAAACCTAGCCTCTGTTGCCGTGGTACCTCAGCTAGGCTGAGCAAGTTGTTAGAGACAGAAAGATGATAGTAAAGATGTGTGCTCTGGGTGGAACATCATATTTCGGGAGTCAGAATGATTAGGATGGTGCATTAAAAAAGATGGTGTTGATTTACAAGGATGGAGCTTCCCTTGCACTGTGGCTGAGAAGCATACAGGACACAGATCATAGCCTTGCTTGCTTAACCAAAAGCAGGATGCAACTATAATACACACACTATGACCTGCCAGCAAGTTTCTCCCCCATGACAGTCATTTTAGTTTCTTCTCTTCCTCTCACTGCCTCAAACCACAGTTTGTCCAAGCAGCAGTCTACTGTCATGACTCTGAAAACCATCCAATTGTTTAGGCACTCTGTGGGGCCAAATGTGACATGGAAAAACTTTGCGGTGCAGAGGTTCCTTTTCCAATCTCTGACTAAGACCTTGTTGTATTTCTCTCAAAGACAAATTGACAATTCTACTGAATGAAAGACCTAATTCTCCTGCACAACGTTCAGACATACATAAACATACAATCTGTACTTACATAGAGTCCAGTGTGCCGTTCTCCGAAAAAAGGGAAAGCCACTGATATGGCTACCAGTCCTGATCCCCCATCATCTTGCTCAATGGTCTGAGAGTCACCCTCATCCAGGCCAAATGGGTAGAACTCCTCCAGGGGTACAGCCGGCTCTACGCCATGAAGCAATATAAGCAGCGTGCACATGGAGAGCACCGGTCTCCTCAGCCTCCCCATGACCTTGTCGGCACAGGGATGGAGAGGAGAGGAGTAGAGTCCTGGACACTCAAAGAGGATAACAAGACAACTCTAACTCCAGTGGCAAATATTCAACCAATGATCCTCTCCTTGTGTTTCTTTTCCCTGTAAAATTATGTCAGTTCTCCTCTTTAGGTTTTTAATTCCAACCTTTGATTCCTCTCAGATCTTCTCTCAGCCCTGGTACTTGGGTTGTTGGTCTAAGGCAAGGGGGTAGATTCCTTGCATTCTGTGTGCTGCTGGGTGCTCAAGAGCTGCCGTGCTCCGTGCTGAAATGAACAGAGTGAGAGAGAGAAAGGAGGGGAAGCAGAGTGATTCGGCTCTATGTATTTTTTTTTTTTTTTTACAATCCAGTGACTTGGTCCCTGATGGTTAGTTTAGAAATATCCTCAATAAAACCTCTATTCTGCCTGCCAAAGGAGTTCTTTCAGACCCAGCCCCACCACCCCTAGGGATTCACTACCTTGCATGATTAGGAACTCTCATCCAATAGCTGAGAAGGAACTGGTAACTGGATAAGCACTGGGTGGAGCTATGGTAATCAAAAGACTGCTTTAAAGAGACTCTGACAGGGCACTCTCCTCTGCTCTTAACCTTTGCTGAGAAATACCCTTCCTCACAAGCATATGTGTGGTACACACTACCAAATGTCAGCATAATTCCAGGAGTTGGCATATCATATGCATTCATACACTGTAAAACCCAATAAGTTAAGGTAACTCAAAAAAATTTGAGAAAACCGATTGCTATAAACCATTGAAGTTCAAAAGCTAAACCTAATGAGTACAGTGAACTTAATCCATTTAAGTTAAGACAACTCAAACTGTTTAAGGAAATCGATTGCTATAAATCATTTGAGTAAAAAAAAAAAACTAATCTATATGAGTACTGTGAACATACTCCATTTAAGTTGAAATAATTATGCATTCACTTAACTCATTGCCTTCAACACTGAGTTCAAAACTCTTTTTAAATGAGTAGAATTAACTTTCAGTAATTTTTTGGGTTAAGTACACTCATATCACCCAATAAAGACTGTTGGGTTTTACAGTGTAAACCAGTCCTTGTATATTGTTCACCAGGAAAAAAAAATAACTATAAAAAAATAACTAAATATACAACACAAGAGCCATTTGCTTTGGATTACAGATTTACTGAAAAATAGCTTTCACTCTGAAAATCAAATTTCCCATATACATGATGAAATGTGATCAATTTTAAATATGCTAAAATCAGCTTCATTAAAATAAAATGTGGATCTTTTTTTTCACTCAAGGGGTCATTAGTATCAAGAAACAAATCAAAACAAGAACATCACAAAGGATCTTTTATAGATTTTTTTGCACACATCACTGACAGCAATTGTTTAGACTACAAAACATCTCTTTTATCATAGTTATTATATGCCAGGGCTGCCCAAATTCGCTCCTGGAGATTCGCTGTCCTGCAAAGTTTAGTTTCAACCCCACTCAGACACACCTAGGCTAGCTAATCAAGCTCTTAAGCTGTAGTCACACTACAGTTTGAGTATGCGAAATTCTGTTGTATGGCACTGCGAAAAGGGGTGGAATTAAACAAATTGATTTAACATTAAAAAAGCGAGCGATTGGTCCATATTTTAAATTTCTGTCTAGAGAGGTCATGTTTTGATTTTCGATTGGTCTCACACAGTCACATAATGCGATTTCGTAGATCGGAGGTTACCAAGCTTAAACTTTGCAATGCAGCAAACTGCGAAACTTGTCGCACAAGCTTGCATATCCGGTCTGATGCATTCGCATGCGAATGAATGGAAGTCTACGGGAAAAAAAGTGCAGTGTGACAACCGGACACCGGAGTTTGGGCACCCCTAGTTTATGCAATGAATCGTAAAACAGTATTGCTATTAAAAATCATTTTAGCACCCATAAAAGAAACAACATAATTTGTAAGTAAGTTATGATTTAATTTAGGACGTAATTCATTCTAGCTGTAAAGTAGATGATTGGTTAATCACAATTAAATAGAAATCACTTTGTGTTACCAAGTAGCAAATTATAAAGAAAATAAAGCAAGAATATAAAAATGATGGAGACCTAATGTGTGATGTTTAAGCTACAGATGTTCTAAAGTCTGTGTGTGTGACAGAGAGAGATGAAGAAACTGTGCTTAATGCTGTAAGACGAACATGGATAGGCTTAAGATAGATTTATAGTCTGCTTCAGGAGTTTGCTGCACAAATCCTTAAAACAATTTGGCAATTGAGAAGCATTTGGTGAAACAGCGATCTCTTTGTTTGTTGTTATTGGGTTCTTACGATGTGGATCAGGATTACTTAAAGTATTTGTGCAAATGTAGTCCAACAATTCTCCCTGAGACCAGTGATTCTGTATGTTTTTAAAACCAAGGTGTGTGTGTGTGTGTGTGTGTGCGCGTGTATAAGATTTTATTATGCGTAAGTCCATCCATGTAAGCACTGGCCCCATTTCACTGGTTATAGGCAAACATGTTTGGTATCAAAACAAAACAAAAAAACTGTCAGCTGAATTCCCAAGCTATTCTGGATTTTCAGAGGTTCACTCTCAGCATCTGCTTCATATATGCTTGCCTCCTCTTCATCTCCTGCTCCAGCTGTTCTTTTAATGTGGAAACCTGAGAAAAACGCAGCAGGTTTTACAGAACAGTCATGTGTTTGTCAGAGGCTACTTGCTATTATAAGTAATGTAAATGTATATTGTAATGCATTTGGTCGCATTTTTACAGTTTTCTCTTACCTGTTCCTCCAAGCAGTGGACCCTCTGGCGGTGAGCTTTCTCACGAGCCTCCAGAGCTCTCTCTGTCTGCTGCTGGGAGTCCCTCATCCGCTCGCTCTCCAGGTCCAGCTCTTGCTTGTGGCGAGCTGACACTTCTAAAAGTCTTTGAGAGTGAGTATGCTCCAGGATAGAGATCTGTGACTTCAGATACAACACATAAAATCACATCACAGGTGATTCAAAACCAACTAAAAATTTAAATATGACAATTTTATAAAAGCAGTTCATTCCTGAATACCATAGGATCTAAAGGCGAATTACAGGTGTGTAAACATTTAGGATGCACGTGCATCGTGGCAGCAGAAAATAACGGGAGTGCTAGCTTTTACAGCGAGAGAATGACATCTGACGCAGTACAGAGTTTGTTGTTGTATTAGAAATAAGATATATTGATTGCATATTATATATTATTTACATAATGCTTTCAGCGTGTTATAACAGCTTGTCACCCAGTGATAAGCAGTTATTCTGCAAAATTATGTTAATGTGAGTGGCATTCGTCTGAGAGATTCATTTGTGATAGCACCCTCCCAATAGATATTAAATGAGACGAAATGGCCAAGCATCCATCCCAAAATTTACAACTATCTCATTGAAACTTCAAGTAGAAGCTAAAGGTCTACAAGTCTTTGAATGCCAACAATTTTGTTCTATGTGGTCATGTGCAAGAAAAAAATGTTCACCAGATTAATTTCCCAGAGATGGGTTGCGGCTGGAAGGGCATCCGCTGGATAAGTAAGCGGTTCATTCCGCTGTGGCGACCCCAGATTAATAAAGGGACTAAAGGCTGATTTATACTTCTGCGTCAAATGCCGGCGTATGCTACGGCGCTGACGCATAGCCCATCGGCGTCACTGACATGCACCTCTCAAAAAATGTAACTACACGTCGCAACGACGTGTAGCGCAAGCTCTGTGATTGGTCGGCTTGGTAGCGCTGACGAGTCTGGGCGGGACTGAGAGCCGCGCGAATGGCGCGAGCGATTGCTTACAAGTGTGGAGTCCCGTCAAGGAGCTCCGGATGGAAAGTTTTGTTTTGTGTTTACCTCATAGTTAAAGTTGTTGCATGTCCGCCGGTTCCTGCCTCAAAATGAGTGAGTTTGAGCCACTTGTACATCCCGGAAGTGTTCAGGAAACGCAAAAAAGCAGCGAAGAAACTCAACACAGAGGAAAATTTACACTTCACTGCAACTAGCGTTTCGGAAGTGTTAATGCAGACCAACACAGACAGCGCGCAGAAGTATAAATACACAGCCACGCGCGTTGCATGCGCCGTGGGTTACGCCGGTCACATGGCGCAGAAGTATAAATCAGGCTTTAGCCGACAAGAAAATGAATGAATTACCAGATTCAAAACTTTGTAGTGCTAAAAACCGAGGTTCTGCCTAGCCAAAGACAAGGAAAGAAGACGGAACTATACAAGGTCTGGGTTATCATCAACAAGCAAAACAACTGCATTCTGACAGTAAACTGCACCTGTATGGCAGGGTGTGTCAACTTAGATTTTTTTTCATTTTAAGCATTCAGTGTGCTGAATGCTTTAATTCACCATATACTGAAATCATACATTGCTGCAATCAAAAACGAGTAATGTGTATGATTCAGCATAGCGTGAACTTACCATGATGTAAAATGAGAACTGCATAGTCCAGAATTTTTAATTAAGTCCTCACTCCATTCAGCTCTTCTGATGGATGTTATCCAAAGACGTCTGCGGTTGGCATTAAAAGCAGTGTGGGTAGATGGTATCTGGTAAAATTTAAGTTTTCTATTTTCGGACTTTCGATTTTGGCATTCTACCGCACAACACAGCATGTTTGCTGTTCAACCAGTGTGGCAAATGAACTTGTGTGATGTCATGTGTAACGAAGGTTGGTAACTCCCCTATTGTTTCTTGTCATGTAACATTGCATAAACAGTAAACAGTATAATGGAATGAAAGTAGAGGATAGGCTTTATTTTTAATTAAGTTACAGATCGATTATCAGTTCACTCATTTGCACTCTGGATTGATTTCCAAACAAGAAACAGTTTGAGGCAGCATTTTCAGAAAGACTTAATATAAAAAGACGATGGATGCTTACTACATTAGATATATGATCTAAAATAGAAAATACAATATTACTCCTCAAAGACGTAAGGGCACGTTGTTTGAATGACATGTAGTGTAATATCCAAAATCACACTGTTACTGATGTTTCATATGTACAGAAAATTTATGATAAGATATTTGATACTAGCTTTTTTTAATCAAAATTACCCATTCAATGGGAGAGTACTTCATTAGAGCATTCAACTATTATTTTAACATGCAAAACTGGTACTTAGTTACCGCAGTGAGGACTTATGTACAGTACTATAAGGTCTTGAATTTGCTGTGCCTTCTAAAATGGAGTGCATGCAACATTATTATCTGCACTCAGAAAAAAATTTGCAAAAGCTATAACTGGACCTTTACCTTAATATATGTTACATGTTTTTAAAAAAGGTACCGACCCAGTGACGGCTTTTCAGCTTTATTTCTGAGATTATCACTCGCAAAGTCTATCTTGGTGTGTAGGCAGGAAAGTACTCTGCTTTATAATATAGAAAACATATTTCTAAAGATGCTGTTGACTTGAAATTTTCACCAGATGTTGGCAACAACCAAAGAAATCCATATTTGCAAAGAAAACAAAACTAATCAGTTTACAAATGAAGTTATGTGTAATAAAATGAAATGACACAGGAAAAAAGTATTGAACACATGAAGAAATAAAGGTGTAGAAAGGCAGTAAAAGCCCAGACTGCAGCTGAAATCGCTCAGTAGTTTTTCAGCAACCCTCTGCCCTTCATCATTGTAAATTAATATCAGCTGCTTCAGTCCAACATCTACATTACCAGGATTAAGAAGATGAAACCAGAGGGGACGTTTCAGAAAGAAAATGATCCAAAACACGGTCGAGGAAAGTCTCAAATGGTTTCAGAAAAAGAAAATCAAGCTCTAGAATGGCCCAGCCAATCACCTGACTTGAATCCAATAGAAAATGCAAAATAAAGATCAGATTTGTTAGACAAGGCCAACAGAATCATCAAAAGTTTTAGACTCTGATGAAGTCTGTGAAAAAGTCACAGCTGTGCAATGCATGACTTCATTCTCCATATAAGAAGCGTCTTTAAGCTGCCATCACCAAAAAAGCCTTCTATATAAAGTATCACATACATTTCTGTAGTTCAGTGCTTTCTCCTTGTGTCATTACAGTGTTAATACATGTTTCAATTAACTCAGAGTTTTATTTAATATTATCTTTTAGAATATTTTTCCCCCCAAAAATAAAAAAAAAACTTTATGTGTTGATTACTTTCCCCTCCAACTGTAATTAATAAAATTATGTTGACATTTTAGAAGTTGAACATACTAGATGTTGATCCATTTTTAAATGTAATAATATTTGTAAATATCTCACTTGTAGAGTGTGAATTTCTGCCTGGGTCTCGTTTAATTCTTCCTCTAGATTTCGGATTTTTTGTTCTTGCTGTTCTCTCTCACGCTCACCATGCAATATCTCCACCTCTTTCTTTTGGCGATTGTGTTCCACCTGCACACAACACATGCATTTACACACAAAGTATTAGGGAAGTCTGATGCACGATACCGTAGTATGCTATACATTCATGTAAAGAAACTGCAGGACAAGGTAAACCCCTCACCATTATTGCATTTGTATCACATACAGACAAACAAACAAGCTCTAAGCCCTTGCAATAAAGGATATGTGCATGACATTGTATTTAGTTTGTAATCGTTTGGCTGTGATTGTAAAAGCATGACAAGCACCTTCTCCAGGGTACGTTTTAGAGAGGACCTGTCTTTTCCCAGACGCAGCAGTGTCCTCTCCAGGTCAGACTTCTCTCCTTGTAGCCGATGGGCAGTTGTCTGCAGGGTAGCCACCTGTTCCTGAAGCTGACTATTTTGCTCTTGCAGGAGTAAACAGCTCTCTTGCGCCTCCTGCTCAGCCTGTTGCCTCTGTCTTACAGTCTAATGAATCAGAAAAGATGCAGAATATTCTCCATCTATATGGCTGTGTAGACCAGAACTGATGGTTTTCTTGAACAGAAAGATCAGGGCATAAACTCAGATTAAAAAGAGTATTTAAGTATTTTAAGATATAGTGATATGGGGCAAGAGTGCAACCTTGAATCAGCTAAGCATTTAACTACACTGAAAACCCTAAAAGTACTAAGTTTGGTGAACTGAACAAGTTTAAGTATAGTCTACAAGACCGGCAAGTTAAATCAACTTAAATATGCAAGTTTTGGGAGACTCCATTACCCAATTAAATTGAGGCAACGAGTTTAGGCATTTAATTTAGTTCTGTCAACTTATTGGGGTTTTCAGTGCACTTGTTTTTTTTTTTTTATTCATGGAATAATGGAAATAAAAATGCTGTTCTAATGGAACTATGGGCACAAGAGGGCGATGGTCAGACACCTGGAGTGTATAATAGGTGAGTGGGTGAATGAAGAAGAGATTCAGTTGTGGTAGAGGAAACCATGAGCTGCGTCCCAAATGGCACACTATACACTATGCACTCATGCACTATGTACTTATGCACTTACACACTCAACAGGATTGTATATGTATGTAGTGGCGTCCCAAATGGCACACTAATGTGTTTTTACTAAACGGAAATTCAAACCGTTTTCCTGATGACGTTTGACGGTTGCCAAATCAGTGAAATAAACGACCGAATTATCAGATAATACCTGCCGTGAGTATTGCCAAATTCACCATCGGGAGACGCTAAAATCACTCTCGTAGGAGAATTTTGCTTTCACCATCCAAAATAAATAAAGTTATTCAACATGTGCGTCTGATAGCTCCGCCCCTTTCGCTACGTAAGCAAATCTGCGGTCGTTGAGTGCGTAAAGTGTCCATCATTACACACTTCATTTTAGCGGCTGAATGAGTGCATCATCCGAGTAATTAAAGTGCACTTATTATTTTTAGAGTTTTCAGTGTGAACACACTACTTACACTATTTATACTACAAAATGGCGTAGAATAGTGCATAAGTATGCGATTTGGGACGCAGCTATGGTTTCTTGGAGCTACTGTTTGTACTGGGAAGTCCTAGTTGGGAAACTTTGCGTTTTAAGCTCAGTCTAAGGACTTTCTTAATGTCCAGATAACTGAATGTTTGGAAAATGTATTAGTATGCTATCTGAAAAAGATTTGACGTTTTGGATATTATCATTATGAAGTTTCATTCCTCAATCATCTGCAAGTCTTTAAATCAATGCAAATGTAGATCAACATACTACTATTTTAATACTACTATAATTACTCAGAATTATAACACATACATATATATATATATATATATATATATATATATATATATATATATATATATATATATAATGTATGAGTCTGCAAAAATTTTTTAAATAAATTTTAAACCAAAAATAAGTAGCCGTTTATTCACATTATGATGATTAATTAAACCTGAAGCTATTTGTTTTCTGATTTAAAAAAAAGACCTTGCACTAAAAGGTTGCACATATTAGAATTTTACAGTCAAGACTACATTTGTTAAAATGACCTATTTTTTTTTCAAAGGATTAATTATGATTTTGAGCTCACTACACTTCTTACGTTTATGCATTTTCATGGAACATAAGTTAAACTAACTCAAATTTTTAAGTGACAGGACCAAAATGCAAAATTTTAAGTTAGGTTCAATCAACTTCACTTAATTGTTTGAGTAAAGACAACATTAGGGTTTTCAGTGTAAGCATTAAAATGTTTGCTTGCTAGTTAAAGGTGATAGGTCATTGTTTTCAGAAATAATTTCTGTTATACAGTTATGCTTATGGTTACATTTTTTATGCTGGCTGGGAATGTTGCCTCCATGACCAGGCCCCTGATAAGTGGTTGAAGATGATTGTTGAAAGTCTTTTCACATCTTGATAGCAATCAGGTGCTCCAAATGTACTGATATGTATTTCAGGTAACCCTATAAAATAATGCTCCATTAGTAAATGTGTGTTAATGTATTTACTAACATGAACAAACTACTAATACATTTATTGTGGTATTTATTAATTTTTGTTAACGCTAGGTTATGTTTTTTAAGTTAACATTAGTTCATGTTAGTTCTGTTACGACCCTATCTTCCCTTGCCATGCAGTCTGACGTCACAGTTAATTAGTAAAATTAGGGGTATTCTAGCTGATTTATTTTTATTTTACTTTGTATATAATTTGGTATTCCCTTCAATAAATGTTTATTTTATTATATATCTATTTGTGTATCTGATCCTTTTCATGGTACGGTCGGGAGCGAGCTGGCCGTAACAGTTCATATTAACTCAAGGTGCATTAACTTATGTTAACAAGCAGTTCTTTGGATTTTAATAATGCATGTGTTAATGTTTTACAAGATTATTCATAATTTGTTAATGTTAGTAAGTTTGGTATTGTAATTTTCACTAACTTTGGTATAAAGTTTTATCTCCGATGAAAGTAATGCTGTCCAGTATGCTCTTGTGCATTCAGGAAACTTGGCTTTGGATGGCGAATTTTTACAGTAGGGTGAGTCTTTCATTGCTATCAGGCTAATGTTAGCATTTGCCTAGATCTCCTTTTGCACCTTTAATCACAGTGTTGATTTTTTCACTTAATTTGTATTGGTTAAATTTTATAATAATTTTTTTTATTTATTTTTACTAGGGCCAAATTATATTAAAGGTGCTGTAAGTAAGCTTGACACCAAGTGGTTGAACTAGGTATTACATTCCTGGATCAAAACAGACGCCTGATTGAGGACCAACAGGAGCGAGTCTGACTATCAAGCCTAAAGGCTGATTAAAATCATATTCTATATAAAAGTAAGAGCATGCGATAGAAGGAATATTTTCCATATTAAAATCAGATCTTGTTCTAACCAACTCCTCAAATTGATATATAAGAAACACCTTCTATTTCTTGCAGCTGAATGACAGCAAACTATGATCTCCTCGGGAAAACCTCATGTGCTTTATTCAGCGTTGAATGCTAACAGTGACTATATGTTTACATGGACATTAGTTATCAAATTATTTGCTTTAATCTAATCAGGCCAATAATAAGATTAAGACATTTACATGAGTAACAGGGGGTTACAAGGTAACCTGCTCACCTAATGTTTACGTTCGTCATGTTTACATTATTTGCTAATTAATACCCTCATGTGGAACTCTGAATCTGCATCTCTTTTTGGAGTCTGATACTGTACACCGGAGGTGAATGAATGAGTGAATGAATGAATGGAATATGTGATTTTCCAGCAAGGTAACCCGGGGTGCTAAAATATAATTGGCTAAACTGGCATTGGGCAGGTTAAAATTACCAAAACAAAGACAGCCGTGCTGGCACAGAAGTCACATGTTCAAAGCAGAATATCTGACTTCAGCATTGTTTTTCAGATAAACAAGAATGTTCACTTAACATGTTTCTTAATTATCTGTAAACATATTATGCTATTTTTATGTTTTAGAGGAGTCAAAACTTACATACAGCAACTTTAAAGGAATAGTTATCTCAAATATTACTTGATTACTCACCATTTATCCTTCTAAACTCAAACCCTTTGGTCAATCTTCAAAACACAAATTAAGATATTTTTAAAGAAGACTTACTTAGAATGAAACAGTTACAGTGTCAAACACACGCATTTGGCTTTTGTTTGACACATTTTATGTGCTCTGTTGATTCTGTGTTTATATGTAGTTAAAAACCATATTAAATAATAATAATAATAATCATAATAATAATTCCTTACATTTATATAACGCTTTTCTTGGCACTCAAAGTGCTTTACACAAAGGGGGGAATCTCCTCATCCACCACCAGTGTGCAGCACCTACGTGTATGACGCGACGGCAGCCATTTTGCGCCAGACCGCACACCACACACCAGCTAATTGGTGGAGAGAAGACAGAGTGATGAAGCCAATTATGATATGGGGAGGGTTATGAGGCCATGACGGACAGAAGCCAGAGGGTAAATTTTGGATTTTTTTTAAACGACCACAGAGAGTCAGGACCTCGGTTTAATGTCTCATCTGAAAGATGGCCCTCATTGAGCATTACTGAGTCCCCGTCACTATACTGGGGCAATAGGACCCACACAGACTTCAGGTTGGGCACCCCCTGCTGGCATCACTAGCACCACTTCGGGCAGCAACCTAACTTTCCCATGTCGTCTCCCATCCATTAGCTTCAGTGGTCAAGGATGTGAGAGTTGCAGAGAGCTAGCTGCCGGCTATTATTTGTCATGTGTCTTTTTAATTCATACAGATTTCTTTTAAAATCTCTCCATGAACACAAGGTTTGTTGTAACAAACTTTCAATAGAGTAAAAGAAACCTCTTTAAAAATAGATTATTTTGGGTTTATAAAGATGAACTGAAGTCTTATGGGTTTGAAATGGCAGTGGGATGAGTATAACATTGAATTTTGGGTGAACTAAGCCATTAAAACATTGTGTAAACTGTAAGAGTATGTGTGTATGCATAACCTCCTGCAGGACACGTGTCTGTTTGTCCAGTTCGGAGACCTTGAGTTCACACTCCTCCTGGCTTCTCTGCAGGCTCTGCAGTCTCTCACTCAAGTCATGATTTTGCTTCCTACTGTGTGTTAGAGCCTCTCGTGTCTTATCCAACTTTTCCTATGCACACATCGTACAGACACACACACAGAGAAAGAGAGAGAGAGAGACAAGTATGAACAGGCATCAGCCCATACATGCATAATCAAACACCCACATTCAGTTTTAATGATGAAGCTGTACTTTTCCTCACTACCAATGCCCTGTCTTTTTATTCTTGTTCCCCACATTCTGTTTCTTTTCCTCTTCTGGACCTTTTTTTTATTGGCAAGAGCTGGCATGTCTCAAGCAAACTAAAAAAGATTTACACTGAGGGCGCAGTGTTTTTGTTTGTACAGCATCTTTAAAACACAGACTCATACTAAGCCTTAAAAGCCCTCCAGAGAAGTTAGAGAAAAAAATGAATGAGTTCAGTCCAGCTTTTTTATTGCACAGTCATCCAGCACCTTCAGGGAACAGGCGACAGCAAAGGTAAACACGTCCAAAAAAATGAAAAATACTGGAAAAGTTATAAAACCACATCATAAATTATTACACATTGTGGCTATGGTAGTAAGATGATCTGTGGGGTTTCAATTAAAGCTGAGGTGAAGTGAGATTAAAACAGGAGCGTTCATAATTGTGCATGTGGCTGAACCACAATGAACATAATAACGTTGTTTGTGACTTTATAATGAAGATGAATGATTGACAGTGTTTATAAAAGAGCCTTTGGTTTAATTTGTCTCATCAAGGTGTATGAGTTTGGATGTGTAGGACCTTTGGTGCCAGTGTATTGCCGAGAGTATTGTCTGTTAAAGGTGCAGTAGATGATTGTCTTAATAAATATTTTTGTTGCACTGTCTGGTTGAAAGTCTCTTCACATTCCAATAGTAATGATTAAAGTAATGATCTAAATGTATTCATATGTATTTTTGTATTCTGGGAAAGGCATAAGACAAAAAAGTTCATCAAATTTAAATTTGTCGGGCTGATAAATCCCATAATTCTGATTCTAAGTAGTCCAAACTGTCAATTAACAAATGTAGATTTGTACAACTATGCAGATCCGCCGCATGAGGACATGAGTGACAGCTGTAAAAACAAATACTGTATCAAAACTTTTTAAAATCATGAATCAATATTGGAGTTACTTTTGCACGCTGGAGGAAGGATGACACCATGGCTAAAGGATTTCTTTTAGACAGGTAATGTTATGTTTCAAAACTATTTTAGTCACACAAAGTTTATGTAGAATTTGTTATTTTATGAATGGGTTATATGCACAGAAGTGTTGCTCAGCCACTGAAATTTTCAGGCAAACAGTTTTTGCTCTTTATTAGCTCTTTATTCTTTATAATTTATTATATTAATGCTCTTTTACAGCTTTAATAATGTTTATTTAATTTAACAACAAAACAGAAGTAAATAGCGCTATTCTGCCTAGCCTGCTTTATAGAGCTGAAGTTGGTTTTATATTTACATTGGTTCGTTTTTTACATTGACAACCTGTAATGTGGTCTCTATATCGTTTACTATGCTGCTTTGAATATGCACTCCGCCGGCCAAGCACTAAGCATACAGTAGCCACTTTAGGACAAAGCGTGCAAGAGAGTGAGACCAGCGATCCTTGCATGCAGGACATATTGCACATTATGACAAGTTTTGCTTTCTACACAACTGAAAACGTGCTAGATAAAATACAGTTTTTGGTTCAGAATTGTAGAGTACTATAAAGTTTTCTAACTGGTAAAGGACATGATCTAGTGGGTGTCTGTCTTCTTTTAGATGCGTGTTCATGATATAAGAAGGCGTGGCTTTGGACGGAGGAGAGGTTTCAAAGATATTATGCTAACCGGTAGCATTTAGGCAAATCACCTACTGCACTTTTAACTCAGGTAGTTTAAAATGGGCACCTTTAAAACGGGTAGTTGACAAATGTTTTGTAGAACAATTTTTGTAGAATATTTTTCAGAGTTTAAAGTGTAAAGTTTGAGACATAAGAAGTCACTAAGCTTATCAATTGTTTCTCTTTTTAAATACATTTTTACTGAACTAAACCTTACGGACATTCAGTAGTGACAGCAAAAATAAAAATGACTCTTAATATACAAATAGCTTGAAAACAATTTATATTTATTGTCTGACATTTATCTTCATTTATTGCTATTTATTTTATATGAAATTATGTTTTTTTCCTCCATGACTTGCAGAACATATTCATTAACCAAAAGGACAACAAATATAACAATTTTATAGTGGTTCCAAAAAAGTTAACCAGAAGACATGGTTTGTCAGTGACAATGTGTTCATATGTTTTTAGAATTGATGGCAAAGGTATTTATTAATGATTTACAAGAGTTGTTGTTTTTTGAACTATGCTTGATCCAATCACACCATAGGACAGTTTGAGTATTGGCCGATGTAAGACAAATAAATGTTTAACCATTTAGTGTATTTTAAATGTTGACAATACCAGTTATATTCATCTTTGTCATGTGTGACAATTAAAAAGCAACTTCACGTCGACAATCAACCCAAATGCAGTTATCAAGCAGCAATATTTTACATGCCATACGACCTGCACTTACCTGCACCATCTTCTGGTTATGTTCACTGGCTGAGAGAGCTCGCTGCAGCTGGACAGCCTGATCTCGTGCTGTTCCCGCAGAAGCATTGCTGTCAGTCAGGGATGCAGTCAAGGCCTGCAGCTTGTCCTTTAGCTGGCTCTCCTGCAGTTCTTTATGTGCCAAGGCAGTTGCCAACCTCTCACATTCAACCTACAGTACATTTAGGACAACTGTTTACATTATATTGCTCAAACATGACTGCTGGATAAAACTGTTGTACTTTTAGACAGCACACACACACACACCTTCAGGAGAGCAGCACGCTCTTCACTGTCTCCCAGCTCTCTGCGGAGGTTGTTAAGCCTTTCCTGGAGTGAGCTGGCTTCTGCCTCCATCTCTGTGGTTCTGAGCTGGGCACGCTGCAACTCTCCTTCCAACCCTCTCCGTTTGAGATCTAGCCTGGCAGCTCGAGCATCCACAGCCTCACAGGTCTCCTTCAAGCGGCGACGCTCAGCCTCCAGACTTTCCTCAGAGGCCTGGGAGCGTTCAAGCTTATCCTGAATACAACAGTATGCTTTTAAGCTCTTTGGATGGTTTTATTGTGGAGTGTGAATCAAGGTTTTATAGATTTTTTAAATGTGCTTTTCTTTCAGTAGTGTTTTTTAAATAAGCTGTATATTTCCAGGGTGTCCGCGGGGTCTTAAAATGTCTTACATTTCAAAAACTAAATTTTAGGTCTTAAAAAGTCTTAAATTCACTGAAAGTTTGCCTTGTATGTCTTAAATAATTGTAAACAGGTTTTAATTTTCCTTTGTCCATAAAAAGGTACCTAATCCTAATCGTTTGCCCAGTTAGTGTGGTTCATTTGGCATATGTGAAACCAGCAATTGTGCTCAGATCCACGTCAAATCAATTGGTCCAAGGTCACCTGAATGAGGTGGTCGCGGCTCAATTGAAACGAACTCTGGAGCGGATCGATTGTAGTGAGAAAGCAACACAATCCGAGCCCGGCTATATCTAAGTGTATTATGGATATGTAATATCCATATATGGCAATATGAAGAGAGAATTATGAGTAGGATGGGATGTCATTCCTACCAGTAAATGTGCGTTTCATGGTAAATAAGAAAGTGAAAGCATGCTGAACTATTAACGAGAGCTGTTTATCTGTTAGGAACATTGACTGAACTGCAGTCTAGCCAAGGGCTCTGTACGTGAGAGTCTTACCTTTGATTTATGTCTGGTGACGATGTCTGTGGGCGTCACCATTCAAAATAAATAATTTTCCGCTTATAATGTCCTATTGCTCATCGCCATAAACTAAAATAAGGACGCATAACAGCTGAGTGGGACTCACACGTGACTTGTTTTAGCTCTTTTGGTCCGTTTAGAAACTTTGCCATGTGAAAGCGAACTGCACCAAGAACAAGGAGCAACATTGTAACAATTTTAATCCCTGTTTCAGAACAAATGAATTGATTCACAGGTGTGAAAGCACTCTTAGTTTATTTGTATGATCTGTATGTGAAATGTGTATGCATACAACCAGGGTTCGCTTGTTTTGACAATTTATTTAAAACTTGTGGCTAAGAAAAAACTTATTATACAATAATATATAATAAAAAAGTCCTTTGTATGGATCGTAAAAATTTGACTCTGTGAAGCCTGCAGAACCCATGTTTTCAGTTTAGTTTTAGTTAGTTTCAATAATAGTTTTGTTAGTTCTAGTTTAGTTTTTATGCTGTGAACACATTTCTGTTTATTTTTTATATAATGGTTTTAGTTTTTTTAGTAATGGCAGTTACCAAAGCAAAGTGAAAGGAATGAAAACAAATGCAGTTTAAATTAAATAAAAATTTATGAAAAATTCAGATCAACTTCTTCACATTAAAAATTGTGCTTGACTTGTGTGTTTGGCTGTTAAAGTGCCATCACTGGGATTTCTCTTATGAGTCAAAGATCAGGTTTTATGCCTCAGAATGACTGCTTATTAATGATTATTTATGATGGGTTTTTAGTAACTTTTGTTTGATTTAGTTTTAGTTTTTCATTAATTGTGCATTTTTTATTTTATTTCTGTTAACAAAATATTTTTGACTAATAGTTTTAGTCTTGGTTTTAGTTTTTGTTAACAAAAAATAACCTTGGTGCCAATGAACGCTTGAAAATACTTGCTTGGGGGGGGCAGACCAAGCTACCCATTAAGGCAATGGGGTAGATCAAGCTATACATTCAGATTATTTAAATGAGAGTGAGATAGCACACCACATGGGTTCTGGGAGTGTTATACCCCAGTTTACACAGTTTTATTCATTTTTTTCAAAAGATTTTTAAAATCATACATGTATACCAAATAGATGTTTGGAGATAGACCATGGCCCTGTCATACGTTTTGTTGCTATTTTCAGACCAGCGCAAGCCTAATTTTCTCGTTTTGCACCACATTGTTTAAATAGCAAATCTATTTACACCACTTTGTGGAGTCATGGGCATGCCAGTCTAGAAAGGAGGTGTGTTAAGGCGCATTTTTGGCACATTGCTATTTTGAGGAAATGAAATTAACTGCCTTATCTTAAGAGGGCTTTTTTCAGTTTATTCATGACAATATTAATTTGTACAATGTTATTATTATATTAGCAAAATTAGTTTGGAAAGAAATAGAGCCTCTATTGTGCAATAAGGTCATTTTCTTTTTTTAAAGTTTTAATTGCCAAGTTTTCAATAGTGTGAATCGTTGTGGCTAAAATAAGGTAATAACTGCTATGATCTCTCAACCATCTTTGTGCAGGTGTAAAATGTATGAGTGTTAACCTGCAGTGCTTTGGCCTCGGTCTCAATTATCAGTTGGCTTTTCTTCATTTTGGCCAACTCTTCATTCATAATCCTATTCTGTGTTTCTCCACGCTGAACTGCCTCATCCCGTAAAACGAGTGATGCTTGCATCCCCTCTAAATGTTTGGCCAGCTCACGCTTTCCTGGCAAATACACACCCACATATCAATGATAATTAAAAACAGAACCACAAACTGGTCATCACTGAACAGTGTATACCTAATTGTCAGGCTACAGTTCATGCTTACCCTCCTCCAGCTCTCTGATAGATTGTCTCAGCATCTGTATACATGTGTTGCTTCTCTCCTGATTAGCCTGCAGATTTTCTACCTGTTTGCTGAGACTGTGGACCTGTGCATGTGATTCATCCTTAAATCACACATTCAGAGGAAAAAAAAAACACTTGTTGTTGTTACTCATTCCATTGTTTGGAAACCTCTTATTTGTCTTGATTTACTGATTGAGGTAATGATAATTTTGTCAATGGTTTGTATAAGAAGGTGGTGAATTGTAATGTATCCTATTTTTAAACTTAGGAAATTCCAGTTCCTGCCATCTTTTCCCAATACATTGTTCCAAACCTGTAGTATTCTAGAAAAAAACTAACAACAACAACAAAAAAAAACCTAAACGATGTTCTCTGGGTTCTTCTGAAGATACAAAGAATGTATCACAAATTTTTCATTCCCTAAAAGTTACTTGGAATGGGTCACAAAGTTTTCATGTCTTAAAAGTTTTGGAGATGTTGACAGTCATATATATGCCCCACACTGCTAAAAACACTATTAGGACACATATATTTATCTAACAACTGAAAATTGGTTGTTTTTGCGTTGTTTAGAGCAAACTCGTTCCTCCGGTTTAATAAAAGAAACGTTGAAGCTACGTAATGACGATGAGATCATTGTGTAAATTCCAGCATGGAGATTGGCTGTCTGTATCGGCCAGTATAAAGTGATATCGTTGAGTTTTTAGCACATCTGTTCATTAATTCACGCGAAAGACTTGGTTTGAACCAATTAGCGCTTTTTAGCTTTTTAGCTTTTTAGCGATTAACTTCCTTGATATGCAGGATATAGCTTTGAAGATTTTTTTTACTTGTTACATTGTTCAGAGAGACGCCACGTTGTGGTACCAACCATAATTCAAACATGTAGTAGATGATATGTTCGGAGACATGAGTTGTCAGTATAAATGTGCCCACTTGCTCACCCACTTTTCTGACTTTTTTTTTAAACTAGAGGTGTGAAAACACCCTGCTGAGACAGGGGGAAGCTTTCATGGCCCTTCAAAGGATGTAACAGAACTACAAAAGCTATTAGGATAGGCCAAACAATTGTATGCATTTTTTCCAGAACATCTGGACTGGCTTTCCTTGCCATGTCTATATAAGTTAAAGAAATAGATGAGTTTAGAATAGTTCTGGTTAAAATAGTCTATTTAATACAGCTGTCTGGAATGCTTAGTTCTGATTGGTCAGTTGCGACATTCCATGTGCGAGGTCTGTTTTTAACTGTTTGGCTCCATCTTGTGACTGAATAATACGTAGGTTAGTATATGCTACATTTAGCCATTTTCGTTTCTAACAGCTTTGTCTGTATTTATAGAATGGATGTTGAGGTTTTGTCTAATTTTAGGTTTTATGGCAGGTATAGCCATGTAATAAGCAGGGTAAAGTACATCTAGGCAGTTGTTTTTTGCAGAATAAAGCTTTTCATTCTCATACAACATGCCTCTATGGTTGGCATCCTGACACTGAAAATGCATTGGTTGGTGTATGCTCCATTCAGCATTTTTTTCAGCATTGCCTTAAACTAATTATAGAATTAATAAACTTTTACAGCTCAGGGCAATTTTTTGTGTCTTATATTTACGTTTTATGGAAATTAGCCTTATAATAACCAGGCTAAATTATCTAGGCAGTTGTTTTTGCAGAATAAGGGGCTGATCACACCGATCACATGCTTTTACATTGCAAAAATGCAAGGCGCACCACACTGCCTTTTTTGTTGACAAGAAAAAAATAAGCTCTGTGCACTATTTATATCACTAGGCAACGAATGAATCAGCTGCGCATTGTGCAAGTGTGATGCTGTTAATATTGTAATATATGTACAAGTCCCTTCTCCATTTTTAAAAGTCTCTGTAGTCATCTTGACAACACAAACATTCAATGGAAACCCCACCTCTGCTTTCATTTGATTGGAGAATAAAAGAGGTGACTGACTTAGCCACTTTTTCCACTCAAGAGTTGACAGCACGCAATGGCAAAAACAGAAGCACAGAAGGCAAAGAAGCTGTAAGCAAAACACTTGTGGCCATTAGTAAACCATTCAAAAAAGTCACCTCTCAAGGCAAAAAGCATTTTCTGTTAGATCGGCCCATAAAGGCTGCTTTGCCTTGCCGATAAGCCTGTCGGGCTTTATTTTGTGATAACAACCGACTGGATGCACATTATCCCTTACTTTTAAATCAAACTATCCACTATACAGTATAGGGATGTGGACTACTTTTTTAATGGTGAATGTGTGTCCCTTATGCTGATGTAAAGGTGTCAAGTACCCGTTCTTTCTGTGTGTCCCTGAGCTCTTGCTGGAAGCTATGCAGTAACATCTGAACTGCATCCAGATCCAACTCGCCATCTTCCCTGCGGGAGGGGGACAGAGAACACACTGGCAACCCACCCACCCCAGTCTCATCTGATATGATTTCACCTGAGGGCATACACACAGTTTTCATTTAAATCATCTGACATGTAAGCAAGAGCACCTTGTAAGTTAGAGCCGCACATTGTTTAATAAGCTTGAAGTTACTAATAGCCTTGAAGAAAACAATCCTTTGTAATATGAGAGATGATCTTCTTCTTAACTCTACACTAACCTTTGCTACAGAGACCTGATTCATTATTGGACTAAGAATACATTACCTTTTACAGGTGAGCGAGTTCTCCATGGCGAGGGGCTCCGTCCTCGTTCCCCAGGTGTGGGTGATTGCCTTCCACGCCTGGATCCGAGTGTACGTCTCAAAGTAGAATTGAGAACATTCAATCTGTGCTCAAGATCTCTCCGTTTGGCATCATTCTGTGCTAGCTGCTCTTCCAGCCCTTGGGCACGGGCCTCTGCAAGATTGACCGATAGCCCAAATTCCCTGAGCTGGGCCTGAGATTCTTGCAGTGCCCCCTCCAAGCGTGCAACCTCTTCACGCTGCTTCAATTGGCTATCCTGAAGACTGGCATCCCGTTGTTGCTGCAACTCTTTCTCCTGTTGATGTGCTTCTTCCAGTTCTGCTATATGACGCTGCAAACCTGCTGCCTGTTCACACACAGAGCATTTGCAGCTGTTGAAGCATGCTATTGTATGTGTGTATGGATCAATTTATGTCAGTTGTTTGGTATACCTCCTTCAGGGCCGCTTCTTTTCCAGCTTCACTTTCCAGTACTTTTTGTCTAAGGGTAAAGGTCTCCTTTCTCATTTCCTCTTCTCTCTGCTCTTCCTGAGTCAGTCTGGCCTGCATGTCACTCAACTCTTGACCTTGCTGAGTGCACTGGCCCTCCAATGTCTTCACCTGCTCATTCACACATCATTTTTCAGATCATTACTTTGACCTGGTAAAACAACATTTTATTCCTCTGGACATTATGTACAGTTGTATTCAAAATGATCAGCCCTCCACTGAAAGTTTCAACAGTGGTCTTTGCCACGATGACAGTGAATACTATTTTTCTAGTTATTAAGCAAGATGCTGGTATTCAGTTTATAGTGCATTTAAAAGGCTTAACTAGCTTAATTTGGTTGATAGGTTAATTAGGCAAGTTTATCATAACTGTGGTTTGCACTGAACTGGTAGAGTTTCTAAAAGCTGTCCTTTGTCAAATGCTAGAGCTATATCTTTTATATAATTCTCTGAAACACAATTAAAATTAAACTGTAAGCACTTCTCTCTTTGAGCCATGTCCTTTGAAAGCCCAAAACCAAAAACAGAACAACCTTTGTTGAAATAGCAGTGTTCAGACGGCATTGTAGCTTTTTCTGCTTAAACATTCCAGTGCCTCTGGGCATCGCCCTTTGCTGCGCGGGGTGTATGCGCATTGTGAATGTGCGTAACCTGAAGCGTTTGTGATCTCACTAACTTTGAAGCATTTTTTGTATTCCCAAACTTTGTTCGCTGTAGGCTTTTCTAAGCTAACTCTGTAAAAGCCAATGTTTCCCTTTGCATTGAACTTTGAGCGTATTGAATTCAGAGATGTTGTTTATGTTTACACAGCTACATTACACAACAACTAAGGTCTAAAATATGATATCGTAGTGGACCACCCCTTTAAGAAACAAACAAAAAAAGAAAAAACAGACAAAATTAAAGAAGAGTGTATCATAGGATATACTCTGAGAATTTTCTTGCTCCATTAAACATCAATTTAATAATAAAAAATTCACTGTTTGCCTTTAACTCAAACTACTAACAAAATATTGACAAAAACACTTGTTCTGATATTTAGAATCAGAATTTACTGTTAATATACAAAAAAAAAATACTCCAAAAAAATATTGATTTCAGAAGTCCTGACCTGTCTTCGCAGTTCTTGTAGTTCTCTGCGTGCCTGTAAGCGAGATTTCTCAAGCTCGCGCATGTTGGTTCTCAGCTTTAGCACCTCCTGCTGGAGGGAGGACTTACACTCTTCTAACACTGTCAGCCTCTGGTCTTTCTCCTCTCCAACTCGCTTCAAACTGATAAATATATACAAAAAAGGAACATTAATATATTTTTATGATGCTCATTTTATAAAGAAACTGCGACTTACAGGGAATGCTGGCCATTTGTATTTTGCTGTATTTAGGCTATGCCTTTGAGAGCATTTTATGTTTTTCTATAAATAAGTTAAGGGTGCTTTCACACCTGTCTTATTTAGTTTGGTTGAATATCACTAGAGTTCGTTTTTCCTCTTGGTGCAATTGGTTTGGACAGGTGTGCATGTAGCAATCGTACTCGAGTACAAAAAGCAAAAAAATAAATGGACCAAAAAAGCGTACCAAGAACTCCTTGAAGAGGTAGTCTCGATATGCATTCAAACAAACCCTGAAACTAAAACAGGCCCAACCGCAAAAAGTATTGCGCCTTTTTGTACTAATCTAGCTGCTATAGGCTGATGCGCTGTGCATTATGGAGTGTGGAGGAAAAATATTTGTTGACAGCGCTTTACCAACCATTTTAAACAGAAAGAGAGAGGGAAAAACATAACCTGATGGATCATTGATAATATTTCCGGAAGATGACCATTTCACAGTTTAGTTTAATTAATTCATGCCTCCTCCTAAAGTGACGATGCACCTTTGCCGTTTGTGATGCATCAAAACATTGTTTTTCAGGCGCAGCCACGCTTCATTCTCAAAATATATAGTTTGTCTAAAGTTATGTATACAAACTATATAATATACTATGAGCAGGGATACAATCAGTCAGCGCAGTTGCTCCTCCATAGTTAAAAGCCACATTTTGTGTCTGCCAGTTTGTTTGCTTGAGTTCGATTGGCATTTTCCCTCGTGTGAATTCTGACCAATCGAAAAGCAGTTTAGTTTGTTTAATAACATCTGGCCAATGAGTATTGTGGGTTTTGTCAGATGACTGCATTTTGGTTATTTTTAACTGGTTTGGACCAAAGCTATCAGTGTGGTGTGAAAAGGACCCAAAAGACGGCAATTGTTGTTCTTGGTCCGGACCAAATGAAACGAACTACAGATGTGAAAGCACCCTAAATCACATTCTCTTCTGGTCAAGCAAATAAAGATCAGTCATGTAACACAGAAGATTAGTATCTGATCAAGACGAAAATGCGAAACCTGTTGTTTTCAAACTCTACTCTCTTCAAAGCTGTTCGAAGTTCATGATTGGAAGTATTGATGGCCTCTTTCTCTCTCACAGCATCCCCTAAAGCTCTTTTGAGGTCTAAGCCCTCACGCCGCTGCTCATCTTTATCCTGCAAGCATTCCCTCAGCTCTCGATGAGCCTCGATCAGTTCTTTACGACCAGTGTCTCTGCTCTCCTCCACCTCACTCAGTTCCCTCTTCAAACGCTCTGCCTGAAAAAGACAAAGACAAGAAGGAAGTTGAAATTAAGCCAAACATTTCTTTGAATACAAAAGGAATGATGGTTTAAGTTTAAATGATGATAACTTTAAATGTAACTTTAAAGTAAGGTACAGAAGTTTAGTGATGTGACATCCAGAGGAAGTGAAGAGTTCTAACAGTTATATTTCTTACGTGGCACTGTTAAGCTGAGGACAATTCAGTTTAATTTTCCGTGAGATGAATGAAATGGAAATACAGCCTATTAGTAAAATTCCACAGCCTTGTTCCATTCAGCTTCTCAAAGCATGTGAGCATCAGGCTCATCCAAAGAGCTCTGCCTTCTTTCAACGCAGGAATTGAGGCCACATTCTACTGTGCACTTAAAAATGTGTTCTTAGTGCATGTGAGATGGTTCAAATTGTCAAACACTTTCATCAGATACGCTCAGGGTGCAACTCCTCGGCCATGTAAACACACAGGAATATGACCCACATTCTGGTAATTGCTTGGCTACAGCTAATCATTTTACGGTGCATTTTTCTCCCCAAAATGCAGCCAGAATGCGAAGAGGAAAAAGGGAGAAGAAAAACAGAAAGACAGGACATGCTCCAAAGTCTGCCACACACAGCAGCTATGATGAGAAACATCGGCGGTGTGTACAAGCATGCTTAGATGCTGGTGTGTAAAGTGTGTGTGGGTTTGTGTGTAAGTTCACTAGGCCACACAAGATGTTTTCTTCTCATAAATCTTAATTTAAAAAGAAATACGCCTGTGCCAAGTCTACACTGGTTAATTTCGGTGATAGGAAGGTTAAGTTAGCAGGACAGTGGAACAGTTTGTGAAGTCATCTGTATTAGAGTTGGGGCGGTGAAACCATTGAGAATTCATCATAGTAAAAAAAAAAAAACCGAGAGCACCTGTCTATTTGTGACTCCAGCTTTTACTTTTCATATCACAGAGAGAGCCTTTGCCTTTCATTTCTTTACATGGTTTTATCATCCCTTGGTAATTTGTCATTTTCTGGAGGAGGATTAAAGAAAATAATCAAACAAGAATTGAGAATTCATCCTTCTCTCTCATCTTTCCATCTCACTACAGCACATGGAGTCACATTTCGCCTTGTGTGCTTGTGGAAAGATTGTCCAAACAGCTAAATCTGTGGTCTGAGGTTTGTGCTGAGGTCAATTCCCAAGGTTGACCTTGAGCTTTAAAGACAGAAGTGTATACACACGTGAATACAAGCACAAACGTGTGCTGACCAGTCAAACTGGTGGCACCTGGAGCGTGCTCAAAACACAGTAACCAATGCCAAGTTCAACATGAATGTGTGCTAAATGGCTCTACACAGGCCTGCCCCTGGTAGGTACAAGCTGGACTCCTGCAGGCCCTAAACTGCATCACGGCCCAACATAAACTGTCTTCTCTCCTAGCTTACATGACGTTGGTTCTTTGGCACCAGCACAAACAAAATTCACACAGCTCTCCTGGGTTGTATGTTTCTATGATAAATGTGTTTCTGTGAGCGAACAACTGGAATGTGAATCAGGTTGTGTGACCTCTTGGTGAGCCCCCTGCCACTGCGTAGACAGCTCTCTGATCTGCTCATTTAAGCTGCGCTCTGAAACTTCACGAGAACTCAGAGACTCCTCAAAACGAGACCGCAGGTTATGCAGCTCTGCCTGCAATCCTGAAGCTGTGTCCTACAGAGAGAAAAACAAATATAATACTATGATACTTTTTTTTCATAAATCTACACAAATTACAGTGGAATTAAATATTTACAGTTTTGGCTATAGCACTAAAGTCATTGTCAGTTTATCGTATTAGGCAAAATTCAAACAGATTCTCAAACTGCATCACATTAGATGTGAACAGAATCGAAAATCTGCAACAATCCAGCAACTTTCAAACAATTTATGATTTTGACTTCTTTTTATTCCACTCTTCAGTAAAAAATTTGTTTCAATGAAATGTGGAATAACTATATATATATATATATATATATATATATATATATATATATATATATATATATATAGTTGAAGTCAGAATCATTTAACGCTTTAAATTATTATCCCCCCTGTTTATTTTTTTTCCCCAGTTTCTGTGTAAGGAAGAGCAGATTTTTTCAACACATTTCTAATCATAATAGTTTTAACAACTCATTTCTAATAACAGATTTATTTTAACATTGCCATGATCACCGAAAAGCATTGCGCTAGCTGAAACACAGAAAAAAATATGGTCAAATTAAGACTAAAAATCACTCCAGAGTGGATAAAAAAATCCCCAACAGCACAAAAGGGATAACTTACATTACTGAGAAACAATAATAGCAACAATTTAGCTACAATAGTATTAAAAATAAAACATTTTAATTTGGTCATAATTTACATTCTGATAAAGATCAGTCTAGTGTGTGTGGTGCGTTCATGTCTCCAAACAGACTGCAACGGTTTTTATATGAAATTCAATAAATATGTGAAAAACTTTCATCTTCATGCCGTACTGTAAAACTTTACAGTCCTAATCTAATAAGCATACAACAAGAACCACAGATATATTCAGATTTATTATACCTTGTCTTGCTCCTGTTTGCTCAGGAAATCTCTACGCATACGATCCTTTTCAAGGGCAGCTGCCTCCATGTCACGCTCGAGGGTGATTATGCGCTCAATAAGAGTCGCTTTCTCTGCCTCCTTTTCAGACAGAACCTGCCAATCAAACACAGTCATCCCTGAGTTAATGCTATGTGAACAAACTTGAGAGTCTTACCCATCTTATGTTTAAGGCCATTCAGGGTTACAGTCACACCTTTTGATCAGATTGAAAGTAAGTTGTCAAATGGTTTTTATTGTGTTCCTCTGAGTCCCAGATATACACACACACACCTGCTGTTTATGGCTCTCGGCCTGCAGCAGGGACTCTGTACAGTGTTGCTGCAGTTTGGCTAGATCTTCCTGCAGCTGTTGCAGAACTCTGCGACTCTGTATGCGCAGCTCCTTGCACTCCGCCCGCAGCTGCGATTCTGCCTGCTCCCTCTGTGCGCACAACTCTGCATGCATGCGTTCCTGTGACATACAAGGCAGATGCAGGTGTTATAAGCATCCAAATACTCTCTTGATCCACAGGAGAGTTTTAAAGTTCAGGATTATATCAAATGTTTCTTCTGCCAGAATTTTTGTGATGAATTAATAGTTGTATATCTACAGAGGTTTTCACTATTTTTGTCTGATATATAGACAGGCTGTATTGCCTGCTAGTTTACTCCCTGTGCACTGTTCAAATTTACTACCCTTTTGTTATGTTACGGATGAAACATCCACTGAATTAAACTGCTGTAAAAATGCGTCAGATAAATATATTGTTTTTTTTTTTAAATTTTTTGCATAAATCTGTTAATCAACCTCCGTCCCAATTAAAACTTCTGATTTCTTTTTTTTAAATTACAGGATTTATGTCTTTATTTGTCAAATTCATAAACGATATCACTGATTTGGTGAAAAAAAAGAAGTATTTTCAATATAAAAAGTAAATGTGGACAGGATTTTTTAACCTTTTATCACAGTCTTGGACATGTGAAAGACTAGTAACAATATTGCTTTTGATACATTGCACAGTTACACAGTTTTTGTGCAACATAAGACTTAATTATTTTCTCCCTAATTTACTGTTGGTGGCTTTTGACTTTCATTATAACCACATTGTTTGATTACAAAACCATGACCCCATATAGTCATGCATTTTTGATTGTTCGTTTTTAATGGTTTTCTTTGTTGGGAAGATGTAAAATTTGTCATTTTTAATGTTGATCATCAGTTGGCACCATTAACCCTTTAAATAGGCCTGTGCAAAAAAAAAAAAAAAAAAGTAGTAGTTTTAATCGACTGAAGTTCATTCATTCATATATATATATATATATATATATATATATATATATATATATATATATATATATGTATATTTATATATGTATATATAAATTCAAAGTTGTTATTTTCCAAGCTGATATGCTTATGCTCTCTTTCTGACGCATTAATAAAATAATTGTTAACCAGGCCTGTGACTGGCGCAATAATAAACTTTGCGGTTCTACTCTGCGGTTTTCACTTTTCAATGTACAAGTCATTTTTACATTAAAAAATACTTTTTTATATTAAAAAATGCTGTGGTCATTTTAAATATACTAGGCATATGTATATATATATTGTGTATTCATAAACAGAAGATAAGTAGTACATACACAATTTACTGTTTAGATGTTTTATTACTTTTTTGCCTATAGTTTAGCCATTAAAACATTAGAAGTCTTTCACATTCACAAAAAAACACTTTGCTTTTACATTTTAAAAATAAAGTGTTTAATCAAAGACTACAGAATACACAAGACATGTCACTGGTATAGTTTTAAATAGGGAAATGTGTAACGTTCAGTATGGCGAATGAAGCCCTGCCTAACAGTGCAGGAGTCAATCATCGATCAATATACACTGACGTTTTTCCGGGGGAGAAGCTCGAACCAGACATGTGCTTTCACTAAAGTTTTTATAGTCAACAAACACTAGAATCTCAGCGAATACCTGCTCAATAGAGATAATAAATATATCCACATAAAACTTCACATGTGTAATTTTGAATGAACCAAATGCACTTGAAAACATACGTTTTTTGGTTTTGTAATCACTATGAAAAGAACGCAAGGTACAGTCCGTTCAGTCAAATGCACATCACATGACAGAAGCAACTACTCAAATGCCCACAAACTTGTAAACAATGAGTCATTTTCGGAGAAGATTGACTATCAAGACCAAGTAGTGAATTACTTCAGAAGACCAGCGCGATCTGACAAAATAATATCGAGAGGATGATAATGTGTAAAACGGCCATAAATAAGGTTGGTGTTGTGATCACGTTTGTTTTCGGGTGCGCATGTGCATTAGCTTGGGCACCGTGAAAAAATGCTGATTTTGTTTGAGTCGAATGTTTAGAAAAAAAACTTGACGGTTGTTGTTTTGTATAAATATGTTTTGTAATCTTAAGTATGGCAAAAAGATTTGGAGAATTTCACGTTTCACCATTTAGACAAAAGGTGCATCCCGAATTGCATACTTATGTACTATTTTACGTCATTTTGTAGTGTAAATAGTGTAAGTAGTGCATTCATACTGAAAACTCTCAAAAGAATAAGTGCAATTTAATTATCCGGATGTTGTACTTATTCAACCATTAAAAAGAAGTGTGTTATGTTAGAGACTTCATGCACTCCAACAGTCGCAGCTTTGCTCATGTAGCGGATGGGTGGAGCTATCGGGCGCACATGTTGGATTACTTTATTTATTTTGGATTGTGAAAGCAAAAAACACGAGAGTGATTATATCACCTCCCAATTGTGAATGCGGTTTTACTCATGGCAAGTATTATTTGGTACTTTTGTCATTTATTCACTAATTTGGCAACTGTCGAACGTCATCTGGGAAAAGGTTTAGTAAAAAAACAGTGTTCCATTTGGGACAACACTACATACATATATTATGCTGTTGTGTGTGTAAGTGCAAAAATACATAGTGCATAAGTGGACAGTGTACTTTACAGTGTGCCATCTGGGACGCAGCTAGAATGCCCGAGAGGCATTTCAAAGATGGCCCCCAAGTGAAATGACTTGCCTTATAGGGACTTTGGTATGGTATGATGCAACAGACTACTACGTAATAGTCCATTGTCAAACTTGCATGATTGCAGGATAACCCAATTGGCATGTCTAGAGCACAGAACAGTTGCAAAGAGGTTTGGATTGGATTTTTATGGACATATACTGTATGAGAGAGCCATTGTGAGTCAGCAAGCTTGCAACTACTAGTGATGTAACAGTTCACCTATTTTTGTACAATGCATTAAAACCCTGTAGATAAATACTCACTGATTTAAAAAAAGGACTTTGTATAAAAAACATATTAATCAAATCAAATGCACTGATATACCCCTACATATTACAAAACTTCAAAAATACCTTGTGTTTTCGCTCAGTGTGCAGTTGCTCCTGATGGCTTTGCTGTGTTGTAATGAGCATTTCTTGTGCGTTTCTTTCTGCCTGAGCAAGCTTTAACTCTAAAGCCTGTTTCTCCTGCAAAGCCCGGGACATTTGCTGCTCTAGTTCACTTTGAACACTAGAAAGTTCACCTGTGCAGAGGGAAGAACAAGTAAACACACAGAGGAGAAATATGCTTTGTAATGAAAATATACATTAGGGACACACTCGGTTCCAGCATGCTGGAAACCTGAAATTATAAATGCTCTTAAGAATCATCATTACACAATATATGATGACAGCACAACACATAAATAGTACAGTGTGGATGATATCTGAGAGGGGACTTTGTTAAGCTCTAGAGAAATCCTCGACCGACCTCTCAGCTGTTCCCCAGTTCCGAGTAAAAATATGAGCCCCTTGTGGACTATAGCTGGGGCCCAGTGGCCAGTACACCCAGCCAAGTCAATGAGAGTAGGATAAAGGCTCCCTGGAGAGAAACTCACGCGTCAAGGACTTGTTAGCCTGCTGTAGACTAGCATTCTCTCCATCTAGTCTATCTCGTATGGCCTCTAGAGATGAGGCCAGTTCCTGCCTGTCCAACAGGCTTGACTCTAGAGACTCTCTCTCAGCCCTGAGCAAGAGGAAAAAGCAAGAGAGATGGTAAGGGAATACAAAGAAAAATAGGTTGAGTTTTGTGTAGATAATGAACGTCTTTAAATGGTTGTTTCTTTAGCTAACATCGTTCGGGACAGATGAGATGTTCTAAGGAGATGATTTATACAGCAAAACAGAGGCTTAACCTCATGGTGATTCTCTCGCAAAACAGACTAAGTGAAACTAGGAAGAGTTACATGATTGAAAAGGCCCAATTGATAATTACTCAAAAAAAAAAAACATGCTGAAAACACAGGTGTTTTACTTTGCTCGCCAGGGTCAAACTCCAACATAAATACAAACACTTAGCCCATATAAACACATTAATGCACCAAATCCTACTCGCACTAAAACACTAACACACTGACTCACCGCAGAGCGGCTAGGTCTTGGGCCAGAGCCTTGGATTTACGTTGCTCTGAGGTGAGTTGCACTGTGAGATTGGCTTTGTCTCTTGCCAGTTCATCTCTCTCTTTGTAAGTCTTCTGCAGCAAGGCAGCGCTCAGCTCCATTTCTCTATGACATGCATTTAACTGTTCCTGCACAGCTTGTTTCTGCTTACTGGCCTACAAAAAACACACACACACACACACACATGGGTTTTCGTGATTTTCATTCAGAATAAATGCAAAGAAAATCCAGTGTTTGCTATTAGTAAGGTACAATCCCAATTCTACCCCTTAGCCCTTCCTTTTTGGGTGCTCACGTGAAGGGGTAGCGGTGACCAAATTCTCTTTGGCTTGAAGGCATAGGGTTAAGGGGAAGGACTAAACAGAGTTTTTTCAGGACTACACTCAAAACCAGGGGTACGAAAATTTTCCAGAATTAGGGAGATGCACAAAATAGTATTTTTTTGGCATTATAACAAATTTTTTACAACAAACAAGCTCATGTTTTAATACATTCATAACAGCGTTTGTGTTTTACGGTCGTACTTTAAAAAACGTAAAAAAATAAATAAATAAAAATTTCGCTATATATGATCCCTAATAATAACTTCTGTATAGTAGTCCCACAACATTCTGACACTCGATGACACTCGAATACCCTGTCAGAAAAGTCTATTGGCTGGGAATTTACAGTGACCTTTTTACAGTGTCTGGTATAATGTTAATGGTGTTTTTGTATGTTAACATTGATGAATATGGCCAAGGTGTAAATGCACAGTACAGTTGCAATCTCATCGCCACGTTATATCGTTATAATAACATGTTATTGTTGCCTTCAGTGCTTTCCTAAAGATAAATACCAAAAGATAACTGGAATAACTACAGCAGTAGTGATCGTTGATCTCATATGAAGCAAAAAACGCGATGACAAATGATGATGTGTTCAGGTGTGTGCAGTGTGCTGTCCCATTTCTTAGGGGTAAACTTTGGAGCCCTTCCCCTTCACACTTTGTTTCATGGGCCAAGTAGAAGAGGTAATGTTACAAAAATAGAGATGGGATTGGGCCTAAATCAATGTCATGGTTATGAGTCAAGTACTTAGACAATAATTTGGTGGTTTATCAATCAAGTGAAATCCCAGATTATGCCACTAACTGACCGCTGAGGAACAGCAGGCTATTCAAATATTTTCCTGATATGTTAAAACTTTCCCCACCAAGTCTGCACTAAACCAAGCTAATAAAGGAAATTTTATTGAAGCTTTCTGCCAAGCAGGTCAACTGAAAAAGCAGCGAGTAAAATAAAGAAAGGACATGTTGCAAATAATGTACTGTACTAATAATTTAAATTATATCTTCAAGACTAAAATGGAAGTGACTGATTTATGACAACTTGAAAACTCAACAGTTTTAACATAGTGACACTTCAGTAAAACATGACTGTAGGTGTAGAAAAAAGAGAGCAGACAAATTCCACACTGTCTGTTGAGAAGACAGATCAACCTTGTGATTTACAGCTTTTCTCACTCAGTCTCTCTTACTGTGATATTACCCTTCTGTAATATCTATCTCTGCAGTCTTCCTGTCCTTCATTTGTACTCAAAATCCCCTTTGCCTCCCCCATTCAATTCCTTTGCCACTCATAAAACACACATGGGCCAAGATTCATATATGGAACTCTTGGAGGAAGGTGTTGAGTACCACGGCAGATGGGTCCAATATCTTCTCTTAACGTTTTAATGTGACAACAAGACCGATCAGAGCACAGCTGAGAGTTGTGAATCATGCTGCGCCCACTCTTTTTGCGAGGAGAACGGCTGACCTGGGCATGCTGCTCCTGGACTGAGCTTTTCTCTCTCTGCAGGAGGTTGTACTCTGCATCTAGGGTCATTTTGGCCTCTTGAAGGTAATTGTGTGAGGCCTCCAGAGCACGTTTCTCTGCCGTTAGGTCTAACAGCTCCTGCTGAAGTCGAGCTAGTTCCTCTCTGGCTGCCATTCGCTCTAGTTCTGCTTCCCGTCTACGCTCACCAAGCTCTGCTTTTTCAGCCTCGGCCTGGCGGCAGAAAAATTAAAAAACAAAGTATCATCATTAATTGATTTTAATGTCTGCCAGTCACTTTGTTATTGTTAATTACAATACATCCAAAAAATAATAACAAAAACACAGCATAATTAAACAATAGACTAATAATAGCCTATTTATGTGAACACTATCTACTATATTAAAAACATTTACAAATTTTAGGTCAACAGGTAAAGCATTGCAGAGTTTTGTTCTTTACATAAAAAAGACATGATGACCAAGATCTAACATTTTAGAACAAGACATCATTAATCGTTGCTTCTGAAATCTACTGATTAACTCAGAAAATGGCAATGGTACATGATTATGCAAACATTTTAAGATAAATAAAATCCTCAACCTTCTGTCTCACTACAATCCAACCTGCTCTTTAAAATCTCAAAACTCTACAAGCAAAGTCTACTAAAGGAAGTCGTGCCTTCTCATTTATGGCTCCTAAACTCTGGAATTGCCTTCCTAATAACGGCTGAGGCTCAGACGCACTCTCAGTTCAAAACTAAATTAAAGACCTATCTTTTTAGTAAAGCATACACACAATGCATCACATAACAGAATGATGCAGAATGATGCAGAATGGTGCTCTGTGCAAGTGAGTGGGCTTGACAAACCACCAATAGAACACACTCCTCCTGTCTTAATGCACCAGACATTTTGTTAGAAATACTCATATGCTTTACATGTTTGTTTCTATGTTTGTTTTTATAACTGCTATTTTCATTTATAGCACTTTAATTTTGCACCTCGTGTTTGAAAACACTTTGAACAGCAGCTACGCTAATTATTTTCTTTATTCCATTTTTCCACCTGAGGACACTTATCCTGAGGCCTCTAGAGATTATGCAGCACCATTAATGCAATACAAGATCTGTGAAGAAATTATGCCAAGGCAGGCTACATCATGAGTTGATTTCTGAAAGATCACAGTGACAGATGAGTCTTCGCATTGATCCTGTGGGCCATCATGATCACCTGCTGGTGACCTACTCACACCTGCAGTTCTTCACAATGGACGTTCAGTGTTCTCCAGCCTCCGGCGCCTAGACTGCAGCTCTGCACAAGAAGTTTGGCGAGAGAAGAAATGGTCGTGCCCAACTGAGCCTGGTTTTTTCCTTCACTTTCGTCAATCGGTGAAGTTTGTTTCTCACCACTGTTGCCACTGGCTTGCTTGGTTTGGGACTTGTGGAGCTGCCCATCCAAGGATTTGCTCTTCAGGGTTTGGACTTTCAGCAGTAAAAATTAAACCACACTGAACTGAACTTCAACTCTGAAAACAGGACTGACAGTTTCAATCTACTAGAAGGTCTATGTTAAGCTGCCTTTACACAATCTACATTGTAAAAGCATTATAGAAATAAACATGAATTTAATTGAAATAAAATAACTGAAGACAGCAAAACAAAAAAGGTTATGCTTGCGTAAAGCAGCACTATGATGCTATCACATAGGCTTCAAATCCTTCATTTTAATTGCTTGTTTGAATATTGTAACAATAGACTTTAATGTGGTTGAAGAGGCTTGTGATCATGATGTAATGTAGTACATCATGCAATTAAAATTAAATACCGTAATCAGTATTCTCCCCTAAAGGAATTGAAATGTAAAAAGTTGAAACATTCTACGCACACAATCCAATTCCATGACCCTGACCTGTAGGAGAAGACGGTTTAATTCAACCTTGTCTTTAGCCAATCCCTCACTTAGGGCTCCCATCTTGGCCAGGGAGTCCTGTAGCCCTGCATCTTCACTTCGTAGTTTAGTGAGCGCCAGTTCCTGCTCTGCATTCTGGGCCTCCGCCTATAGGGAGGCATTACAAACATCAGTGGGAAGCATAGCTACATACAATCATTAGCTACCAAGTTCACATAACCACCATTTATTTTGTAATCAGCGGTCAGGGTAAAATATGTTTGCAGAGCTGTTTAATAGCACTTCCACTTAACCATTACATTTTGTCCCCAGAATGACCTTGGGAAGTGCGGAAAAACTGTAAGTTAGACAGATCAAGTGATGAAGAATCTTGCAAAGGCAGTTTTGCATGGTAAATCTCAACCACTACAAATAAGCAGAGCTACATAACTCACCCAAGGTCAAAGTAAACCGAGTTTCCAGTAATTCAACAACTGACTTGGACATTTGACAGGGGGAAAACTCTGTATTTACTTAACAGATAAATAATGCAAAACTGGGTAAACAGTTTTATGGCTGGGTATAATTCACTGTAGGAGCATGCAGGTAAGGACAGATTTATACCGATCTACATCTGGTTTTGTTAAGATGAATGAGTGAATATGTGAATTAAAGAATTAATTGATGAAAGATTAAATAGAATATGTAAATGACTGAAGGAGGGAGTTAATGGATGAGTGGTTTAAGAGAATGTGTGTGTTAACAAGTGAGTGAAAAAATTGAGCAAACAGGTTTGAGAGAGTATGTTAGTGAGTGACCGTGCTGGAGGAATATGTGCGTGTTTGGAAAGTGATGTGAATTAATAAGTGAGCACAGCAGGTGAGTGAGTGTGATGGAACGAATGAGTGGGTGAGTAAATGGATGAATGAAGAAAGGGTCAGGTAAGTAAATGTCAAGCAGCACCTTAGAGAGAGCCTGAGCAAGACTTCTGTTTTCGTCCTCTAGAACCTCTTTCTGTAAAGACAGCTGACTTAAAGCTTCCTTTAGAGTGACCAGTTCTTTACGCACATCTGAGTACCTTGCCTCCAACTGCTCCAGAGTGTGTCGACTGTAGAACACATACACAAATGGAAACAAACTGTCAAGAGATGAATACACACTTTATTAACTGTAGATATAGTACGTTGTGGCAAAAAGCAACCAAATTAGCTTTATGGCAAACTGTATACACAGACTAAGCTTAATAATATTCATATAAACACATACACTACCTGATAAAAGTCTTGTCGCCTTTCCAAGTTTTGGGAACAACACATGATAACTTGACTTCTAGTTGACCATTTGGTATCAGAAGTATGAAAGACAAAGGCCTCTAGATTAAGCTTATTTTACCAAAATAAAAATGATCATGTCTTGATTTTTATTTAATTAGGACAGTAAGGTCTGACTTGCTAAGACAAAAGTCTTGTCACTTACCAGAAATAATGAACAGCATAGAATATAAAGTCAGTGGAAAAAAGTTAGTACTGTGTACGACTCCCATGAGCTTGGAGAACTGCATCCAAACATCTCAACAATGACTCAAATAACATTAATAAATGGAGCTGCAAATAAAACATTCTTGCAGGACTCCCAGAGTTCATCAAGATTCTTTGGATTCATTTTGGATGCCTTTATCTTATCCCAGACATGCTCAATAATGTTCATATCTAGTGACTAGGCTGACCAATTTTAAAGCACATTGAACTTCTTTGCTTTCAGGAGCTTTGATGTGGAGGCTGAAGTATAAGGAGTGCAATCCTGCTGAAAAATTTGCCCTCTCCTGTGGTTTCCATCCACTCTGCAGATCTCTTGTACGCCACTCTACTGAATGCAACCCTAAACCATGATTTTCCTTCACCAAACTTGAATGATTCCTTTGAGAATCTTGGGTCCATGCGGGTTCCAATAGGTCTTCTGCAGTATTTGTAATGATTGGGCTGAAGTTAAACAGATGTTTCATCTGAAAAATTTACCTTGTGCCACTTTTCCAAATTATAAACTAGAACTCAAGTTATTATTTGTTTCTCTTACAACTGGGATTGATGACAATACTTTTGTCAGGTAGTGTAGTTATACTAAATGCACATCCTTTTTTTTCAGGCATCTTTTCTTATATAAACAAAGTTAAAGGTGTTTTCCCAAATGGCTTGACGTTAAATACACTGTTAAAAAAAAATCAATAATTTTACTGTTTTATTTCCGGCAGCTGGGGTGCCGGAAAAAAAAAAAACGTACAATAACGGCTGTTAAATTACAAAATTTACCGTAAAATAACGTAAATAAAATTACAGAAATTTCCTTAAATTCAAATTTCTGGTAAATATCTGTTATTCAACCTCAGTTTTTTTACAGTAAATTTCTGTAATTTAACAGCCGTTATTTGATTTTTTTTTTTCCGGCATCCCAGCTGCCGGAAATAAACCGTAAAATTAAGTTTTTTTTTTTTGTTTTTTTTACAGTGCATAATATTACTAATATACAGTACATAATGATCGGACATGGAAACAACAAGATCAGGGTTGTTACCTTTAACCTAACAAGTAAACTAAATGCATTATCCGTCTTCATCTTTGATGGACTTTGTAAACAATACTATTCTGGATTAATTCAAGGCTACTTTAAGGACAACATGTGCTAGTGATACTGACAGTAAACAATAGGACAGGGAAATAAACAAGGGCCAAGAAAGAAGTCAAAGGGTTTGAGGTTTCGCAATGTCATACCCCCTCTCGGATTCAGAGCGTTCTCGGGCCAGCTGCCTCTCCAGGTCCTCCCTCTGCTGCCTGAGGAGGTCTCTCTGCCTCTGAACATCCAGAGAGGAACTTCTCAAACCTTCCTGCTCTGTTTGTGTGCATTCCAGCTGCTGCTGCATGGCTGAGAGCTGCCTCTCAAGCTCTCCTTTTTCACTAGAAAGAAAGACAGTAGCAATTGTTGTGTGGTACAGTATGTGACTGTTCAGGATATATGGTAGTACTAAAAATAGAGGGAAATACTTTGAGCCAATAAGTCTGCTAGATTAGGATTAGAACTACATCTTTGATATGATTAATTAGAATTATAATGTAGCATGTTATAACTTTTGATGCATGTAAAGTCAGGACAAATCTTTAAGTTATTTGCCTTCTGAATTGGCCGACTAATGTCATAAGAGCTCTGTAAAAGAATGCTGATGTAAAAGTAGAGGGTTCAAATTTAACAGTGGAAATAGTATTGAAGTGCCAGGTTTGATCAGTAGCAGACCTGGTTATTATTCCCAGAGAGTTGCGGTATCTCTCAGCATCTCTAGTGCTGTCCTCCTCAGCTCTTTCCAATAGCTGGTTCTCTTGCTGCAGTTCTTGGAGTCTTTTTTCCAGGGTTCTGGTTTTATCTTCTTCCACATGCAGCTGCTTTTGCAAAGTGACAACCTGCTCTTGGGAAGCTTCCAGACATGCTTGCAGATCCTTTGGGTGGATAGATATTGTGATTTTGTTAAATGAACTGAAATTACATACTCTTCTCGATAGCAGGAGATAAGATTAGTGATCTAATAAAGTGATATGAAAGCATTTTTAAAGGTGATGTGTGTGATTTAAGTTCTACAAATGTTGCCAAACGGAAAATAAAAATGTATTTCCAGAACATTCCACCTGTCATCAATTGGTTGGACAAATACATAGCCCTGCCCAAACCCTTGGTTGAGCCAGTGTTGCTATGTACGGATAGCAATAACAAGGATTTCTTCTGAAAATTTACTTCACCCTTAATATAACAGTCATGACAACTGTATCATTTAGGTTGGTATGTTGAAGGTTTGTTGCAAACCTCAGTTTGTGTCTGCCGCTGTAACAGTGCTTTTTGCACAGCTATCAGTGGACCCTCTCGTTGAGATGAGGATATAGATCCTGCAGAAATAAAAGAGTGCTCATGTTTGGATGAGCAGTCTCGGGAAACCTCTCCACTGACCACCTAATAGAGAAAACAAAAGATGAGTTGACAATATTCTGTTGAAATATCACATTACAATATTAATGTCGTGAGTAAAACCGTGATCACACTGGATGTTTCACCCCATACCCCACCTGAAAAAAGTTGTCACCTATCCAAGTTTTAGGAACAACAAATACTGTAATAACGTCTACTTGACGATTTTGAATTAATGAATTAATATCGTGTATGACTCCCATTAGCTTGAACGACTGCATGACTCAAATCTTATTAATAAAGATATATTAATAATAAAGTCATCTGGAATGGGAAAGAAAGCAGTCTTGCAGGACTCCCAGAGTTCATCAAGATCCTTTGGATTCGTCTTCAATGCCTCCTCCATCTCACCCCAGACATGCTAAATGCACCTTGACCTTTGCTTTCAGGAACTTTGATGTGGAGGCTGAAGTGTAAAAAGGAGCGCTATACTGCTGAAGAATTTGCCCTCTCCTGTGGTTTGTAATGTAATGGGCAGCACAAATGTCTTGATACATTAAGCTGTTGATGTTGCCATCCATTCTGCAGATTTCTAGCATGCCCGCATACTGAATGCAACCCCAAACCATGAATTTTCCATCACTAAACTGTTAGAAACTTAGGTCCATGCGGGTTCCAATAGGTCGTCTGCAGAATTTGTGCTGATTGGGATGAATCAAATGATTCATGAAAAAAATCTACTTTCTGCCACTTTTCCAAATGATCAACTAGAAGTCAACTTATTATTTGTTGCTCTTACAACTGGGATCAACAACAAGACTTTTGTCAGGTAGTGTTGACTTCCATTCATACGCACATGAATACGTCAGACCGGAAACGCAAACTCGTGCAGTTGACTGCGTCGCAAAGAAGTTCAAGCTAGATAAACGCAGACCTGCAAAATTGCATCAAGTTATTGCATGAGACCAATTGAAGATCAAAACATGACCTCTCTAGACAGAAATTTAAAATATGGACTATTGGAACGTCTAATCATCTTTTCAATCCTGCCACTTTTCGCAGCGCCATACAACAGATTTTGGCATGGTCAGACTTTGTGACCACGGCATTACTGACATAACATTAAGCACTTCTAATCCAAAATATCTAAATCATGTTCAGTAAACCTGATTAATGTTGTGGAGTATCTGATGCAGGCTGCTGATCTCACTGCGTAAGGCATCCCTCTCTGCTCTGTCTTCAGACCGATTTGTTTCCTGTATATGAAAGTATTCAGGTCAAAGTGCAGCTTCTTGAACCATCATGACACACACCAGACAAGACAACTGCATCCAGACAAGTCATTAACGAAGTGACAGGGTTTATCAACCCTACTCTTTTAGCCACCCACCCCAATTAAGGATTCCAGCAGCACTATAAATGTGCTGTATTTCTGCTTACCATCTTGTTCAAATTGCTCCGCAGTGCAATCAGATTGCTTTCCTTCTCGCTGTTCTGTGCTCTGAGCTGTTTCACCATTTCTCCCAATTCCAAGATTCTGCCAAAATATGTGAATATGTTAGACTTTGCATATCCAATTATCAAAGCATTAAGAAAGTGGTACCATGACTTTTTTTTCCCCTGGTGTGCCATTGGTCAGTAGCTTAGAAGATTCTGGAGTAGTACTGATCAATTTTGTTTAAGAGAATTGAACCCTTTTTTGAAGTTTCCCGTTCATTAAACACTGTCTTTTGGATATATAATTGTTTAACTTCAGAGAGAAGGTGTACTTTTTCTATAAGAAATATAGCACATACTGTAACTTGATTTGATGTTGTACTTTGCAAGCTGAGTAGGCACAGATTTAATGTATGAGTTTCTAAAGTATTTTAATACCTACAGTACAAATTCTTTTGCATGACCACACATACTATCACAGTATAGAAAAATGTGCATGTGTGAAACATTAAAGCAGCCGAGTCAAAATGATCAAACAGTACATGGTGCACTTATTTGATCCTCGTTTGTCTGTGGCCCTTTGTTCCCATTGCAATAAATCTCAGCTAAAAGTTCATATATCAAAATGGAGAGAGATCTCTGCGTTCTTCATTATAAAACTGTCACTGATGAAAAGATGTAGAAGAGAGAAGCCGCAATGACTCCATTCATCAGAAGACCCCAACCCTTTTTTGTCAAATCCGTGGATTCGCTCTCAAAAGAAACTGTCATAGACCACTGACACATTATACTAGTAATTGAAGAATGTAGTGGATACTGAAGAGCAAATAAAGAGGCCTACTCTCTCTCTCTCTAGTTTTGGCATGCCACAGAGTTGGATGGATGAGGCAATCCATGCTGACCTTCCCTGTATGATATCACTTAAGACGATGCACAATGAGTCATGAAGAAACTGAGTTCAGGACATCAATAATTCAATTCAAAGCATTGGGATACTGTAGGTGCTGAAATTTATGACATGGCAAAATTCTTGGAATTTGATCATTTAACAAAATACCATATGTATTTATAACAGCATGCTACTTACGCATGATATTATTGGTGAAAAATGAATAGGAGCTTTATGTAAACAGTGATGCCGAGTTCAGAATGCATGATTTTAGACCTGATTTTGACTTGCTGACAGGAACTCGCAGATAAATGCCTGAAATCACAGGCAAATCGGTGCTCATTAATGTAACAATCACACAATGTGAACAATCAAAAATGACACGGACACCCGTGAGATATTTGCCATGCTAAATATCTGGAGCTGTTGGCGGTTCAAAATCATGCCGTGTGAAATGTGTTCTGACTGAAACTAACATCAGCTAACACCTACAGCCAATCAGAGAGCAGGATCCACTAGTATGGGTATCTGCAAGCCAGCGGGAGGATAGGGGAGAAGTTAAAAAGAGCTTCTTTGTGGTCTATTTGGCCACAAGAAACAAAGGAAAAACTAGTGGAGCAGTACCCATGTCTGTTTGACGTGTCATCTGAGCAATATCACAACCGGGTCGAAAAAGAAAAACATTGAAGAGAAATTGCCAATTCCCTTCAAAGGCCAGGTGAGCAAAATTAGTACATTTTCTACCCTACTAAAGGCTTCTCATTATGTAGTTAAAAACAAAATATATACTATGTGACCATGTGTTGTTTTCATGTCATTTCTCATGTGCGTTTGGTTATGAAACGTAGTTGAAACATGAAACGTAGGACAGAGAAAAAGTTGTTGGCAATTTTTCTGTTGTAATGTCATGTGTGTGAAACCACCTCTTGCCGATCCATCCTACAGTGTAAACACATCACCAACAGAATGCTAGCCTATATAGTCATGAAGTATAAAAATATCTGTGACACAACTACTTTGAAAATCGTGCAGCCTGAATTTGGCATAAGACAGGTTATACCTAGAGCTAAGCTCTACTTTCTCTGCATCAAAGCGAGCTTGGAGCTGCATGGCCTCTCTCAGCTTGTCTCTCAGTTGGGTCTCCAGTGCTGATACTCCATTGCTAGCGGTGGTACAAGACTGGCTCTTGCTAGCTTCCAAATTTAGACAGGCCACACGGAGACGATGGCTAGTTGCTGCATACTCTGCTTGCAAATCCGATAAACTCCTGTGAAACACAGTTATTAAGGCAAAACTATTACAACCAGCAGCAAAATGTTCTGATACAACAAAAATTCTTGTTCTCCTACATTCCCTAGAAATTGTGTTTCATTCACAAGTGACGAGAGCCAGATGGCCGAAAGTTTATTGTGGTGTGGGAATAAACTCTTTGAACGGTGTCGTGTCTGAGTAAGGGTCGTGAATACTTTCTCTGCTGTCCATGTGTTGAGTAATCCACATTACTGCAAATTACTCAACAATGATCACAGCATTTACACAGGTTGAGCCCTCATCAAGCTTGGCTCTGATGGATAACTCAAGGCTAATCTATAGGGCAATCTAACCATCACATTTCCCTGGACGATGTAGACAGGATGGGTGAGGGCTGACCCAGGTGACCCACCAAGCTTTGATCTCAAACAGGGATAAATGGTGGTTGGTTTGGAAGTAAGTTTTTTGCCGCAAGCTAGACTCACCTGTCAGCAAAGGCCCGCAGCTGGGTGAAAGAGCTCCGCAGGAAGGCAACTTGACGCCACAAAGATCGTACACGGACTTGTTCGCGGCTGTTTCGGGAGGTATTCATCTGCAGAATGATGATATGGACATATGGTCGGCAGGTTTAGTAAAGAGGGGTGGGATTAAGAGCATAAGGTTAAAGACGTCTCCATTTTAATGCACACATATGAAAAATAATGAATGCACCCACACGAGCACACATTTAAACCGATCGGCGCAGACACCCACATAGACTCGCATGCACAAATAGTACCTTAACCTATTCTGAATGTGACTAAAAACGAAACGAGTTCCACCATATCACCAGATGTTTGCACAGAGCAATGAATTCTTACTCTTTTTTCCAATCAACTGGAATGTTTTCACAGGAAACAACAGCTGAGAAAATCACAACAATGATTTAAAACAAAGACAGGGTCCAGACTGACAAAACAGGCACCAGGGTGGAATTCCACAAGTTCCAGAGTTGAGTTTCATTGGGTTGGATTAAGAAGAGATTTTCCTTAAACTGTGGATTTGGATAAAAACATACACTACAGATCTCTCCTTCCTTCCCTCTGTCTTTTTTTTCCCTCCTCCCTCTCACCTCAAGTTCCCTCCTGAGTCGCGTGTCCCTTTGTTCTGCCTCATCTCGTGCTTTCTGCAGGCTTTCCGTCAGGGCCTGATTGGTTTCATTGGCTTGTTCAAGTTGTTCCCGAAGCAGTGCGTTCACCTGGCTCAAACCAGAACACCTGTGAAATAGATGGAACCGCTTCAGAGCACTGTATTACTGGGACCTCCACCTGTTAAGCCATGAGCCAAATATTCTTTCTAAACTTTGCACATGATCTCACCGCACTCCTCTATCAGCTTCTAGGTTTACGGACTCATAAAGGCCCACGTCACATTCTGTGTTGCCAGCCACGCTTAGAGGGGAATGTGCGTGACAGTTTTATAAAGTCCATGTCAGCTCCAGCCTAATTGCCACCAGATTTGCTTGTCAAATAGTTTAGAGGGTTATTTACATCATTCGTGGCAGAATCCACCCAGTTACTTACAAAGATTGACGCCAGGGTGTGAGGCAAAACAGCAACTAACAAAACGATCATCAAAGGGATGATGAACAGAGAGAAACACGATCAAAGCTTTGAGAATGTGTTTAATCATTTTCAATAAGTAGATTTGCTCTGTGCTTTCTGCAGTTTGCGCCCCTCTGAGAAAATGCAGCTCCAAGGCAGACAGCGTAACATTAATTTTCAATTTAACATTTCTGCCCTGCTGAATCTCAGTTAATTGCGGAATGCAATAAAAGTCTCATGAGCCATGGCACAGTTGACTTTTCTGACATAGAAAATTAAATGAACTGTGTTACAAGGCTGCAGAGCCTCAGATGACTGGATGAACTGCCCTGCATTATGCTCTCTGACAGAGGCACTAAGGTTTAAAAAATGAATAAGAGCTTGGCAGCTGGATGGCTCAGAGTTTGCCATAACCGTTTCAATTAGGGGCGAGTGGCACAGTAAATCACACTCCTTTAAAGGCAGGCATCTGGAACTGTAGGTTGGCCAGCACTTTGTATGAAGTGTAATAAAAACTATTTGGCTGAGATCGTGAACAAGGCTGTGATAATTAAGTTTGACAAACTGTATACCTTTTGTTTTATCACACCCCTTTCCAGCATGGGTTTGTGAGGACTGAATTAGGCAGCTAGGAGACTTTATTAAGAAAGATTCTGCTATATTCTCTTAAATGTGGGATCATGACTTGTTTACTGTTTTCCAAGTCTGCTTTTGGTTAGTAGCTTTAGAAGATTCTGGACTTGTTTTGATCATTTTTGTTTAGGAGCATTTAGTCTCTATTGCCTACCTGATAAGTTGCTCATGTTTTGTTTTCCAGTGGATTGATGGTAAAAAAACTGTACCCTAAGGATTAAGGTATGGCACTTCTGTTTTGAAACATAGTAACTGGTTTCCAGCTGGTTTGAGGTGCTCATAGATGTATTGAAATGGCCATTAACCTGTTAAGCTTGTCCAAATTGGTAATTAGCTGATCTAGGTTAATTATTAGGTGATCCAAGACTGGAAGTCTCTTTAGCTGATCCATGCTATTCATTTGCTATACAAGTCTGTCATCAGGTAGCTGTTGGAAGTTAGCTAGTCTCATTTATTCATTCATTCCCTCATTTTCTTTTCAGCTTAGGTCCCTTTATTAATCAGGGGTCGCCAACGCGGAATGAACCCCCAATTTATCCAGCATATGTTTTACACAGTGAACGCCCTTTCAGTTGCAACTCGTCACTGGGAAACCATACACTCCCATTCCCACACATACACTACAAACAGTTTAGCTTACCCAATTCACCTATAGCTCATGTCTTTGGACTGCGGGGAAAACCGGAGCACCCTGAGAACATACAAACTCCACCCAGAAATGCAAGCTGAAGCTCGAACCAGCGAGTTTCTTGCTGTGAGGTGAAAATGCTACCCACCCCATTAGCTAGTGTAAGGTAGGTATTATTGTTTAATATGGATCAAATTTGTGATTACTTGTTCTAATCTGGTCTATGCTGTTTATTAGTTGATCTAGACATATCTGGGTTAGCTACAGGATTGTCATGCAAGCTGGACATTTTTTGTTTTGTTTTTGTTTTGTTTTTAAGTTAATAACCAGCAGAAAACTAGGTTTTAGTGGGGTATTTCCTCCCCTAAAAACTGCCTCCAACTTCTTAAATTCTGTCTTCACATAGTGGCTAAAATAAAAAAAGAAAACAGGTTTATTCAAAATGTTTAATTCAACATTGGTTCCTAATCTTGACTCACTGTTTTACCTTGATAGTCTTTACTTTCTCACCGTTTCTGCTCATCATCAAGCAGTGCAAGTTTATTCTGGACATCCAGGCTGTGTTCCTGCTCAAAGCGTTGAAGACGGTGTGCTGAGGAGTCTAGGTGTGACTGGAGCTAAATACAGATGCAGGTTTTTACCTTATATACTAAAATACTGACAAAAGTTAGAGCGCAAATATATTTCTTGAAATCAGACAGCTCTAAATGAAAATTCTGTGAGTAGGATTACAGTGTTCTACTGTATCTGTAAATGTTAGAATGTTGTTTAGTAAGACATACCGAGAGTCTCAGCTTCTCCGACTCAGAGGTTTTCTCCAGGACTTGCTGCTCTAGATTTCCACATCTCTTCTTATACTGGAGCAACTGTTGACAAAGACGTTTCTTTTTACTCTACATTTACAAATAAATCATCATGATTTCTCTTCGTAATGCATATTCTAAGGTAAATGCACTTCAAGACACTTTACTATCTTTGAACAAATTAGTTGTGTTGAATGAGACCAACAGTAGACCTTGGCTTGTAGTTTCTGCACCAGCTGAGCCTGTCTGTGTTGGCTCTCTTGATAGGCTTGGAGCTTCAGCCTGTACGAACGTCCTTCCTCTCTTGGCCACCCTTGATCCGCACCATAGACACTCTGCTGGTCTGAATCTCCTGATTGCTGCAACAGCATCTGCTCCAGCTGTGAAGACATATGCACATGCACATTACACTGACTGATCACCTTGTAGACCCCTTAAGACTGTTCATAATTTGTCTTAACATGATTTAGTGACACTTACAGAGAATAAATTTAAAAGCAAAAATATTAAAAGTATACTTCAAAGGGTTTTCTTATACCACCCAAATATTTCTTTGTCTTATATTGCACATAGGCCGAAGTGCAATTAAGGTTTAATCTTGACAATATAAAATAAGTCAATAAGTGTAAATCAGTTACAAATGGAAGTAGGGCCTGAATTTTTGTATTTTTTTTTCTTGATTGATCTGAGATGATTTTGAGAGCATAAGGGTGAAAACCTAAAACTTAAAATAAATAAAAATGATCTATTTAGGGTTTACAATCAAAAACCAAACAGAACCACTTGTTTGGTTAATGAAGCAACAGGTACACCGTTATTAGGTACACCTTACTAGTACCGGGTTGGACCCCATTTGCCTTCAGAACTGCTTTAATCCTTGGTGGCATAGATTCAACAAGGTACTGGACATATTCCTCAGAGATTTTGGACCTTATTGACATGATAGCATCATGCAGTTGCTGCAGATTTGTCAGCTGCATATCCATGATGCGAATCTCCTGTTCCACCACATCCCAAAGGTGATCTATTAGATTGAGATCTGGTGACTGTGGAGGCCATTTGAGTACAGTGAACTCATTGTCATGTTCAAGAAACTATTGATGATTCACGCTTTATGATATGGTGCGTTATCCTGCTTATAGTAGCCATCAGGACATGGTCCACAACAATACTCAGGTAAGCTGTGGCATTGACACAATGCTCAATTAGTACTAATGGGCTCAAAAAGTGCCAAGAAAATATTCTCCCACACTATTTCACCATCATCAGACCAGGCAACGTTTTTCCAATCTTCTATTGTCCAATATTGGTGAGCCTGTGCAAATTGTAGCTTCAGTTTCCTGTTCTTAGCGGACAGAAGTGGCACCCGGTGTGGTCTTCTGCTGCTGTAGCCCATCCGCCTCAAGGTTGGCCGTGTTGCGCATTCAGAAATGCTCTTCTGCATACCTACTCCTCTGACCTCTGGCACCAATAAGGAATTTGTGCCCACAGAGCAGCCGCTCACTGGATGATTTCTCTTTTTTTAGACCATTTCTATAAATGCCAGAGATGGTTGTGTGTGTAAATCTCAGTAGTTCAGCAGTTTCTGAAATACTCAGACCAGCCCATCTGGCACCAACAACCATGTTACATTCAAAGTCACTTAAATCACCTTTCTTCCCCATTCTGATGCTCGGTTTGAACTGCAGCTGATCGTCTTGAACATGTCTACATGCCTAAATGCATTGAGTTGCTGCCATGAGATTGGCTGATTAAAAATTTGCGTTGATGAGCAGTTAGACAGGTGTACCTAATAATGTTGCCGATGAGTGTATTTACACATAATTACATAAAAATAAATAGGTTGAACGATGGGCTCAAATATCTGTAGTTTCCTACAGGCGCAGATTCCATGTGGCCTTTCATTTGTTAATTTCGTAAAACAAAAAATCTTTCATTAATTGTTTGTTTTCCTTTTGCTGAAATGCCTATAAAAGACTGCTCGAAGGCACATTTATTGCGATAACATTCCCTGCTCACTGTGTGTTCATTGAACTTTATCTTTAGAAATGTTCATGCAAGTTTTTGTTGTCAAGACAAGGACCTAAGCCTTCTCTGGACCTAATGCCCTGCAGTTAAACAATTGACAACCTGCACCATTCTCTCTGAAATCTTAATACCACAGTTTTGTTTTTTTACGTATTGTACATTTGTTTTTGCTCTGCTGTGTCTGTTGTTTGTCTATTTGATATCTATCATTTGTGTAGCAAGGAGAAAGTTGGCTGTCACAAGGGCAGTGTGTGTTCATTGATTACCATGCTTCAACCTGGGTCATTACTCTAAATGTCTTCAATGTCCCATTACCCCACCAACCCCTCCTATCTTCCTTTAACCCCCAGTGCATATCGTGGTGCCAGACACCCAGTCCCTATTAACAAAAACCACATGTTTCTTTCCAACACAACAGCATGCTGCCTCAGCTGATTCAAACACAGCAACGACAAAAGAAAGCATAGGGTGGAGACTGTAAAAAGGTGAAAGTAGAATCACCTTCATTCTTCCTGCAAAGAAACATAAGTACGCACAAATATACAGGTTCTATTGAAATCTGCAGCTAACGCTCATCTACTGCTAAGCTGAACAGCAGCCTCTACAACATGAAGGGACAATAGTCCCCCTGTTCCCAACTGGAGCCAAGGGCTTCGCAAACCTTAATAAAACATTTTCAAACAGTCATTCTGAGACCTTTAATTCCATACACTACAAAGAGGGGCAAACCAGCACCCGGCTCGGAGCGGTTTTGGGGTTCAGGGCTCATAAGGGAACAGGGACTTATTATACGGCCCGTTGTTAAGGTGACAGCTTTTGAAAGCGAACAGAAAATGAAAAACATGGGTGGAGGACGAGTCAGAAGAGAGAAGGGGGATGTTGGGTGCAGCAGCAGCAGCTGTGTTTAAAGGCTCTTTTGGAAACAGCTGCACTACCCTATTGATTATGTATCTTTGCAACTATTTTGGCACAATTAGAGGCAATTTGTTGCTACAACACAAAGCGTTTGATGCAAAGTCATGAAATAAATGGCACTTACACACCAGCATGTTGTTCCGCTTTAAAGCTTACGGGGGTCAATGGTGCCTTACAGCACAACTCCAATGTGTATGTATCTTTATACTGTATGTCCGGGAAATTTATAAAATATATTTAGTTTTGGAAGAAAATGATTGATTTTGATATAAAGTCAGAGTTTAAACTAGTGACTTGTAAAACAAAGTCATGATTGCAAAACAAGTCACAATCTACTAGCTTGAAACAAAACTTGTAGTGTGATGCTTTGTAATTTGTTCTTTCAGTTTATAGACCCTTTATTTCGTTGCTGCATGGGGGGGGCACCATAGCGACCAGCGGCTACCAGTTGGATGTTTAGAACTTCCATTTACAACTGGTAAATCTTGATCCGAAAATGGTTGTCAATACCAGTGTGTAAAGCCAATACACTTCTGTCAGATGTGGTTCAAGCGAGAGCGATAAATTCTTATTATTCAATGTTTGCTGTCAGATCAGATGCTGAAATACAGCGTCGATGGTCCCGAACTGTCAGCTGTTATACTGTACTCAGCAGCTCTTCAATGCTGTGCACATGCAATAGATCACTGTATTGTAGAACAAACCAAATTACTGGCATGAAGCTTAAAAGGTATGTAACATTATGCCATGCAGTTTCCAAAAAAATAAAAGTGTTACTGATACTCTGCTGGCTGATTTGCATGTTGATTTTAATCAGGACTCATTTAGGTTTCATTTAGTTAATATGTAATGTGTAGTATTTACTATGGTATGTGTTTTTCTTTCATTTCAAAATGACACTTTTTTCACTTTGTGCTGTAGGCTACGTGTGTGTGTGTCAATCATTTTGATGAATTACATTTGAGTTGGTTTCATATTTGAAAAAAAAGAGAAAATTATCACTTTTTTGAGATGACGAGAATTAATTTAAATGGCACATGATGCTGTCAGACGGTAATGGTAAAGGACTCGCAAATGTTGTTTTTTATTCCTATCAGGTCACATTTTTTAAATAATCAGTCCAGAAGGTGGCATTGATCAACAGCAGTATGAGTTCAAAGACAGTTAAAACAAGTAAAATAGATTAAACTATTGTTTCAAAGCTGTCCCTATGTCTATGTTTATGTTTATACTCATTAAGCTGCCGACCGGAAGTTCGAAGCATCCTCCTCACGCATACACGCAAAAGCATAATAGGTAATTTTGCATTCTAAGAGAAAGGTTTATAAATTGTACCAATGAATTTCCAATTAATGCTCTTAGATTATGTAAACCGTAACCACAAAGCCATGATCATAAACTACACAAATGACAATCATAAAATGACTGCCTTAAGTGCATTCACTAGTAATTAAACGTAACTTTAAAAATCATGCAGCATGCATGCAATTAAAAGAGCAGTTTATCAAAAAAAATTAAATGTACTCCTTATTTACTCACACTCAAGGGGTTCTTTATTCTTTTGAAGAAAAAAAAAAAAAGAGAGATTTGGAAGAGTAATTGATGACAGAATTTTTATTTTAGGGTGAACTCTAAGTTGTCGGACGGCCTTTGCGAACGACAGTGAGTGTCAGTCTGGCTAATTGTTTTGGCAGGTTACACATGCTGCATCTTGTCAGGTTAACATCGATGACTGATTCAGCATATACTATATAAATCGTCATCGGCTGAATAGAGTGCTCTGACACTAACCAGAGCGTGAGTGTGATGTACTTAAGAGATGTAGCAAGTAAACAAATCAAGCCAAAAAGAAACACAAAAACAGCGGCTGCAAGGGTGTATGAACATGAACAAAGTCTTAAAACAATTAATAATACGAATAATTAATGAAACACGTCCCACGCTGCAAAAGTCAATTTACATGATTTTACTGCAATCTGGCTTTGAGGAGATATGAATGTAGAGAAATTTAAAGCAATTTTAAAATAATAAAAATGCAATTTAACTATTTAATCCAGGTTATTTTTCATAAACATGAAATATCGTCAAAATCGAAACAGAATTTCGAATAATTGCAGAGCTTTGGTTAATATTATTATGGTGGACTCCAATTGAACTTGACGTTAAAAATTGAATCTTTGAAAAGTTGCTACTTATGTTCACATCTTGTACAGTGAAGGATGACTGGGAAAATTCCTTATTTTGGCGCGGATTTAATTGTCAGTGATAATGGACATTTTACACTGCCTAGCTTGTCAGTAAATGATCACTGTGTAGGTCAAAAATTTACACATAGCACGATGATACACAACAACATTATTAACAGATTCATTCATCTATTTTTTGCAGAATTATAGTTTGATCTGGTATTTTAAATTCAAATACACCAAAAGAGTTT